TCCCAGTGTGCTTCCCAACAATCCCCCCAGATAAAAATTCAATGTTGGGAACATCCCAAAATGTAAGTAATATGAAATTACTGTATTCGTAGACAAACACAGCACAATTTTACCCACAACAATGTCCCAAGAGAGGTTTAGATAAAGAAGTCCTTCCGCCCATTTAATCTCATCTAACTAGAATACTCAAGCTGCCATCCTCCCATCATAGCATCAAGCTGAGTGTTAAATTAGTTCAGCATTCTGGCCTCAACCATCCTTCCTGGAAAAATCAATTGGATGCAGTGCTTTGAGATGTTCATTTATGTTATTACTACCAACATTTCATTTTTCACACATGCTTTTTTCAAGATTGCTCAGGCTATTAAATAATAATAATAATAATCATTGCATTTGACATAGCACCTTATCAGTTCTTCGAGACGTCTTAAAGCGCTTCACAGAATATACTGTAAAGCAGTGGTGGCCAACCTTTCGCTAAGGTGTATCATAGTGTCAGCCCAGGACATATCACTATGCCACAAAAAACATAAATTAAAAAGAAAAATATTACTCGAAAAGGAAGTATTAAAATATCAAACAAGCTACTTAATGTGGCTTCTGAATTTGTTTTTGGTTCTTGATATCTTCAATATTTGGATTCAGTTTTGAGCAAGCCACTGAAAGAAGATTATTGAGGTGATCATCCATTAGTTTGGTATTTATTTTTTATGAAGCTCACGGTGGAAAAGGACGGCTCACAGGTAATAATAATAATCCTTGCATTTGATATAGCGCTTTTCACGTCTTCTAGACAACAACAACAACAACAAGATTCCATTTATAAAGCGCCTTTCACGTCAGGAGGACGTCCCAAGGCGCTGCACAGTTGGGTCATGACCCGAGCATTGGGGAAATGGTCAGGGTGAGGGGAGGGAAGGGAGGGAGCGAGGAGGGGGGAAATGGTCAGGGTGAGGGGAGGGAAGGGAGGGAGCGAGGAGGGGGAAATGGTCAGGGTGAGGGGAGGGAAGGGAGGGAGCGAGGAGGGGAAGAGAGTCGAGAGGGGAGCTGAAGGCTCGGTCAAAGAGAAAGGTTTTGAGACCGGCCTTGAAGGAGGAAAGGGAGGAAGCAAGGCGAAGGCACTGGGGGATGGAGTTCCAGAGCCTAGGGGCTGAGAGGCTGAAGGCCCGACCACCAATGGTAGGGCGATTGGGGCGGGGGACGTGGAGCAGACCGGAGCCAGAGGAACGGAGGGTACGGGCAGGTAGGTAGGGGGATAGTAGGTCAGAGAGGTAGGAGGGAGCAAGGCCGTGAATGGCCTTAGAGGTGAGGATGAGGACGTCTCAAAGCGCTTCACAGAATAGACTGTAAAGTGAATTGACTCTATATTTGTGGGCGAAACGCAGCAGCCAATTGTCCACAGCAGTGTCCCACAAACAGTCGTGGATTGAGTGACCAAATTATGATTGTTTTTTTCTTGAGGGATTATTGTCAGGGATGTGGAGTAAGGAAACTTGCCCAAGATTTCACCGTGCTCGGAATTGAACCCAGGTCTCTCACTTGCAAAGCGAGTGCTCTAACCACTGAGCTACAGGACTCCACTGTACACCTGGACTCCAGGTGTAGGTTGATTTAAATCTCCACACATATCAAAGACTGTGGTCATGCAATTTAGGAAAATCATTCTTAGGGAAACAACTTCAAGCCCTAGCTTACTGGAGAAGCACACTTGAATTTGTTATGTAAGCCTGAATGATTTTTAAGTTCCAAAATTTCCAACTGCATTTCTGATGGATAATGTTCAACCTCAGTGTCTGAAATAGAGAAAGGGTTGTTGAAAAGTGCTACATTGTCTTTGTCTTCTTTAAAATCGTGAAAAAGGGCATCAAAGGAATTAAAAAGTGAAGAAATCGCATTCTGATATTTTTTGAAACCGGTGGTGATGGTACTGTCACTTTTGAACTGTTGCAAGTGAACGAAGTGACCTAGTTTTTTTCGAGACAAAACATTCCAAAAAATGGTTAAGTTTGGCCTTGAAGATTAAATTAAATTAAACAGAGTTGAGAAAAGGCAATGCATTCCTTGCAAGCGTGCATTGAGGTTGTTAAGATGACTGATAATATCCATAAGGAAAGCAAGGTCACTGAGACAGTTTTTGTCTTGTAGGAGCTTGCAACCTTCAAGAAGTTCTCGCTTCTCTTAAGCCCTTTTTTTAAAATTCAAAAATCTTTCAAGAGCCTTCCCCTTTGATAGCCAACGGACATTGCAACGAAGGAGTAACGCCCCTTCCTTATTTGTGTCTTCATCAAACAAGTTACGCAATTCCCGGCGGTTTAATGCACGCCCACAATTTTGTTTATGCAACGCACCACAGGATCATGTGCACAAGAGAAATCCAAGTCTTTGGCGCAGAGGGCTTCCTGATGAATAATACAATGGTACTTGAATAACTTGTGTTCCAAAAATGTTTCCAACAAAACCACATAACCATTCCTCTTTTCAGTCATAACAGGTCATAATATCACGACAACAATTCAGAGTGATTATCAGAGTGATAATCCAGGCTCAAAAAAACTCTTTATCTCCCCAATTAACCCCTTGATCTGGGCTAAATGCGTCAGCCCATGGCTCAGTCGCTCACACTCTCGTCTCGGGAGTCACAAAGTTGTGGGTTCGATCCTCCCAAAAATCAGGGGGCCTTTGAGCTCACAGTTCAGGCTGACTCTCCAGCGCAGTGCTGGGGAGGGAGAGCACTGCATTGCCAGAGTCATTAAACTTCACTCCCCATCCGTGCCTAGTTCAGGGCGGATGTTAAAGATCTCCCACAGCACTGTCAGGGAAAAGAGAAAGGAGTTTTTCTCTCTCTCTCTCTCTCCTGCTGTCCTGTCTGACAGATGAAACTGCTCACAGATGTTTGCGGAGACGTCGCTGTGCTCAAAATCATCTGCCTGCAAGTCACAACACTTTACAGCAAAACCCTGCAAAGAGCTTGGCGACATCGTCCCAGATGAAAAGCGCTGGGTTGAGGGGCCGTATAATTTATTATTATTAATATACAACAGAAGTTAAAAAAAACAAGGTTTTTATAATGCAAAATACGAGTGGAATATGGAGGAGCTTTGCAAATACAGCAAAATGTTAACCTCCCTGTGTGTCAGGTACTTGGGGGGGAATAAACACACACACATTCAGTCACACACACACACACACAGTCACACTCATACTCTTTCACCACGTTTCCCAAAGGGATGTGTAACAATCAGTAGGTTACGGTTCCCTCTCCTCCTCGGGTCACGGCAATGCTGCCTCTTCCCCCAGACAGTCATAAGGTGTGGTGCGTGACATTAGCGAGGGGTTGGCCACCACTTATTTTCCTCTCTCCATGGATGCTGCCTGACCTCTTGCGTGTTCCCAGCAACCTGTGTTTATACCAGATTTCCAGCATCTGCAGTACTTTGCCTTTTGCATACTGTAAAGTGGATTGACTGGGTATTTTGGGGGTGATGTCCCGCAAATAGCCAAGGAGTGAGTGACCAATTTTATTTTGGGGGATTTGTCAGCCCCGACACTGGGAGAAACTTTCTTCTCTTTTTGAGCAGTGCCCAAAGATCTTTTAACATCCACCCTGGACAGGCAGATTTTCACCCGAAAAATCACCCAGGGGAGAAAAAAAATAAAACCCGCAGACCAGAAGGTCTCATTGACATTTACATAGATCAGAGAGCCTTTCCCGGAGAATTGCTCCCTTCAAATAAAATTGTGATTGAAAATGATTGTAGGCGGGCGCTCAGCAATTCTAACAGGAGTCCGATGATATTTTCACAGCAACTGAGTGGTAATTCACTCGAGTGTTTTGTGCAACGAACCACTCAACTCACACCTACTCTGAAGCGGATAGTAGGAAGATTTAAGTGGACTTAAAAATCCAACGGATTGTGGAGTCCTGTAGCTCAGTGGTTAGAGCACTCGCTTTGCAAGCGAGAGACCTGAGTTCAATTCCCGGCAGGGCGAGACCTTGGGCAAGTTTCCTTACTCCACACAGAGCCTAATAATAATCCCTCCAAAACCAAAAACAATAATAAATTGGTCATTTTCAATCTACGACTGTTTGTGGGACATTGTTGTGCGCAATTGGCTGCCGCGTTCGCCTACAAATATGCAGTCAATTCACTTTACAGTGTGTTCTGTGAAGCGCTTTGGGACGTCCTCCCGACATGAAAAGCGCTATATCAAATGCAAGGATTATTAACGAAGACGCCCAGAGCCTGTCGCCCACTGCCATCAGGAAGGTTCGGGTAGCCTACAAAAACTGAGACCCAAGGAACCCTTGGTTTACCCGCCTCCCACCCGAGTCAACACCAAGACGGCCCTGGAGCTGAGGTGGAGTCACCCCACCCCCAATCTTGGTGAAAAGCGGCAACTTTTTTTTTGTGGCGCTACGTTCCCCCCCCCCAACCCCTCCTTCTTCTCTTCTTCACCCTCTCTCCCAACTTCTTTCCCCCCCCCCCCCCTTTTCGTTTCCTCTCGGCACCGCTCTTCTCCCACCACCACCTTTCTCCCCTTTTCTTCCTCTTCCTCCTCCTCCGCCTATTCCCCTCTTCTCCCAACCTTTCCTCCTTCCCCCTTCTATCTTCCTCCTCCTCCTCCTCCTCCTCCCCCCCCCCACACCCTTCCATCTCCTCTCCCCTCTATGCCCTCTCCCCAGCCTTTTCCATTCCCTCCTCCCCCCTCCCCCTCTTCTCCCTTCCCACCTCCGCCTCTTCCCAGCACCTCCTCTCCTCCCTCCCCCCCCCCCCCTCTGTGCCCCCTGTTCCCCTCTGTGTGTGTGTCCCCCCCCCGCCCCTCCCTCCCTGTTCTGAGGCGGCCGAGCTGAGAGAAGTGGGTCCTTTCCTCCGCGCCGCCTGCGCTCCCGCCGGACCGCGGACGCTGCGACACACACACACACACACAGAGACAGGAAGGGGAGGAGGAAACCAGGGCGCGGGGAGGACTTTAAATGTAGGACCGGAAGGGGTGGGTGGGTGGGGGGGGGAAGCGCCAAGATGGCGGGTACGTGAGAGCTGCTTCTCGTCTGTTAATGAGTTTAAAATAGTCTCTGAGTGTCGATGTGTGTGAGTGCGCGCGGGAGGGGGGGAGGGGGCGGAGAGGGGGGGTTTAAAGGGTTTTTTTTCCCCCCCCCCAAAAAAAATGTACTCTCAGGTGAAACTGTGTGTGGCTGATGGTGACAGAGAGACACAGAGAGATAGGACCGAGGGAAGGAGAGAGGAGACTTACTTTTTAAATGGTCCCTTTTTTTTTCCCCTGCCCCCCCCCCCCCCACAACACCAAAGAGAGAGAGAGAGGGAGAGAGAGAGAGGGAAAAAATCCTGTCCCGGGGAAGAGGAGACAGAAGTTTGAGAGCAGAGCAGAATTTTATTTTTATTCTCTCTTGTTTTCTTCACAACCTCTTGATGTTTCCCCTCTCCCTCTCCTCTCTCTCCCCCCCCCCCCCCCTCTCTTCCCCCCCCTCTCCCCCCCCCTCTCTCCCCCCCTCTCCCACCCCTCTCTTCCCCCCTCTCCTCTCCCCCTCTCTCTCTCCCCCCCTCTCTCTCCCCTTCCCTCTCCTCTCTCTCTCTCTCCCCCCCTTCCCCCTCTCTTTCCCCCTCCCTCTCCTCCCTCCCCCTTTCCCCTCCCCCTTCCCCCCCCTCTCTCCCCTCCCCTTCCCCCCCTCTCCCCCCCTTCCCCCCTCTCTCTCCCCCCGTCTCCCCCCCTTCCCCCCCTCTCTCCCCCCCCCCTTCCCCCCTCTCTCCCTCCCTCCCTCCCTCTCTTTCCCCTCATCCTCACCACCTTCTCTCCTCACTCACTCAGGGCCGAGTTCTGCTGTGGTTTTCTCTTTTTTTTAAAAAAAGGAGGGGGTGAGTGAGGGGGTTCTGTGTGACTGAGTAAAAAGTTTGTTTTATTTGTAAGAGATTTACTTTTATAAAGCACTGAGGCTTTTTATTTCTTTCGAGGAGGTGGAAAACGTTTAATTGTTTTCTGGTGGGGGGGGGAGTAAGATCAAGTGAAATTGTTTTCGTTTCTGGTGTCTTTCTTTTTTGTTTCTTTCTCTCCTTTTTATATTGTTTGTTTTGATATGTTTTTTTTATAAAAATATATGTATATACATACGTGTTTGTTTCTTGTTTGTTTTGTTACATATCTTTTCAATTTTATATGTTTGGTTGTTTATTATTTGTGTTTTAATACATATGTGTTGGTGTCTAATATGTATGTTTGTTTAATTAATAATTTCTATACATATGGTTTTGTGTTTTGTATGTTTATTATTTTTTTACCTATGCTGTTGGGTGTTTTACGTTCACACGTGAATTATTTGCACACATATGTTTGCGTTTTATGTTTATTGTTTTTTTTTCACATACGTTTCTGTGCTCTATTGTATTTTTTTTTGCTGCTACAGATTTGTCGCTGGTCCAGGAGGAGCTGCAGGAGGAATTAGACGGATGTGAGTGAGTTGGTTCCCGGGGTGTGGGGGGTGGTTGGTGTTGGCTGGTTGTGGGTTGGGTTGGTTTGGTTTTGTGGGCCGGGGCCAAGGCTATGGAGCCACGGCCTGGCTTTAGCGTTGGGTCCGGGGCTGCTTGCTCTCGCTCGGGCTGTGCTGGAGCCCCGAATGGGTCCCAGGTCGGAGCTGAAAGTAGAGAGAGAGAGAGAGAGAGAGAAAGGAGCCATCTCTCTCTCTCTCCCTCCCTTCCCTCTTCTCTTAAAGCAGCAACTGTTCCCCGCCTGGAGAGGGGTGGTGGTGGGTTGGGAAGGACTGGGAGGGAGGGAGAGAACAAGCAAGAACTTACTTGTTTTTACATGTGAAAAAATCTGTTGAACCTAATTTTATTGTATTTTTGGGGGGGAGGTGGGGGAGGGAGGAAAGAGAGGGTGGGGTGACATCACCCCAGGGGAAATATAGAAAATTGGGAGAAGTGGGAAAAGGCGAGTGGGGAATAAAAGTCCTGCTTATTTATTACAAATATGGTCACCAGAGAGTATAGGTCTTGCCTTGTTCTGGGAGTTTTCGAAGCGGGGAGGTTGTTTGAATGGACTTTTAAGACTGTGTGTGTGTGTGGTGGGAGGGGGGTGGAGAGAATTGGGGAGCTGGGGCCAAGACAACAACTTGCACTTATGTAGCGCCCTCCACGCCGGGCGGCGTCTCAGAGCGCTTAACAGTGATGGAGTCCAAAAAGGATTTCAGCCGGTTATTTGCGACCTGAGACCTTGAAGATTCCCTCCTGGATTCGGGGATACGTTTTTCAGCTAGGAGTTTGGTGAGATTATTCGATCCCAGGACTTGCCACGACAAACGTTTTTCTCAGTGAGATTCATTATTTTTCAAGGAGAGGTTAACTACAGCACAGTTCTAGTTAAAATGTACAGTGAAACCACTTGAGTTGCTGAAGGGTGTTATACAGTGGGCTTTTTCTTTCCCCCTTCACTTTCTTCACTTAGCTTTGAAGCCATACTTGTGCTGGGGTACAGTTGCAAGGTTGTTCCTGGTTTGTTCCTGTAGAATTAGATTGCGATGGTTAGTAGACTATTTGTTTATTTGTGAGTCAGCAAAGAAACTTCACAACTGAAACTAGTCCATGATCCACACCTGAGCATTTTCCAAGAAGGCTGTCCAGTTATTGAGCAAGAACTTGAGCTGATTTACTTTTCTTTCATGTTCGCTAAGCCAGTTATTGCCTTTGCTGCACTCTAGCTCAGATCAGTTAACTAAAGCACAGACTGAGGATTCATACTTTCTCAATCAGTCTGTCAAGGTGCCATGCTGTTTAAATTTCAAAAAAAGAACACTAGGTGAATAAGTAGCTATCACGTGAGCACCATCAAAAACAGTTTACAAAATTTTATTTGTACTCCAGACATTCTGATATAAATTAGAATAGTTTAAAATATTCAGTGCACGTCTCCTCCGATACTTTTGTTGCCGAGATTATTTGTATAATATAATAATAATCCTTGCATTTGATATAGCCCTTTTTTCATTCGACATCTCAAAGCGCTTCACAGAATAGACTGTAAAGTGAATTGACTGTATATTTGTGGGCAAAATTTATTAGGGTATTGCATTAGAGTCAGCTTTGCAAGCTTTTAACACTATTATACAATCAGTAGAGTTTTGTGAGTGGGAGGCAGATGTGCTTGATCCTTTTCAATGTATTGGTGGGAACTGAAGTCTAGTAGTAGTGCTTTTGTTAAAATGTGCTCAGTTAGTATTTTCCTGCTGTTTTAACTTAAATGACACAGTTGTGCTGGAAATTTGAAAGCTTTATACAAATGTACAGACCAGAACTGAATGTTGTGACCCTGTAGTGTTTGACAAATATCAAGCTTTGCTGATGTCTAATACCCCTCTATTGCTTCCTTCTCTCGAATTTCCACCGCTTAATTTTACTAACACATTTAGATACAGTACAAACAGTTCTATATTGATTGTTTGGAGTTTTTAAACTGTATAAGGAAGTTGGAATTTACTTTCATTCAACATTAGAGACAGTTATGTAGGTTATTACAGGAGCCATGTGTCTTCATTCCTTTTTTAGAAACGTTAATTAAGCAATGGGTAGTGAACTGTATGTGGTCAGCACTGTATCACACTCAGGGATAGTTGAACACTTCTATCCACCCCACTCCATACAGGATGGTGGAGTAGCAAGTGGTGTTTTGTTTGTGTGTAATTATATTTGGCAATTGGTGGTATTTGCTGTATTTAACAACTCTGCTGTCACCCTCAAACTAAATTGAAACAAACACCTTTTTATAGTAAAACTGAGATTACATTACATAATTGCCTTATGCAATAATATAAACTTTTACTGGAGTTTTCATGACTTACTGCAAATCAGATATATACTAGATCCTGTTTTTTAAAAAAAACAAAGTTTTTGTGTTACTTATCCTAAGTTGGTTGAGTTATCCTAAGTTGGTCACCATCCATGGTTGCACACTCCACCTTACTAAGCCAGTCCAGAACCTTGGCATCTTGTTTGACCCTCAACTATCTTTTCATAGAATCATACAGCACAGAAAGAGGCCATTCAGCCCATCGCGTCTGCGTCAGCTCCTAAAAGAGCAATCAAATCCCACTGGCCCGCTTCCTCTCCGTAGCCCTGCAATCCTGTCCTCCCCAAATACCCATCTACTTCGCTCTTAAAAGTTGTTATTGAATCGGCTTCCACTACCCTTTCAGTTAATGCATTCCAGATACGAACAACTCGCTGGGTGAAATCTTTTTTTCCTAACCTCCCCTCTGTTTCTTTTAACAACTATCTTAAATTGATGTCCTCAGGATACTGACTCACATGCCATTGGAAACAGTTTTTCCCAGTTCCCTATCAAATCCTCTCATGATCTTGAAAACCTCAATTGAATCCCTCTTAATCTTCTCTGCTCTAGGGAGAATAATCCTAGTTTCGCTAACCTCGCCTCATAACTAAGGTCCTTCATTCCTGGTACCATCCTGGTAAACCTCCTTTGCACCCTCTTCAATGCCCTAACATCTTTCCTAAAGTCAGGTGCCCAGAAGTGGGCACTGCACATTGGTGCCATGACCTGCTCTGCCTTCCCCCATCTCCACAACATCGCCAGGCTCTGCCACTGTCTCATACCACAGGCCGCCAAGAACGTCATACACGCGCGTTCATAACATCCAGGCTCGATTATGCAAACTCCTTGCTTGTCGGCCTCCCCAACTTCTCTCTCCATAGGCTGCAGATCATCCAGAACTCTGCAGCCTGTGCCCTCTCCCGCACCAGGCTCCGCGACTCTTATCACCCCCATCCTCGCCCGACTCCACTGGCTTCCCTTCATACAGTTCAAGATCCTGGTCCTCACTTTCAAAGTCCTCCATGGTCTTGCTCCTCCCTACCTCTGTGACCTCCTAACCCCCTACCAACCTGCCCGGTCCTTCCGCCCTGTGGGCTCCTGCCTGCTTCATGTCACTCGCCTCGCCTGCCCCATCATTGGCGGGCAGGCCTTCTGCCACGCTTCCCCGCCCTTTGGAACTCCATCTCATAGTGTCTCCACTTCGCCTCCCCACCCCCCCTTCAAGATCCGTCCATCTCAAGACCCTCCTCTTCGGCTGTGCCTTCGCTCATGCTTCCCCCCCCCCATCCCCCAGCTCAGTTCCGAAACACTAATTGTCCAACATCTTGGAACGTCCTCCCGGCGAATGGTGTAATTTTATTGTTGAGTTGTGAATTTTGGTCACTTAATATTATTGTATAGAACTGTCATTTTCCTTATGTAAAGTCTACCATTTTAAAACCTTCAGAGTATATTTTGCTGGTTTAACAATGTAATCTGCAATGGAAAATATATAGAGAATTTGCAAGTTGGTGTGGTGCAGTGACATAATTTGGAGCATTAGAATACAGATTTGCATCTAATTTCCAGTTTAGCCATAGATTACCCAAAGGGAGGGAAAATGGGAGATGAGTTGAATTGATGTTTTCTGTTACTTCACATTGCATTAACAGAGGCCAGGAGCATATCTCTTGGTCAAAGAATTTTACCTATGGACAGAATGTGGAAAATGCTTGAGATGTTTGAACTTTCATTTAAAATGGCTGGAGGAAAGAGATGAAATGAAGTTAATCGTTAAATATTTTGGTATAGTTAAGGTTGGCCATCATTTGGGAATTTAGCAGTACTATTGTTGGTCATTTGCTTAATGAGTATCATTCTTGGGTGGGGGGGTTAAAAAAGGAACAAACTTGAGCTCATGTGTGCCCTGAGGTTAGCTGAAATAAAGTGAGACTTGCATGTTAAAGCTTGGATTTTGATGTCAGTAGAATATGAAAGCACCGCAATAACTGACTTTCTGTTGCAAGTATTTATTTAAAATCAAGCAGTATGAATACTAGCTAAATACTACTGGTATTTTGTTCTACCAGTTTTCGCCTCTGCCTGAAGATCTGTGATGCATTTTAAATTCTACTGAGGTATGGTTCCATTATTTATATGGGAGCCATTATTTGTGTGAGCCTTTGATGGTGATTATTGCCATGTTATTTGAGCCCACAAGCATTTCAGCCAACCTCAAGTCTGTTGTCAGCTGTCATCTAAGATGCACTTTCTACTAATTATCACTGGGTTGAGATGAGGGAGCAAGAAACCTGGCAATTTTTCCCCCTAACCCACTAGGAGTGCTGAGGCCAAGTGTGGCCCCTACTGCTGCCTCAACTAACTAAGTGCAAAGTTCAGTTCAACCTCTGATCCTTTAATCGCTTTGGTCTTGTGCAGCTGTTCTGGATCAGAAATAGTTTTGTGCTTTTCTTTCATTCTGCCCTCATACAAAGGGCAGATGGCTGTCAATGCCAATGGTTTTGGCACTTTACCTGCAATAATTAACCTGTTTTAGCCACCTGAAACCATTGAATAAAGTGGGGAAAAACTTAATGGGAAGTTTATTGCAAATGCTCAGCAGGTATACTCTTGGAGGACCTAATTGCCTTTAGCATCATAGCTTGAAATACTTTGGACTGATTTCATTGATAAACTATTGTAAATGGCGTCTAATTATTTCCACATAAAGTTCAGTGGGATGATGCAATGGCACTTCATGAATCATGACTTGACAAATAACTGAAAGGCTTTGTCTGGTTGGAACATGTCCACACTGCTGGGGTCAGATCGCAGTAGTTAAATTAATCCTCGGGCAATCCTGATTTTTGTCATGTAGCTGTGTTTTATAGTTTTCCTTAGACAAAAACTTTAAGCCTTTCTGGAAAGTTGGGGAGGATCCAGCTGTATAGTTTTCTGTTTGTTTCCTGTTTTGGTTCAATCAAGCGGTTTCCGTTGAAATAAACTGGTTGATGAAATTTGGGAGGAGTTTTACGTTGCCCTGATGATAAGGAAGGTAATGGTTTTCGAATTCAGCACTTTCTCTGCTTGCTCAAGCTTAGATTGATGGGTGAGAAGAAGTAATGTTTGAGGGAAGGAACCTTGTGATAATAGTAGTTCAACTTGAATAGGTAATGCTGGGGAGAAAAAAAACTTTGTCCTGTTTTTAGGATAACATCATAAAAATTTGTAATATATTGAGGCATTAGCAAAAACTGAATTTGAGTTCTTTATATTCATCTCACTGATCTTAGTGGTATTATTGTTTTGAAGGAAGGAAATTGGCAGCAGAAACTGTCGATGAACAATTGCCCTAAATGTATCATAGGAGTTGCTTTGAAAACAAATTTAACTGCATTGACTTTTAAATTACTGCCCAAAATGTTAATATCCAGTATATTTTTCAATCTATATAGCAATTTGACTGTTGTTAGGACAAGTTATGTCCTCGGATTGATCAGTCGTGGATCTGGAAAAGCACTTGATTCTTGATCTGATGTGTTTTGAGGTTCAAGGTTCTTGAATTTGTCAATTTGAATCTACCAAGTTGCTACCTTGCCACCTTTCAACTTAGCCACAAACTGATGATTTTTTAAATGATTAGAAATGGTTCTTTGGACAAACCATGCTAAAGCAAGATGATCATGTTAAAATATCCCGTTTGGAGTAATGCAGTTTTTAATGCTGAATTTCAGAGTTGTCGCTGAAACGTGTTTTATTAAGCTCTCTGTATAAAACTGACCGTAGTGCAGTTAGATGTTTACCTTTAGATTTTAATTAAATTTACCTTAACTGAATGCTCATTTAGTCTCAAAGCTAAGCCTCCAGTGGTTTGCCATTGAGTTAATTGTAAATTATTTATTGGACTTTGGTAGTTCTTTGGATTTAAGACATAGCTGTGAGGAATTTGATCGCTATTCTAAATAAAGCTTCAGAAATGTAGTCTAAAAATATTAAAATTACGAGCTTATCAGGCAGCAGTTGTATTGCTTTAACTTGGCAAATTGTGTATTGATAGTAATAGAAGTTTTTCATTGTTTCAAAGCGAAAAGATATTTTAGAATATTTGAACTGTGCGCCTAAAGTTCCTTGATTTTTTTTTTCCACTGTGGTAGGCTCCACGTACCATAAGTTTCTCAGTCGAAAAGTTAAGTTCAAAATTTGCTTCAAGCCCTGCTCAGTGCCCTGTGGTTAGTGACGGGTATTTGTTCTGTTCTTTGCCTGGGTGTAGTGAGTTTAGGCTGGATTCTGGGAGCAGTCAACCAATACCATTTTCACTGACTTGAACGCATCCAGATCAGCAGCCAAGCTAGACCCAAGGGCCCAATTGTGGATTAATTTATCTAACCACGATAGGTGGCTTTCTGTAACCTTTATCGGGGATAATGCTCACTGGTGCAATGGATTGGGAAGAGAGAAAAAAGGTGTTTTATTTCACTGGTGGAACAACATTGGAGAAAGGAGGGGAGAGAGAGGAAGAGGTATTTGCTTCATATTTAGACGTTCTATGAATTGGAGTGTGTGCTATGTACTTCCACCCTGAATACCACTCTTGCTTAATTAAGCAGGTTCCTTTCAAATTGGTAGTGTAATCCTGATGCTTGCAGAATTGTTTTTTTAACAATAGTATATCCCTAAAATAAGTGTTGGAAGAGTGATTACTGTATCAGAGTCTTGACTTCCCGCTGAACAGCACTTTTAAGAGGTTAGCAAATCAACTAATAACAGAATGGCTTCACTATACAGTATGAGCTGTGCTTTACAGTGGAATGATTTGAAAACTGAGCTAACCACCATTTATGGTGTTTGCATAGTAGTCACCAACGCAATTGCATGGACTGTGGCAGACACAGTATTAATTAATCAAATGACTATTTCTCATTCCATGTTATTCCAGCTCAAGAACTGAACCAATGCAGCGTTACTCCAAACCGTGTATTTCAATTTAATGTTCTTGTACTTCATACAGCAATCTCTTGGTGGACACTAGTATAAGTTTATTTCCTATGTTACTAGTGCTTGTATGGCCTCTCATTTTCACCTTTAGCCCTCAGTGCACTTAATCCCTGTGCCTCTGGGCCTTTGCTTATGGTCGACCTGGCTGTGGGATTTTGATAGAGTTAGGAATTGGACCTTTTTTTGTGGTCTGTAGTCAAGGAAATGCAAGCTGGAGACAGGACTGGCCCAATTTCTATTAAGAAAGTGATGGCCCCCTATTTAAGTACAGCTATTCTTCTCTTCTTCCTGTGGGTTTGTGCCTGGCTTGCAATTGGCAACTGCTCACAGTTGCATGATTGAAATCAGGAGCTCGCTCTGTGAGGAATCACCAGCACAAACCCGCGTCTCATCACTGTGACTTGGTATTGCAGTATTCCTGAGAGCGACAGAGTTTAACCCCAAAATCATGTCCCTCAGCACAAAATAACATTTCTGTATCCATCTTATATAGGAAAGTTGGTGTGTGACCGATAGTGTTTTATTTGAAATATCCGCATTATTATATAAGGAAAGAGTGGCTCAGATTTAAAGTTTAAAAGCGTTGCAATTTCAAATAACATTTCTGATGTCTCTGCTAGTTGGTGTGGATGACTACAGCTCAGAGTCTGATGTCCTTATTATACCTTCAGCCTTGGACTTTGTCTCTCAAGACGAGATGCTAACACCGTTGGGCCGACTGGATAAGTACATTGCTAGTGAGAACACGTTTAACAGGTATGATGTGGAGAGGTACATTTACGCAGATAATCCCAGTGAAATATTAAACGCTGTTTGACATTTCTGTTCTTAAACTTTCCAGGATTAACCAGTTTCTGTACAAGCAGAAAATGTTCATTTGTTACCTGGCTCAGTTGGGTATCACTCTATTCTCTGAGTCAGAACATTGTGGGGTCAAGACCCCAAGTCAGGAATTTGATCTCATTGTCTAGGCTGGCACTCCAGGAAGCACTGCATTGTCAGAGATGCCATCCTTCTGAGATGTTAAACCGAGGTGCTCTCTGACTGTCTATGTAGACATTAAAGGTCCCATGACACTATTCGAAAAGCGAAGGGAGTTTCTCCCAGTGTGCGAGCCAACAGTCTCCCTGATTTTTAAAACAAATAGTCACTCACTTCATGGCTGTTTGCTATGTGCCAATTGGCTGGTGTGCTTGTCTTCAAAATAGAGTCACTACACTTCGCAGTAAAATCCTGTGAAGTGTTTTGACAGCATAAGGAGCTATATCAAATTTAAGGATTATTTTATTATAAACTCACCTTCAGGGCACCAACTAAATGCAGTCAAATTGCGTTTGTGGTCAGTCTTTTATTTCAACATTATATAATACAATAATATAAACTCACTGATGAGGTCAACTTTTCAATGTGGTCAAAATGCCTTAGGCCATTTGCTGAACTTATGATTGAGTTTCCACTGTATGTCATGAAACAACATTTGTTTGAAATTGTTTCCCTGCTATTTTCTCTCTGATGCCCAGCAGCTCTAATTGATGAAGAAGATAGACTGCATATCTGTTCTTAAGTTGAATGCAGACTGAATTGATTCCCTTTTGGAGTTTATCTTCCACCTTGTGAATAAGCGCTTGGCTGCTTGTACTTCACTGTCAGTTTTTCCCCCACTCCTCCTGGACACACATTCACCACCGACGGGGCTGGGGTGGATCTGTAATTTGCTGCATGAAGAATCGGTAGCTTTCCACGTGGTGGTACAGCTTGTGCTGCACAAATATGCACTGTAATTTGAGATGTCTGTCGAAATTGGACCTGGAGTCCAAATGAATTTTTATTTGCTTCAATTAAACCAAGACTGTGGTGATGTACTACAGAAGGACCCTGTTATAAGGCAATTCATAATGTGGGTTATGTAGGTAAAGCAGTTGAGATGTGGACTAAAATATTTGCTTACCCAAAAATCAAAATGCTTTTGCTGGCACCATGGGCCCATGAATGAGCCAGCCAGCATTAGGGAAGATAAAATGGTTTCCTTCCGTGTCATCTGGTTGTCACTGATGTCACCTCAACGCCTGTGCCATGATCATGTTTGTTGCACTAATAGGATATTACAAACATCGGTGGTACAGAAGGGAAATGTTTTATGTCAAGTGCTGGATGTATTTTACCAAGACTTAATTTTATTGTTGGAGGTCCAGAGAGTTGTCTTTCTCGTTACCATGGACAAAGTAGCTCAACTTGTCTGTACTGTCCAGTGAAATGTTTGTTTCCTTATAGGTCTGTATAGATTTCCCCAGACAATGGAAGGTACAGCAATCATAAAAGCTTGTACTTAAGAGGAATTAGTTGTTTACGTATTTTCTGATTTAACTGCTCTATAATTATACCTGCAATATAAACAGCAGTATTGGGAAATATTGCACAATTGCCTCTGGAAGCAGTTTTGTAACATAAATCTGTCTGAAATGGGTGGATTAAGCATATCCAGTTCACCTTGTGTATAGTTAATAGTTCTTGCTATTGAAGAGAGGAAATAACTGAGACTATAGGCCCATATGAGTCAGCAACGCTGGAAAATTGCAGATGTTGCAGACTGGAATGGCGCAAAAGTGATGAGTTATATCTAGTTGAGGGTTATATTGATGTGAGTGAAGTTTAATATTAAAATTTTGCCGACATGAAGAGATGTAGATGTAATTTTATTTTAAATTCATGAATGATTATTGGGATGGAGGGAAAATAGAGAAGTTTGATTAAATCTTTGAGAACCTCGGTAGTTTTTAATGTTTAAAATGAATCTGGGCTCTGCATTCTGTATACTGTATTTACTTTACAACCAGCATTTTAAAGTAATGTAATTTTAATTTATTATTTTGATCCTGAGATTTGTACTTTGTTTGAAAGCCAAGTAATCATAGTTAACATTCAAGCACTTTGGGGCACTATCCTGCATTGAGGGGCGCTATATAAATGCAAATTGTTGTTGTTGAACGAATTTCAGTCAGTCAACAGCTTTCAAATGCATCAGTTGCATTGCAAAGAATGAGTGGTTACAGATAGAAAATGTGGGTTTACTTTACAGCTTCTGTTTCCTTAATTGGACATTTAAGTCAGCGTTTTTGTGTAATCCAAACTTCTGATGGCCAGAAAGTTAGTATTTCACACCTTAAAGCTATTGGTATTGTGAAACCTTTTGAGAACCCAGTATGTGGCTGAAAAGTCTTCCATTGTGATGTCTACTTGTAGCTCTTAAGAATGTGGCTTTCTTTATTGTTCTTCATGAATTACCAGATCAGAATTGAATGGTGATTTGAAAATGGAACAAAACAATTTGAGTATTTTTGTCATCAATTCCTCCATATTTTCTGGGCTCTTTCCAAGAATAAGATCAACTTGAGCGTTGATCTTTGTCAAAGTGGAAAAATCTAGAGGAAGCTAGACAGAGGGGAAAGGATCTGTTTGATCAGGTTGCACAGTACCATTATATGGCTTCCAGCTTGTCTGGATGCAGCAGAGAGCTGCAAATCACACTGATGCTTTATTCTCGTTGCTTTGCTTGCTCCAGTCTTTGGAAGTTGTTGAAAATATCTTTTACAGCTGAAGAGAAACAAAATGCTGGAAATCTGAACTAAAAAGCAACAGTTGCTGTAAATACACATCAGGTCAACCAGTGTGTGAAAGAGAAGGGCAAGTTAATGTTTCATGGGTCCACCCGAAATGTTAGCATTCTCTTTATGTTGGCTCCAGGCCCTGCTGTCTTGTGCACAAAGTGCGACACTGACACTTGGACAATTGCTCTTTGTGCAGCCGAAGGTCTTTTGTTCAATAAAAAGTTGGATTTATTTCCGCGTGAAACTTTGGTATCCCCAACAGAAAGCTACCTTAAAATAATAATAATAATCCTTGCATTTGATATAGCGCTTTCCACGTCGGGAGGACGTCCCAAAGCGCTTCACAGAACACACTGTAAAGTGAATTGACTGTATATTTGTGGGCGAACGCGGCAGCCAATTGCGCACAGCAATGCCCCACAAACAGTCGTAGATTGAAAATGACCAATTTATTATTGTTTTTGGTTTTGGAGGGATTATTATTAGGCGTGTGGAGTAAGGAAACTTGCCCAAGGTCTCGCCCTGCCGGGAATTGAACTCAGGTCTCTCGCTTGCAAAGCGAGTGCTCTAACCACTGAACTACAGGACTCCACGTAGAGATACTGTAAATACTGTAGAGAGTGCCAGTAAAATTCTGTCTGAATGTTGAACCATATTTCTTTCTGATTTTCCCAGCAGCCCATTCCCCCCAACACTTAATTTCACTTCTGCCATTTTATCGATTGCTATTCAGGAAATTGAGTATCAGAGTTCCTACCTTCACTAGCTGCTCTGCAGTTCTCAGTGGTTGAATGTCTGAATTCTCGTGCTCCCATCCAATCTTTGGAAATCACAGTGAGGTTTCACGTACTACAACAATAACAACTTGCATTTACCTAAATAAGGGTAGGGAAGGCCAGGAACAAAGTTACTTGAAATTCAGGACTTGCTCCCATTTGCACCAGTCTTAATTTAGGAAATGTACAGCAAGTTGATGGGCTTCTGAAAGGCAAAAAGACAGATTAATGGTTTTTCATGTCCCTTTCTCAGAACATTAAAAAGATTACCTCAGGAACATTAACCTGACATTCTCTTAGATGTCCAATTTCCAGGATCCACAGTTTTTCCAGCGCTGATGCCTTGACTTTTTCTCTTGAGAGTTGAGAATTTGGAAACCTGCAGCAACATTCAGACATAATGATTTGTGGAATGCAAGTTCATTCACTCTTCATGCACTGTTGTCAATCATTTAGAAGCATGTTACACCATTTTATAATTCAAGAAACTAGAAATAAGAGAGTTAATGATCTCTAGATATTATAAAAACTACTTTAAATTTGAAAATTACGATTCGGTGTTTTCTGAATTTTGTGCCTTTCACAAATTCTACTTAAAAAATACTATTGAAATCTGATCGAAACTCAGCATTTTAATTTCATTTTTAAAATCCATTTTTCTCGCTCTTGTGTAACCAGTTCATTTTAGGACTAAAATGCCATTACTGTTATACTTTTAAATGTTCTTATCAATATCTGTTTCATTTTCAAGGTGATTTTTTTCGTTAAAAAATTTTAGAATTTAGAAACTCTGTTAACTTTAGAAAAATATCAGGTTAGCTCCACACCAGCCACAGAAACGCTGCAGCCGGCAGTAGTGGCCTGGACAATTAACAGCATTGTCCTGGTTTGTAGCTGCCACTGGAAATTGGGTGAAGAACCTCAGGGAGATGTAATGCGCTAGGGAGTAATAGAAGGGACTCTAGCTCCTGACATGATGGCATAGCCTGGGTTGCAGAAGCTGATGCTTTATATGCCACGCTTCCATCATTGTATATCACCTGACGTTCGTAGAATTTATACAGCACAGAAGGAGGCCATTTGGCCCATCGTGCCCGTGCCGGCTCCTGAAAGAGCTATCCAAATTAATCCCAATCCCCCACTCTCCCCATAGCCTTACACACTTGTCCTCCCCAAATATCTCTCCGCTTCTCTCTTGAAAGTTGTTTTCGAATCTGCTTCCACCATTCTTTCAGGCAGTGCATTCCAGATCCGAACAACTCACTGCGTGAGAAAACGTCTCCTCATCTCCCCTCTGGTTGTTTTGACAACAATCTTATATCTGTGTCCTCTGGTTATTGACCCACCGGCCAGTGGAAACAGTTTCTCACTGTTCACTCTATCAAATCCCCTCATGAATTTGAACACCTCTATTAAATCGCCCCTTCTCTGCTCCAAGGAGAATAATCCTCGCTTCTCTAGCCTTTCCTGATGACTGAAGTCCCTCATTCCTGGTACCATCCTGGTAAATCTCCTTTGCACCCTCTCCGATGCCTTGACATCCTTCCTAACTTGTGGTGCCCAGAATTGAACACAGTACTCTAGTTGAGGCCTAACCAGCGTTTTATAAAGGTGGTTCACAATCTCCTTAGTTTTGTATTCTATGCCCCTATTTATAAAGCCGTATGCAACGTTGTTGCATATTTGATGGTTATGAATGGTTTATGAATGTGTAGATATTTAGTGTAGTGCAACCACAACCAATGAAACTGTTTACCATTTGAAACAAAACCATCTCAGAACTAGGACTGTTCATTGCAGTTGGATTGCTGCTTGAAATAATATTGTTTGCAGCCGAAAACTTTTAATACAGTTTCTAACTTTAGTATAGGAAGTACATTTAGTGGACTATTTAGTGGTATCCCTTTTAAAGCGGACTGAGCAAATGCACTGAAACGTTTTTGTCCGTCTTGACGGTTGTTGACTCTAAACTATTTTGATCGTTATTTGAGCTCAGCTGAATTCACCAGACCAGAGGGTTTCATTAATAACCTTAAATGTTTTCAGAAGTTGAGATTATTGTGCAAAAAAGACTGGGACTTGTACAAAGATGTTGAAATTTTCATCCTTTCATATCTGAAATGCGCTCTGCTGCTGCTCTATCATGCTTTCCCTGTTTGAAATATTTCAAAGATTTTCTAAGATTTCATCCATTGAACGTGTTAGATGTTCTAATTGGTTCAGTAAACCTTTTATTAGAAGTGTAATTGATGCAGCAGACCAAAAACAATGTGCTGTCTAGTCAGCTAAATCAGTGCCAACCTGTGTGTGTGTGTGTGTGTGTGTGTGTGTATGTGTGTGTGTGCATGTGTCCTTTGGCGCAGTGCTTTGCAAACGTCTCCTAATCGTAGGTGAAATTTCCTAGTGAGTGATTATGAAATGTTTTTAAGTGGGAAATTCTATGCTGATGGTGGTTGGGGATAAGGTGAGAATGAGAGGCACTGTTAGGTGGTTAGTGTGTGTGTGGGGGGCACGGGCAGAGCACTCTAACTGTTGGGTTTCTCTGATATTTTTCTTGTCAATCTAGCGCTGTGCTTTATTTTTCAATCAATATTAGCCACACTTTGGTATAGGATACTGAGCTATAACTGCTTTCTGCTTCATGCTTTCCATTGCTTGTCTCCAGTGACAGCTAATCGCTTTCTCTTACAGAAAGTGAAGTTTCCATGCCTGCCGTACAGCAATCAATCACTTGGCTGTAAACAGCACTTTTGAGTTTTTTCTCCTCATTTTCTGCTATATTTGTCTGTTGCTCACCCGTGTTAGAAGATGCGATAGAAGCTTGCTTCTATGCTTGTGCTGCAATTACTGTAGAAGAGCCTGGGCATCTGGCTCATAATTGGATTTGTCCTCCCTCTATAAAGATCAGCTCCTGCTCTCTGCTTTGAACTTTATTCATAGTTGTGCAGTTAAAGTCCAGCTTACTAATGGGAGAAGGGAACTATAAGAATCGATTTCCTTATACACATTGTCCTATATAGTGGAGCTCCTGCTGGTACTTCTCTACCAGAAGATTGGTGGTGTGTGTGTAGAGCTAGAGAGGGAGAGAAAGAGAGAGGGGAAGAGGTTGATTTGAGGAAGGAGGAGAAGTGGGGCAGGCAACTACAAGTCCTTTGTTCCAAATCCGCACACTTTGACATTTTTCTTTCTGCCCTCCATATTATACACATTAGATAAAGTATATTACTTTATTAGAACCATATAGTTTTTTTTCCTGAAAATCTTAGTGCAGTACTAGTATCTCAAACCCATAGCTTTGTAATTGTTCAAACTCAACCTAATTACTTGGGTAATCTCTCTTTTTTCCGGAAGAAAAGCATGTTTCTTATTAAGTACGATTTTAAGAAGTAGAATATCTTACATTGGGTTAAGGGAATATCTTATCATTGGGTTAAGGGAAGGGCATTATGTTGGCTTTAAATTGTACAATGAGTCAGCATTGCACTGAATGGTAGGACAGAGCCACACCCATGCAGTTCCCCACGTGGTGATTTCTAAATCTTACCTATCCAAGTGAGAAGCCGGGTGAATGTTAGCAGCAATGACGTGGCTGATATCTCACTCTTTTTACCGCCATCCCCACCCTAACCGTGTTGATATTGGCAGAAACCTGTAAGCAGGTTTTGCGTGCGGACTTGTCCAGCAAATTAGCATCAGATTCTGATATCATTCTGAGAGTAAGAACTTTACAAAGGGAAAAAAATTGGCGTTAATGTGTTGAGTGTGTGAAGGTTACTGCTTCTGAAAAATCAAATTCTCCTGTTTTTCTAGCAAAGGGGCCAATCCTCTACCCTGCTTTAATTCATGCCTTGTGCTTTGTTCCACCTTCTTGCTTTCTTCTCTGCAATTGCTGCTCTTTCCTTTGTTGAGGTAGCCCACCAAAACTTCAGTTTAACTCAAGTATTGTGGGTATACGGTGGGGTGAGGTGGGATAGAGAAGAGATGGAAAATTGAAATGGTTGAATTAGACAGGCAAAAATTGATATTTGGAAGTGTATTAAGTCTGATTCTTGCTTTTTAACAGACAAATGGTAGCACGAGGTTTGCTGGATACGCTGAAGGCAGTCAGCGATGATGAAAAAGACTGCCTTGCTGTGCTGGAGAGAATAAGTAAATTAGCAGAAGATCCAGGTAACTTCAAGTATTTTAGGAACTGTCAAATTTTCTTTATTAATTTAAATTAAATATTCGTTCCTAATTATAAAACTTATGAATAGTGTATTTATTATATATATATACATATAAAAAACTATACAATACTTCATTCATTTCATGGCTGTTTGTGGAACATTGCTGTGTGCAAATTGGCTACTTAGTTTGCGCACAAACACACCGTTGCTTCACTCTACAGAATGTCCTGTGACTCACTTTGAGACGTCCTTCCGACACAAACGGCATTATAGCAAATATGAGGATTATTCTCAACATTGGTGACATTTTCCCTTGTAAATAAATAACAAACATTTTATTAATTACTGCATCCGAAGCTCTGAAACTTTTCCTGATGCTAGTAGCATTTTGTTTACTGTTTGAATGTGTGAGGTAATGGCATACAAAACTGTTCAGCACAGGAGAGCATTATTGTGCTGGAGACATGGTGTTCTTGTTAGATTTACTGGTGACTGAACTATCTGACCCTAAATCATGGGACACTAATTTCCACATTACAAATAACCAGGAGAAAACCAATTTGCTTGGTCTTGAGTGCATGCCTGGTAGAAGTAATGCATGGTTATTAGCAAGGAGATAACCAGGAGGTATTTGATAAATGTAATTGCTCACATTTTATTTGACTTGCTGGATATTCAAACTTACTTTAACCCAAAGAACTTTTGCTCACATGATTTAGTCCCTTGTGATTTTAGACATAATACAGGCACGCCTTGTTTTGCAAAGTTGTTTTAACTAGAAGTGACTCTGCAATAACTCCAGCTGGCACTTAGGAACTCTTTTCATTGAAGTGGCAGGGTGGATTTAATAGGACTGGCTGCTGCTCAGAAACAACCAAAGTGCAATTGTTCTTAAAGTTGAGGATGACAATTTCATTTTCTGACATGTGGACATATCCTGATCTCAAGGGAGGGTCCACACAGATCAGCAATATTTTTATAAACATACATACAAGAAAAATGACTGCTTTTTACAAGCAGGCTGAGGCACACAGCCAGAAAAAATGTCTGTCACTGATGGAATTTTTACATCGCCTTTCACTGTCAAAGTACAAGCGACTCTGTCAAATATAATCTTTAGTATTGCAGCAGAGCAGCTGGGAACAATAATGGAGCTGCATTCTTGTCAGGGAATCAAAGTGCTTCCTTCCCTGTATCCTAAATAAAGCTGAAGTTTCATATGGGTCGTGAGACGTATTGCTGGCACTGCAGGGTTTTTAATGCCAAAAATAAATGGGTTAATTCTGAAGTCAAAAAGTAATGAATTTTAGCAATGTTCAGAGCTCTTGGTGCAGTTTTAACAGTGTGACCTCTTGTGGAAAAGTCACTCAGTTGATTCTTATGGCACCAAACTATGACAGTTTTGTCTGTACTGCAAGGTTTAAAGAGACCTTAACTGCAGGATAACTGACATTGCAGGAGTTATTTAGAGAGCATGCAAAGCTACAACTGGCACCCCAGAGGAATTAGTGAAGTAAATTTCTTTGAAAGTATTTTCTTCTCTTTGAATAGGAATAGGCTGGTTGATCCTTCTAGCCTGTTTCGTTATTTTATTGGATGAAGGCAGATCCTTTTTATCTCACTTCTGAGAAGTTTACTACTAATAATATTTTTTGCATTTGATATAGCGCCTTATCACATCGTTGAGACGTCTCAAAATGCTTCACAGAATATATTGTAAAGTGGAATTGACTCTATTTAGTAGGTGAAATATGACAATCAATTTATTAATTGATATACATTACATATAATATAAATTTTAAAATAATTATATTAATTTATTAATTAATTAGGTTCATTCTAAAGTGAAGATTATATCTTTTGTTTTTGATAATCTTACCACAGGGAAGAGTCATCCTCATCCAGTTTTCCCATTTACCTTAATTATTTCAAACACCTCAGCTCCAGGGAATATAACTCAAATTTACCCAAGATCTCATCAGAACTAAATCATTTTAACCCAGATATTAATCTGGTGAATTATTGATGGGTCCCCTCCAAGGATAATATGCCTGTCCTGAGGTTCACTGCCCCAAACTGAGTCTTACTCTCCAATTGAGATTTGACCAGCACTCTCCACGATTGTGACTCAAAGTCAGCAATGGGTAACTAGTATTGGGTGTTTCTCAAAATTATTTATAATTTTTCTGGCGAGTGATTATTCAGCACAATTTATATTTATATATCATGCTTGATATCAGGAGGACATCTCAAAGGGAGGGTTTTGATAAAATATAAATTGTTTCCACTGTTCAGTGAGTCAGTTAAATGTTAGAATTTTTAGAGGGTTGTGGGGACAGGAAAGGCCCTGAAGCAGAATTTGTAATAGCTTTTAAAGGGGAATTTATCAAATATTTGTCTGTGGGGAAAGAGGAGGGAGTGACACTAAATAAGTAGCTCTTCCAGACAGTAGTCATGATATGCTATAAAATTCTATACTATCTGTTGTCGAAAACATAACGATATGATGTATAATTGGTAGAGTTGCCTATTTTAGTGACTATCACAAAAATCTGGCTATTTTTACAGAGCCAACAGTGCGTGCAGAATTGATGGAACAAGTACCTCATATTGCCATATTCTGCCAAGAGAATAGGCCTTCCATTCCTTACGCTTTCTCCAAATACTTGTTACCCTTTATGGTTCGATGCCTTGCAGACCCCAACAACCAGGTAAGACATTTTCAGCAGACATGGACAATGTTGGAATAGAAGATGTTTAATTGATCAACCTTTCATTCAGAGAACTGTAAAATTAGTTAAAAGCATCTAAGCTTGAACTGGTTTGCTTCTAGGTGAGAAAGACCAGCCAGGCAGCATTGCTAGTTGTGCTAGAACACGAGCTAATAGAAAGGTATGATGTGGAAACCAAAGTGTGCCCTGTTCTACTGGATCTGACTGCACCTGAGAGCAATGACGATCTGAAAACGGAAGCTGTAGCAGTAAGTGTAACTACCAAGTTTTCTTTTCACGAAACTAATTCAGTTCTTCAATTCCTATTGAAATTGGAGGTAATCAAGAGCATCAACATCTATTGCATGAATTAGAGAATGGTAGGTAGAATGCTTAGAGTAGAAGGATGTTGTATTGCTTCAGTCTTGGGGGATTTACATTTGCTGCTTTACCTTGTTGAGGAGTATAATATCAGTGGGAGAAAATAGTGATGGTATAGATTGTCCTCACAATGTTGTAAAGTCTGTGCTTGCAGAGCCCAGTGAAATGTTCTTGTTCGGCATTTGATCCAGATAGCATTCTAAAGGTCGTGTCCCGGGGAAGCTTTTATATATTTTTTAAAAAGTTGTGGTTTAAATGTTCAAAATGCTATTGTAAACGCGAGGATTGTTTAGGATATTTATGTGTAGAAATTTCATTTGCAATTCAGGTATTTTGCAAGAGCAATCTTAGCTGAGAGAGCCGTGTATCATCAACAGTATAAAAAGAAAATGTAAACTTAGCCTTATTTACATTGCCTGCATTTACCTTCATTGTAGATAATGTGTAAGATGGCTCCGATGGTAGGAAAAGACATCACAGAAAGATTTATACTGCACCGATTCTGTGAGATGTGCTGTGATTGCAGGATGTTCCATGTTCGTAAGGTCAGTCCATTTGTTTTTACTCAGTTAAGAACAACAACAACTTGCATTTATATAGTGCCCTTCACGCTGGGTAGCAGCCCGGAGCGCTTAACAGTAGCTAAGTCTGACCCCCAAGTCAGAAAGAGAGGGAGTGGGGAGGTGACCATAAGCACGATCAAAAACGAAGGTCTTTAGGCAGGATTTGAAAGTGGGGAGATTGGGTGAGAGAGTTCCGGAGCTTCGGAGCGTAGTGGCTGAAAGCACGGCCGGTGATGGTGGAGCGGAGGGGGTAGGGAGATGAACAGGAGGCCGGAGCCGGCCAAGTGGAGGCAGCGGGTAGTAGTGGAGTGGGGTTAAGCAAGTCGGAAAGATAGGGAAGTGTGAGGGCATGAAGGGATTGAAAACGTTTTAACGTTTAACTGCTTATTGTTAAGACATCTTTCATGCATATAAGAAATCCGACTCCTCTTCCAGGTTTGTGCTGCCAACTTTGGAGAGATATCCAGTGTCGTTGGTCGTGAAGCTACTGAAGAGTTATTGGTAGGTATGAATTTTCTTTGGTCAACCAGATATCTTATAAATCTTAATAAAGCCAGATAGAAGTAAATCTTTGAAGGTGGCAGGTTAGTTAGATAAAGCTGTTAAAAAGTATACGGGATTCTAGGCTTTATAAATAGGGGCACAGAATACAAAAGTCAGGAATAATAATAATAATCCTTGCATTTGATATAGCGCTTTTCACGTCTTCTAGACGTCCCAAAGCGCTTCACAGAATATACTGTAAAGTGAATTGACTGTATATTTGTGGGCGAACGCGGCAGCCAATTGCGTACAGCAATGTCCCACAAACAGTCATGGATTGAAAATGACCAATTTATTATTGTTTTTGGTTTTGGAGGGATTATTACTAGGCGTGTGGAGTAAGGAAACTTACCTAAGGTTTCGCCCTGCCTGGAATTGAACTCCGGTCTCTCACTTGCAAAGTGAGTGCTCTAACCACTGAGCTACAGGACTCCACAAAGTTATGATGAACCTTCATAAAACACTGGTTAGACCTCAGCTAGAGACAGTGTTCACCACACTTTAGGAAGGATGTCAAGGCATTGGAGAAGGTGCAAAGGAGATTTACCAGGATGGTACCAGGAATGAGGGACTTCAGTTATCTGTAGAGGCTAAAGAAGCGAGGATTATTCTCCTCGGAGCAGAGAAGGGTAAGAATAGACTTGATAGAAGTTTTCAAAATTATGAGGGGATTCGATAGAGTGAACAAAGAGAAACTATTTCCACTGGCAGGTGGGTTGGTTACCTGAGGACATCAATTTTAAAATAGTTGTTAAAAGAAACAGAGGGGAGGTGAGAATTTTTTTTACACAGAGAGTTCAGATCTGGAATGCATTGCCTGAAAGGGTGGTGGAAGCCGATTCGGTAACAACTTTTAAGAGAGAAATAGATAATTATTTGGGGAGGATAAGTAGAGGGATTGATTCGGATAGCTCTTTTCAAAGAGCCAGCACAGACATGATGGGCCGAATGGCCTCCTTCTGTGCTGTATAATTCTATGATATCTTGATGTATGCGAAAACTCATCACCATACCTAACAGTATCCAAACCAGACTGAGTTCCATGTATGCCCACCACACATGGAAATTCCTATGTCTGGAATAGAATGCTTTCCCCAGAGGGATGCATCCCGGTTACCCAATTGCAGGGAGCATTAGGTGCAGGTTGGCAAGAGCTTAGGGGCCCCGGTGTGCGTTGGGGTAACTGTTGGAGTTTAACCAGCTAAAACTGTACAGTTTACCATTGAGAGCACTGCCTGACAAGCTTTCTGGTACTATTGGGAGAATGACAAAAAACAAAATATATTTGTTTGAAGATTTTAATTGTACACTCATTCATTGCTTGAAATGTTTATTGTAGTGCATTCCATGAAGACTATTGGGATTCTGAATTTAATAATAATCCTTGCATTTGATATGGAGCCTTATGTTGTAAACATGTCTTGAAGCACTTCACAGTGTAAAGTGTGGTGACTTTGTATTTTGTAGGTGAATGCAGCAGCCAATATGCACACACCAATGTCCCACAAACAGCAAATGAGTGAATGATTAATTTTATTTGAGAGATTGTTGGCGAGGATATCGTCAGCAACTACCTTCTCTTTTCGAATAGTGCCATGGACAGGCAGACAGGATCTGGGTTCAGGCACAGCACTTCCAGCATTGCATTGGTGTGTCAGTCTACACTGCATCAGTTCCAAGTCCTGACATGGGACTTGAACCCACAACCTTCTGACTCTTGAGGCAAGAATGCCACCAACTGAGTCAGTCAGGCTGAATTTATTATGTTGAGCTTTCCAAATGCACTTGGGCTTAATAGATGTGAAATCTTTAGAGTAGAATTGATGGTTAATAAAACTGGTATTTTCTTTCCTGAAGGTATAGGCTTTTTGGGGGTTGGGTGCCAGTTGCCATTCACTATCCATCCCAAGTTGCAAAGTATCCACATGGACAATGAGTTTGGGGAGTGTAGCAAAATGGGAGAGAAAATCTCTGGCAAACCTGTTCTCACCTCGTATCCACAAACTGACATGTTTTAGGCAGGAAGTCACTGGGTGACGAGTAGTAATGTTGGCTGTGTTTTTCTTCTTTCTTGTCTAGGAGTTGCTTACGGTGATTGCAGTAGCCCCGGCTGCTTGTCTGTTGCTTAGCATTGACACCCTTGCCTCTTAGGGTTGAATGTTTTAAATTTATTTACTACCTGTCAAGTTAATTTTTGCAAATTAGATTTTTCTCACCTGGGAAAATTACTTTTAAATTGAAATCGTTCAGATCTAAAAGGATAGGCCTTTTGATATAAATACTCAGACAGTTTGAGGTGAAGGACATTGTCCGGGTTACATAGGATCCAATATAGCAGGAAATCAAAGACAAAAATCATAAGGAATCTGATGAAGATGGACAGATTAATTTCTCCCGTTAGTAACTGGAGAATTGCTTCATTTCTCATCTTCACCATTGTTGGTAGCTGCTTCAGACTTGAATTTTAATTTAAAGGTAAATGCAATCAATTGAATTGCAATCCTATTTGTAGGCAGACATTGGAGGAGAGGGAAGAGAAAATACATGAATATAAATCCAGTTATTTGAGACATGACTCTGCTTGATTACATGTTAACTTGTGCAAGGGTTTTTGAAGATTTGTGTCCAGTATTACAGCACAAGGTCTTTTTGACTCACCACATTAGGCCTTTGACTTGCTACACTTCCTGTTCACTCAGAAATTGACACAAATGCCATCTGTGGTACCCTTCTCGAGCCCATGGAATGCTGATTTCAGCTGATGCTCATCTGTTGCCAATTATTTCCTCTCCTGCTCTTAACCAGTTGAAATAGTAAACTGCAGGGAAGATGTATTCTTCAGAAGGTAGAACTGAGCAGCTTGAGCTTCTCATTCTTTTTGACTTTTTGGCTCTTTTGGAAAAGTTGTTAAATGGAAATGATTCTGAATTTTTTAAAAATCGAAATTACAAAGGTTGCACGGTTTAGTCATTGATCTATGAACTGTCTAATTATTTTTCCTACCTTAGGCAGCTATGGAAATTGTTCTATTGCGACACACATTAAGCAGTTTCTTTTCACACTTTTGTTTTGCAATTTTATTGGCTGACTTCAGAGTGTACTTGAAATAAACCCTCTGGAATATTGTGACGTCAATGTTGTGTTAAACTAGTGTGCTCTGTTTTTAAAAGACCTAAAAACTGAACCTCAGAGTGCATACAGCTGGGACCTTGGAAAGCTCAACAGCTGGAAAAAATAAATGTCCCGAAATGTCTCCTTTCCACTATCGCTACAAAATCCTCATGTAAAATAACATGAAACAAGGCCTAAAATGTTTTTGTTGTTATTCCTGTACAGTTGCCCAGGTTTTTTCAGCTCTGCTCTGATAATGTATGGGGAGTAAGGAAAGCATGTGCCGAGTGCTTTATGGGTGTATCTTGTGCAACCTCTCAGGATGTTCGTAGAACCAAACTGTCTTCACTCTTCATTAACCTGATCAGTGACCCCTCGAGATGGGTGAGTTCACTTCGTTTATTCTGCATCTTTCTCACATTTTGTTCAGTGTACAACAAAATGCACATGTGTGAAGTCATCCTGGCTACAGTTTGTTTTCCCAGTAAATACCAGTTTACATAATTTTGTTGTTGCACACACATCTTTGCTTAGTTTCAACCTGTTTAAATGGGTTATGGTACATTTTCTGATGTTCTGCTTGAACATGTATCGTAGTGTCATTTGCATATGCTATGCATGTTTTCAACTCTTACATTACTGACTTCCACACCCTTGGAAACATTGGAGTAAAAGTAAGGTATTTGACTTATTGTTCCTGTTTATCTCATTTTATTGCTTTTTTTCTAATCCCATTTCTTTGCCTTTTTCATGACTGCATGCTCTTGTACCAAAACTGATTTAAGCTTGTGAGGAGACGTTTAAGTTACTTTACTCTTTACGACATGCCCTTTTTTATTTGATTTGTTTTTAATATGTTTTAGATAGAAAACCAGTCTTGAAGCTTCGCTCACATTCACAAGTTGCATGAACTTCGCTTTTATTCCTTGGGTCACTAGAACTGGTTCTTCTATATTGTTTGTATTCCACACTTGGTTGCCAATCTTCCATCTGGAAACACTGCTACAGACTGTGATGGGAGTTCCTATTTGGCGACAGGGTTTGACATTGAAGTGTTTTATTTCCAGGTTCGGCAAGCCGCCTTCCAGTCATTAGGCCCTTTTATCTCAACCTTTGCCAATCCTTCCAGTGCTGATCAGTACTTCAAAGAAGACCTGCTTTCTCCCAGGAATGTTGTGGAAGGTAAAGGGACAGAGAGTGATAATGGGTGAGTGTTGGGTACAGAATAGTTAATGTATCTATTTGTTATTAATAATAGTTTTGTTAATTTGCTTAATATTTTCTCCCTTTCCCTTTTTCTGTTCATTTTCTTTCCATTTCTGAAGATCTATAGATCCCTTACTTTTGTTTGGTGCACTGTTCCCACTGGTATCTTGGTCCATTTGGCTGTTATCCATGTGCAAATATCGGTGCACTATTCAAATATGGAGGGGACTTTAAAATGGACACCAATGAAGTCTTCACTTGACAACAACAGCTTGCATTTATATAGTGTCCCTCATTCAGGCTAGCATCCCAGAGAGCTTGACAGCTCGACCCCAAGAACATCTTCCCATCGCTTAAGTCCACACATATATCAGTCAAGCCCAGTACTGACCTCGCACAAGATCCACACACTCTACACACAGACACTCGTTCTAATAGGAATCACTGGATAGTAATGAAGATTGAAAGTTTTGATGATGCTTCCCCTCCCTAATTGTCGTCATTGCTACCATAGTTTGGCATTCACTAACTCTATAACCAACCAGGGCTCAAACCTGTAACCTGGTCTGTCTGATTTTTGTGTGGTATCTTTATCCCTTTGGCCATTGGTGTGAAAGAATAGTTTGGTTTGAACTATCAATATAAATATTAAAGGCGCTTTAGAAGTCTGTATTGTATTATCCAAATGGAATGTCAGTAAATGTTTTTTGTCTGATGTATTTTCTCACATATTCTGGCTTGGCATTACTAAAGTGCGTGCCGACTATTAACAATGCCAATTATTCAACTTTTTTTGAAATAGAAAAAACACAGCCAGAGAAATGTAACTTATTCCTTCCTGGTTCGGGTCAGGACTGTACCAGAAATTCCATTTTGTCATAGTTAACATTCCAAAAGTAAGCGGAATATTTTTGTCTAGAATTACTGTCTTGTGAGCCTGAAATTCCCTCCAGATGGACAGCAGTCTGCATCATTATTGGGCTTTGATCTTCGGTAAAGCACACTTTATTTTAACTAGTAGTCTTTTACAGAACTATTGCATGCCTTTTTTGAAACTAGCCTTTTGTTTTAAACCATCAAACATTTTATTAAATTACTAGCAAACTCCCATGTTAATGCTGCTTTGATGCTCCCAAACAGTGTCTGTAAATTAACAAGCCTGTTAACCACTCGTGCAGACTACTTTCTGATCTGTTTCCACATGTCTTTGTTTACCACGTAATTAGGAACATGGTTGTCAGTCGATTGGCGGATTGCTTTTCCAGGGATAATAATCCCTTCAAAAAATAATAATAATAATTGGTCACTCAATCCACAACTGTTTGTGGGACAATGCTGAATGCAATTGGCTGCCTCATCTCGCCCACAAAATATAGTGAATTCACTTACAGTATATTCTGTACTTTGCACTTTGAGACGTCTTGAAGACGTGATAAGGCACTATATCAAATGCAAGGATTGTTATATTATTATGTTGCAAAAGGGATGGAACACTCAAATGGTGTATGAGTTTCCTGTGTAGTGAATGTTGATAACAAATCATATGGCTTTTGTCCTTTGCTTTAGAGTAAAGCATGCAGCAGAACCAGAAGAGATCATGGCTGGGGTTGTGAAAAGTGAGGCAGAAGAACTAGCATCATGCCATAGTTGTGCTGTGGAATCGTTAAGTCCAGAAATTGAACTCTCTCCAAAAGATGAACTAATATCAAAAGATAACAGTGAATGTAGCAGTGATCCTAATTGCACCAAGGCAGCAACCTTGCAGCCAAACTCTGAATGCTTTGTGTGTCCCAAACTCCAAACGAATCCTGATTTAACCACAAGCTATTCATCATATTCAGACAGTGCAATAGTAGTACCATCCCAACAAGAATCCTCTTCAGAAAATGCTGTCATTCCAGAGGACATGTACAACTCATTCCATTACTGGAGGACTCCTATTCCAGCAATAGACCTTGATTTGGAACTACGACCGGAGTCTTCAGATTTGCAGGAAAGCAAAGCTCCCGCGCAGGCAGATGCAGATGCATCGTTTGGCTCCCTGACCTTCAGCACAGCTACCAGAAGAAAACTGGAGGAAATGCTGGAAAACTTAGAACCACACACAGATGACCCGGAAGTAAAAGGTATGAAAAACCATATCGTTTTCATCCCTTGTTAACCCACTCTAGAAATAGTGATGTAATTCCTTTGTATTTTAATCTAATAGAGAAGTCTTAACCATGTGAAGATTTATGCCCCAATGTAATTTGGATTTTTAAAAAAAAATTCCACAAACCAACTTGTATGAATTCTTATTCAGGTCAATCTTTATTCAGAAGTGTTTGAAATAAAATTTATTTTGCTCTGCTATTTAGATTTGTGAACAGATTGTCTAATGTTGTCAGTGTATAAAATGTTGCTGCACTGAACAAGAGATGAAACGCTACTGCGTTTCGTCCACAAAATATACAGTCAATTCACTTTACAGTATATTTCTGTGAAGCGGTTTGAGATGTCTCAAGGATGTGATAAGGTGCTATATCAAATACAAGGATTATTAGTATAAGGTTCCATGGTTATAAGTTTAAATATCTTGTACGCTGTTTGTTTTCTTTTTTCTTTACACTTTGACCATATTAACTTCATTATAAAACATGGATTTAGATGTAAAGTTCTCATTTATTTATGAAAATGTACTCAGCATCTCTATACAACATGTACAATACAGTGTAAAAACTCCATCCACATTCCCTTCGCCTCGCTCCCTCCCTTGCCTCCTTCAAAGTGCATCTCAGAACCTTCCTCTTTGACCACGCCTTTGGTCACCCTCCACCTTCCCCGATCCCGACCCTCAGCTCAGTTCCAAATCCCTGACTGTACAGCGCTTTGGGACGTCGTCCCAACGTGAAAGGTGCTATACAAATGTAATTTTGTATTGTATTGAAACAGTGTGATGCGTCCATAACTTTAGACCCTGTGTTTTTATGGGCCCATGAAAAGAAATGGCTACTGGTGCAGGAAGCCAGACATTTTGTCCTGGGCGTATAACAACAACAACAAGATTCCATTTATAGAGCGCCTTTCACGTCAGGAGGACGTCCCAAGGCGCTGCACAGTTGGGTCATGACCCGAGCAGGGGGGAAATGGTCAGGGTGAGGGGAGGGAAGGGAGGGAGAGAGGAGGGGGAAATGGTCAGGGTGAGGGGAGGGAAGGGAGGGAGCGAGGAGGAGGAAGAGAGTCGAGAGGGGAGCTGAAGGCACGGTCAAAGAGAAAGGTTTTGAGACCGGCCTTGAAGGAGGAAAGGGAGGAAGCAAGGCGAAGGCACTGGGGGATGGAGTTCCAGAGCCTGGGGGCTGAGAGGCTGAAGGCCCGACCACCGATGGTAGGGCGGTTGGGGCGGGGGACGTGGAGCAGACCGGAGCCAGAGGAACGGAGGGTACGGGCAGGTAGGTAGGGGGATAGTAGGTTGGAGAGGTAGGAGGGAGCAAGGCCGTGAATGGCCTTGTAGGTGAGGATGAGGATCTTGAAATCAATCCTCTGGGGGATGGGGAGCCAGTGGAGGCGAGCGAGGGTGGGAGTGATGTGATCGCGAAGCCTGGTGCGGGACAGTACACGAGCTGCAGAGTTCTGAATGACCTGCAGCTTGTGGAGGGAGGTGGCGGGAAGGCCGGCGAGGAGAGAGTTCCCATAGTCCAGCCTTGAGGTGACAAAGGCGTGAACCAGGGTTTCAGCGGCGTGAGGGGTGAGGTAGTGCCGTAATCTGGCGATATTCCGGAGGTGATGGAAGGCGGTGCCAGTTGTGGTGCGGATGTGAGGGAGAAAGGACAGCTCAGGGTCGAACAAAACGCCGAGGTTCCTGACTGGCTTTGAGAGGTGGAGAGTGCAGCCTTGGATGCTGATGGTGTCAGCGCCTGAGGTGCGGAGGCGCTGACGTGAGCCAATCAGGAGGGCCTCGGTTTTTCGCACGTTGAGCTGAAGAAAGTTGTCTCTCGTCCAGGACTCGATGTCGGACAGGCAGGCTGTCAGGACATCGGTGGTCGTGGAGTTGAGAGTAGAGGAGGAAAGGTAGAGTTGGGTGTCATCCGCATACATGTGGAAGTTAACCCCATGTTTGCGGATGATGTCACCAAGGGGGAGCATATAGAGGGTGAAGAGGAGGGGACCGAGGACAGAGCCCTGAGGGACACCACATGAGACAGTACGGGGGGTGGAGGAGAAGCCATTCGTTGAGACGAAGTGAAGACGGTGGGAAAGGTACGACCTAAACCATTCAAGGACAGTGCCTTGAAGGTTGAGGTGGGAGGACAAGCGGTGGAGTAGGATAGCGTGGTCGACCGTATCGAATGCTGCCGATAGGTCGAGGAGGACGAGGAGACAGAGGGAGCCCTGGTCACAGATGGTCAGGATATCATTGGTGACCTTGACCAGCACTAATAATAACTGTGGTTCCACGGGATGCCAGTGCTTTAAGCAAACTTACATTATAGTCTCATTTATTTGGTTTTAGTGGAATTTTTTTCCTATTTCCTCAAACATGGAATTACATAACCATACAATGTTACACAAAGACTGTTTGGCCCTTTTAAGTCTGCACCAGTGTTTTTGTGCAGATGAACCACTTCATCTGATTCCACTTCTGCTTTCTACCCAATCCCTGTAAGTATTCTTTGAGCATCTGTGTAATTCTCCACTGGGGGGTGGTGTGTTTGTTCGCCGGTGTGTCTAGTGCTATGAGAATCAATGTCAACATTAAGCAAGACTGAGAACTGAATTAAATCAATTTGACAACATATAGCATATAAAAAGAATTTTGGCATTCAGGTGACGTGCAACTAACTGTAAACCTTGACAAAATTACTGCCTTATTACTGCTGCTTAGTCTGCATTGTGTATGTAATTTTCTGCCCATCTTTAATTCCTTCCTCTGTGGCCTCCCCAATGCAATCCCATCAGGCTACTGGGCATGGTAATCTGACCATCAACATCCTTTGATTTTTACGTAGGGGCCTCTTGTTTTTTTTAAATACAAATCTACGTGATGACTCAACTGATATTGAGAACGTGCTGCATTGGGAATGTGCTTATTGTTTCACAATCCAGCACAGCAATTTGCACATTTGTAAACTCCATTGTCACTTGTGCTCATAAATCTCAGAGAATGTTTGAGTGCGCCTAGTGTATGTGTGTGTTTGTACTATAAAACAAAACAAGGATTTTCAGCATAAAGTGGACATGGGTAACGTATACATAAATACACCCGAGCTTTATTTTTAGGCGGTTAATTGGAGTCAATAAAATCCCAGCCTGAGTTATAACAGGGTCACATTAGCCGGTTTCACTGTGCTTGTGCCCAGTTAGTTGGCTTCCTGGGCTGTTAAAAAAAAGACAACATTCACGTCATCAGGTCATTGTCAATGTCACTACCTGTGTACTGCTCTGCACATATGATCTAATAACCTGGAATTTGGCTATTTGTAGTAAGGCGCCAGCTGACTGCACACATTCGCAGTGAATGGGGTTCACACCCAAGTCACGTTACAAACAGGCTTACGCTATATTAATCTCCTTATTTAAAAAAGGACATACTTGCCCTAGAGGGTGTGCAGCGTAGATTCATTAGGTTAGTTCCTGGGATGAGGGGACTGACCTATGAGGATAGGCTGAATAAACTAGGGCTATTTTCTCTAGAGTACAGAAGAACTAGGGGAGATCTTATTGAAACATAAGATTCTTAAAGGGCTGATAAAGTAGACACTGAGGGTCTGTTTCCCCTGGTAGGAGAATCTATAACCAGGGGTCACAGTCTTAAAATTAAGGGTCAGCCTTTTAGAACAGAGTTGAGGAAACATTTCTTCACTCAGAGGGTCAGAGGGTAGTGAATTTATGGAACACTCAGTCCTTGAACATCTTCAAGGCTGAGACTGATAGATTTTTAAAAAATAGAGGGATTAGGGGATATGGGGATAGGGCAGGTAATTAGAGTTAGGTCTGAAGATCAGCCATGATCGTATCGAATGGCGGGGCACAGGCTCGAGGGGCCGAATGGCCCACTCCGGCTCCTAATTCTTATGTTCTTATATTGAAGCACGTTATAATGGGTCTGCATGTAGATGAGGCCCATAGTGTATAGTAATGGATAATATTGTGAAAGTTTGCAGGGCAAAGACATGGCCTGACGTTTTGAATTGATTAGCAGTCAAAAAATTATGAATAAACAAGCAGTCAAAGGACAGGAAAAGCAATCAATGTGCAGTGACTCCACAATATATGTAAATGTTGGAAGATCCAGTTATAAAAGTAACCTGGCAGACAGATTAACCTGGCCACAGGGTGGCTGAAGGCACGGTTGAAGAAGAGGGTTTAAGACATGCCTTGAAGGAGGCAAGGGAAGGAACGAGGTTTTGTGATACTACTGAATTAAACCTGGATCCCGATTTCAATTGTGCAGTAATGCATGGTGCATTGTATTTAGCCATTACCACTGAAAGTTCGTTGGATTCTAGGAATGTACCCTGAGAGGCATTCCTTCATTTGTGAGCTCCAAGATATAATGGCAGCAAGTCTTGAGCAATCATCATTGAATAAGGTCTCCCTTACTGTTGCATTATCGCCAAGATTGCACTAGAATTTAAATAGACTAGAGTAGAAGTGTGGACTTTCAAGGACAGGAGATAAACTGGTGTATTTTGTGCCTTTGTTTGTGAATTTGGGATCTTTACAGCATTTGCAGGAAATAAAATCAGCCGTATAGTCCCATTATATTATATAAGGTGATTATTTCACACACCCCTACCACATATTGAGTTTTACATGTAGTGAGGTTGTATTGTATAGTGTTCATGAAGAGCAGGAGAAGTTTTAGCACTTTGGGGTGTCCTTCTGACGTGGAGGGAGCTATACAAATGTAATTTGTGTTTTATTATGTGCCTCATAAAATCAAACCCTGCTGACCCAATTGGTGCTGAGGAACCTGCTACCATTGATCACTTCCCACTTGGCAAAATTGTGCCTTTGTTGATGAATTAAGAGCATATCATATCCTGCAATGTGCTACTGGTACACCAGTAATGGCTAACCTAAGCAGTTTCAGTAAAAGCTTAGAAAAAGGTCACACATATTCTGTAGTTAATGCATGTCATATGGAAGTAACAAAAGTGTGCATGTATTGCATTGTTTAAAGTTCTTAAAAGCCAAGTAGTTCCTTCCTCTGCTATCATTCCTCAAGGCGAGGTGATTGTGGGTCTAGTTTCAGAGGAAAGAGGTCAAGTGCTTCACCACAAACAACAACTTGCACTTATGTAGCGCCATCAGGGTAGCATCTCAGAGCGCTTAACAGTGGCGGAGCTCTGAGCCGGGGGGGGATGTGGCCGTAAGCACAGCCGACCCGGAGGGTTTTCAGGTGGGACTTGATAAAGGGGGAAAGAGGAGGCAAGGCGGAGGGATAGAGAAAGTGTTCCCGAGTTTCGGGATGCAGTGGCTGAAAGCGCAATCTCCGATGGTGGGGGGGAGGGTGTGAGGGATGAGCAGGAGGCCAGTGCCAGTCGAGCGGAGGCCCCAGATGGTGGATTGGGGAGTGGAGAGGTCGGGAGGTGCCAGAGAGTAAAGGGATTTGAACACAAGTGTGAGGATCTTGAAGTTGATCCATTCAGTGATGGGGAGCCAGTGGAGCCTGGCCAGAACTGGTGAGATGTGGGTACGGAGTTTGGTCTGGGTAAGTATGCAGGTGGCAGAGTTCTGAATGAGATGGATTTTTTGAATAGTGGAGCTGGGGAGACCGGTTAGGAGTGCATTTGAGTAATCCAGGCGGGAGGTGACAAACACATGCCCGAAGGTTTCGGTTGTATTTGGCGTAAGGTACGGTCGCAGGCAGAGATGGAAGAAGGTGGTCCTGGTTAGGGATCGAATTTTGGGGAGGAAGGAGAGCTGGGGATCGAACTGGATGCCTAGATTGTGCACTGGTTCAGTGAGCATGAGGGAAAGCCCAGGGAGGTTAAGGAGTTCAGATCCGCAGGAGTGAAGATGTTGCTGGGACCAAGGCGTATGGCTTCTGTCTTGTCCACATTCAGCTGCAGGAAGTTTGCACTCATCCAGGCCTTGATGTCTACCAGACAAGCTGATAGAACATCAGCGGACCTGGAGTGAATACCGGAGGAGTCAAAGTAGATTTGTGTGTCATCCACATACATGTGGAAGTTTACCCCATGTCTGCGGGTGACATCGCCCAGTGGGAGCATATACATCAGGAAAAGAAGAGAGCCAAGGATGGAGAACAAAGAGGAAGAAGGTATTCCTTCCAGAATACCAATTCTGCCATTTTCCCATTAGATTTAATTGTTTATTAAATGAGTCCAGTGTTTTACCCTTTAAGCTGATTCAACTGGCAATCCTTCTGTTTAAATAAATGCTTTCTTCTGTCTGCTCTAAAGTTGCCATGAACTTGAGTTCTCTTGGCATATCTGATTGTATTGTTCTTGGTATTACTCTCTATATCCCACTGAGCATCTCTCTCACTCCTGAGATGTATTCAATTCAGATGTTCGTGCATGGCTTATTAGAGAGCACTGGCATATAAGTTAAAGCCTACATGCCCTCTATTTTTAGGAACCCAGAGTCTGTTTAACATTTATTTCTGAAATGATCATGGGAGCAGAAAAATTCTTGACATTCATGTATTCATTTAAGAAATGGCAATTCTGAAAATGCAGAAGAAATTTCACAATGTTTCTTTTTACCCTCAACAGCACAAGTGGATGTTTTAACTGCTGCCCTCCGAGCTTCCAATCTGTCTTCAACATCAAATGAAGTGGCTTCTGCGGAACTACCAGATAATTCACTCGAGTCCCAAGAAGATCCCATGATATCCAACTTACTAAATTCTGATCCAGAAGATGTGCCTTTAACTGCTGAAATTTCAGCTGCTTTTGAGGTGGGATTTTTTTTTAGGAATAAGTTTGCAGTCAAGGATTTAAAGTAACATCATTGGTGAAATCTGTCAGCGTGACAACATTTAATTAGAAAACTGCACAATGTCTTCCCCAATGGTTGAATTCAAGAGATCACGGTTGCTATTTAGATTGCAATTGAAATGCTGTATTTTGATCTAAGTTTGCTCTAATGCTCAGTTAGTAAACTGCACTCAGCTGTGTAATTCAAGGCTGGTCTGGTTCACTATTTGAGGCATTCATTTGGGAACCCAGATGTAATCAAATGTAGCGTTCCAAGATCTAAGAATCAAGTTGGAACTGGCATCTTTTCTGTGATGTCAATTGTTTGTCTGCTCCACTTATCAATCAATTATTTAGGTGAGATGTTAAACAATTGTGTCTGCTTGTTCTGGTGGATGCGAAAGATCCCATATTTTGATTTCGAAGTGCAGGGAGATTGGCTGTTATGTTTGGTTTGATTATGGCTCATTGCGCAAAGCGCTTTGTATGGGCTGTTGAAGCTTGATGAGGCTCTACAAATGTATGTATTTTACGAAATGTCTGGATATATACGCACTTTAAAAAAAACTTCCAATTTATCAGTGAATCCTTGGTTAGTTTATTTGCATTAACCTGTTGAATTTCAAAAGTTCAGGAATGGTGAGTTGAAACTGTAATTTTCACCCTAGTTTATTGCTGTTGGTTTACAGGAAGACAGCGTGTATGATCACCAAATCCAAACTACATCTTCCTTTGCAACAGTAGTAGCAGATGACCGGGTGTTCACCTATTTTGAGACGGTAAGAGATGGCAGAAAATAGTTCAGTAGGGAGCAGTGTTTGAAATGTATTAAAAGGCATCTTTAAAGAAGATGGAGTTATCAGCCGGGCCACTAGACGGAGCACTGTACTGAAGCCAAATGCAATATTTTGTTTTAAGGTAAGAAAAGCTGCATTACCAGCTTCATTCATGATACCTTGCTATCTGGTGTAAGAGAACTGGTTCAGCAAGCTAGGTAATATCGTAACTGAGACTCTTCGGAAGCTCTGATTACATGTTAGGAGGGCTGGATATTAACTCAGACTATGCAAAGGGATTTAAAGCAGAGAGATAAGTAACTTAAATGTTTTTTTTTAAGCTTTATATAAGCTTGTGGTTTATTTTCAGCCAATATTTTTCCTGCTTCTCTTGAAGCCTTGGGGTGGTAAAGTTTAAAATAAGCCTTGCTCAAGTGGCTATTTAACTATGAGGCCAGAGTATGAATGTCAGCAGAGTGTTTAGCAGTATTACAGATGACTGGTTTTGCCAAATTCTCACTTGATATCCACATGAGCTTTACAGCTTGAGTAATAGGGAGTGGGATACCTTCTCTCTCTCTTCCTCCCCTACTCGCTCCCCCTCAAATAGTGCACTCAGATTAATTTCAGCACCTCAACTGCTACCTAAAATGAGACCAGCTAACTCAGCACAGACTGGGAATAAAACCAGTGACCCCTTTGTGCAGTTGATTTTGTTGAAATTTTTACATTAAAGGTTGAGTTGTGCTGATCAACAATTTATGTACACCAGTACATAAAATGGTGATGTTCTACTCTGTGAAGCTCAGTGTGCCATCAGGCAGAGGCTTTCCCCCATTAAGCTATCAAGGAGAACTAATGCACTTATTTAGCATCATAGAATATTACAGCACAGAAGGAGGCCATTGTGCCTGCGTCGGCTCTTTGGAAGAGCTCACAATCAGTCCCACTCCCCAGCTCTTTTCCCCATATCCTTGCAAATTTTTCCTTTTGTTTGGTAAAACCCCTTTGCAGGTGCACAGGATCTAACTAGAGGTTTTGAGAGCCACGAAGGGGGCATTTTATTGGGAGTGAAATGTACAGGAAAGGGTTTTGTCTCAGTGCTTGCAGACATTTTGAAATGTATGCATACTCATTATCAACGCTTTCCTCACAGTATTAGGTCCAACCACAGCATAGCTGGTGGAGCAGTAGCTTCGAGATTAAGAATGTGAAATGTTAATGTGTGCTCATTCTTCCTAGCTGTGTTTTGGTAACTTTCTGATCTGGTCCTTGATGCATATTAAGCAATATTGTTGTCAAACCAGCTTCTTGTCACGTTTCCTTCAACAGAACCTAGAGGGCAGGCTTCAATTCATCCATGATCATTCCAGCAGGAGAAGAGCCAGCAGTTCCGATGAAGAGAAAAAGTCCAGAATTCAGGTAATTAATCAGGAGCAGAGCTTCTTCTTAATTTGTAATCTTGAAGTGAAAATAAGTAGATTACATTTGGATGATTTCCATCCATCTATATATTGTTTTGGTCATCAGCATGCTTAAGAGTCTCCGAAACAAACCACTGAGGCAGAGTCACAGGGGCAAGTCTCTTTACCAAGGTCCCTTACATTGAGGACCTGGATTAAGCAATTGGTGTTGAATAGACCTGGTACATTGCATTGGATTTGAGCTCCTAGAACATCAAGGCTCATCATGAGTTGTATGTAGGTCCTTCTACCACATCAACCAGATAGATGTCTTGTCAAATAGCTGATGAGGAAACTTTGAGGCTTGAGGCAGCTGCTGCTGGAAGATGTTACCTGGAGCTGGGGTTCTGAACAGATACTTGTATATCCAGGCCTGGGTCCTCTCCTTGATTGACTGGCAGAGAGGTAAGCACCTGCTGCTAAAGCTCTGCACTTCCAACTGAGGAAATTAAAACTCAATGATTGGGGTTTGTGTCTGGGCTGTGAGCAGGAGGATGATGGCGATGCTCTTGTACATTTCATGCTGAATTTTTTTTTGCTGCTCATCAGGAAGCTCCCCTCCCATGGAGTTCCTGGTATCCACTGTCCACCTAGTGAGGCCTCAAACCTGCAATCTTGGATTTCCTATGTCCAACTAACTAGTCATTAGAGTAGCCTCCTTGAGGCTGAGCTGGCTCAAAGATGAAGTGCTTGGTAATGGGATATTGGAATTAACTCATTCCTCCATGATGATCTCAGTAGCCTGATTCCTGAGCCAGGTAGGTCCACAGTACTTTAAGGCACCATGGATGTTGGTCCAATCAGCCTGTTTCATCGGCACAAACTGAATGGATAGACATCCCACTCGGCTTCTCTTAACCCTGCACTCCAGAGTTTTTACAGCTAAGATGGTCCTAGCTTGATAAGCAATGGAAAGCTGCGTTTTTAGCTGGTTAAGCTCAAAGTATCCCAAAGCACACTCTGAGGTTCCCAAGCCTCGTCTCTTGCTCATACTCTGTGATTTGGTAAGTGGGATGCGCCTTTAATTTGCAGTTTTTGTTCAGCGAAACGTCTTGAACGTAACCCCATGTGAATTAAATATTTGCTTTATTCTTGACATCTGTTCGGCACATGTAAATACTTCAATGATAATTTTCATTAACTCTAATGAAATTGTAGCTGTCTGTACAGTCAGTATAATCCAATTTACAGTCTGCCAATGTGATCAAGTCTGCTCCATTGTTAAATTATTACTGAAAGATTTATTTTCAACATTTCCTCACAGAAAAATTAAATCATATTTGATGCTTCTTTAGTTGATGCAGTTGCTGAGCAATGCTTTGCCTCTTTTTCCCCCACCCCTCCCCATGTCCTAACTACTCTGTGAAAAAATGTCTTCTACCCCACTCCCCCCCCCCCCCCCCCATTTGCTTGTTTCGCTAACTATCTTAAATTAGTGCCCTCACTGACTCATCAATTTCTCACTATTGACCCTATCATATCAGTACCCTGACTGAACCTCAGTAATGTGTATTGTGTTGCATTATGTCAACTTTGGTATTGATACTAATAATTAATCATTAAATATAATAATAATTTGATCACTCACTTCACAACTATTTGTGGGACACTGCTGTGTGCAATTGGCTGCCACGTTTCGCCCACACAATACTGTCAATTCACTTTATAATATATTCTATGAAGCACTTTGAGACGTTTCAAAGATATGATAAGGCACTATATCAAATGTAAGAATTATTATTATCAAAACCCCTCATAATTTTAACAGACCATTTGTTCCCTCTGATATTGCGTCTTCCCCAGTTCGTTTTTTTACTCTCTTTGCAAGTCACTGACCTGTGCAAGGGTTGGGTTCTGCAGATGGTCACCCTCTGTACCACACACCAGCCTTTCTTTATGAACCGGCTCAGATAATGAGTATTGGTTCAATTGTAGTAGTATCTCTGTCTCAGCTAATTTCATTATCAGCAAACTGCACAGAGCAGGACTCTCCAGGAATGTATTACTCAGTTTCACTTTGGGCAGTGAGTTTTACAAACTAATGGAGGGAATGGTGGTAAGGTTATGTATTTTGAGGGAAAGGGTAGCAACTTGAAAAAACTTTAAAAAAAAACTCAATCCTGTCTTGAATATTATTACATAGTAACTTTCTATATTATTGTAATGCAATTTATTTCAAAACTTCTTTTCCCTCCCAACGTTTTCAGGATGTTATCCCACAGCCATTGCTAGATCAATATCTTTCAATGACCGATCCCTCTCGTGCACAAACAGTTGATACAGAAATAGCGAAGCATTGTGCGTACAGTCTCCCTGGTGTGGCACTCACTCTGGGCAAACAAAACTGGCACTGCCTGAAAAATACTTATGAGACTTTAGCATCGGATATGCAGGTACCTCAAGTGCAAATTTCATTGCATCAGTGTTATGCTTTGTGAAAATGTAAAGACATGAGCCATTTTCTTTTGTGTTTTTTGGGGTGTTGGTGGGGGGTGGGGGCGCGGGGGAAGAGAAGATTACTGGCCCAATTGACTAAATGCTGGTACAGAAACTTTAATTGGAAGAAAAGTACAAATTATGCAGCTTTTTCTGTTTTCAAAACCTCGTCTTTTTGTGCTTTCTGTTTTTCTTCATGCACCTCAACGATCCAAAATTACCCGATGAAGACTTATACAAGGGTATTGTAGAGATTCTGGCTTTTCTTGTGTTTTCTCCTGCTCCTGTTTCTCTGTGTAGCCACACTGGCCATCCTCACAAAGCCTTTGTGCTTTGTCACAGTACCAAAACTCCTTCCAACTTCTCTTTCTCTCTCTTCTTCTCCCCCCACCCCACATCTCCCTTTCACAAATCATTGAAAGCACAGGATTCCCACTCTTATACATACAGCAGCTTGATAGACTTGTAAGGGATATTTTACTGGTCCTTACTTGAAACTAGCAGGTCGTAGGTCTCAGATCAGTGACTAATGACTGTGTATACATTTGCTCAAATGTACATTTAAGTGTAATGGCAAATGAAAATTAAACTGCTTCAACATGCATGTATGAGAGAAATGGGAATATAGTTATATAGGGAGGCTGAAGGCTCCTAAGGAGTACAAACATCACCACAGATTAGTTGGGTTAAACAGCCTGTGTTGTGGATGCTATTTAACATACATAAGTGATACAATTATTAATATATACAATATTAAATTACATTTGTATAACGCATTTCACGCCGGGAGGATGTCCCAAAACGCTGAGCTAATATGAATGCTGAGACGACATGAAGGGGGCTATGCAAATAAATATAACATTTTTACTGAGAGAGGGAATCTTGTTTCACCCATAGAATCTTTTGAGTTTAAATCTATTAAATAGTTGAAGCAGCTGAATAGGGTATATAAAATGTGGGGAGTCCCGTGAAAAAAATATTTTTAAAATATCCTAAAAGAGGATAATAAACAAATACTGGTTAATGGATTTTAACAATGTATAACATTCTGGAATGCTAACCTCATGTTTGGGGGAAAGGGATCACAACTCCCTGCATCCTTGTTGCTGGTTGGTTTGCATGTGAAGATTAAATTCCACAGACTCCATGTTTGCTTAAGATTATGAATGCCTCCATGATGTCTGTGACCACAATCTATGCTGAGTTAGCTGATCTCAATAGTAATGATGATATGGGTGTTTCATTTGCCTTTAAAGACCCTGGCATGAGAGGGGAAATCGGTCAAAGTTCCTGCTCATATATATTATATGTCTATGAGAACATGATTGGGTTTAGCTCCAATGGCCCCCACAGTCAAATAACCTGCTGATGTACCCTCTTCAAGGTTCACAAATGAATAATAGCCACTCGGATAAGATACCAGAGGCCACCCATGGAACCATACCCCAAAATAAGTCAAAATGTGGGGAGTGGATAGGAATATATTGGCAGAAAACAATATGTCCGTGTCTGCTTGATGATCTTTTCTGGTTATACTTTTCTAGTGGAAGGTTCGCCGGACTCTCGCATTTTCCATTCACGAGCTGGCAGGTATTCTCGGAGACCAATTAACCACATCAGATTTGGTTCCCATTTTCAATGGCTTTTTGAAAGATCTTGATGAAGTCCGGATAGGAGTCCTCAAACATTTGTATGACTTCTTAAAGGTAATTGTGTTGCTATTCTGAGCTAACGAGTATCGTACAGGATGACCAAAAAGTCTTGATATCTACCCTATTATCTAAAAAAATCATAATTTCTTTTTAGATATTATAATAATATTATGCCTTTTTGGTCATGTACCATTGAGGCATTGCTGTTCATTGATCAAATGTCAATGAAGAAATAGTCCCATCAAAACTTGCCTAAGGCTTCCCGGGCAAATCTCCTTACACCACACGACTCTGTTTATCTAGCAATCAGTAGGAACCCAGTTAGTCGACTGGCAGTTTGCTTTTCAAGGATCGTAATCCCTCTCTTTCTCCCCCCGCCCCCCCCCCCCACCCCACAAATGTGGTCACTCAATCCACGATTGTTTGTGGGACACTGTTGGCTGCCGTGTTTCGCCCACAAGATACAGTTGGTAATTCTGTGAAGCACTTTGAGACATCTCAATGACGTGATAAGGTTCTATATCAAAAGCAAGTATTATTATCAAAACTTATTGCTATGTATCCAACTATGGCACAGGTATGATTGTGAGCATTGATATGACCTTATAATTCTGTTCAAAATTTTTTGAATTAATATAATAATAAAAAATTTGCCATAGTTTGCAGTTTATTTTTATATACATTTATTTTTGTTTTTGTTCAACAGTTGCTTCAACCAGAGAAGCGAAGGGAATACCTCTCTCAACTCCAGGAATTCATGGTGACAGACAATAGCAGGAACTGGCGCTTCAGAGCTGAGCTTGCTGAGTATGTGTACAAGCCAGGGGAATGTGTGCTAAATATTCCATGTGTTAACTTCATTCAAGAAAGTTGATGTTTCTCTTACGCTGAAGAAACTTTATTTTTACGGTTCCATCAAAATTATTTAATTGATTGTAGAAAATACAGGAAACTTTGAAAACTGAAATGGGTGGTTTTTTTCCCTTATAAGTTATTATTGAAGTGAAACTACTACTTTGCACTCTGCTTGCAAACTTTAATCCTTCCACTTCTCTTAAAACTGTTGAGGTCAAATAAGAGCTCAGTATAAATGCCATGAATTGGTTCTGTAATCTGAAGTTACCTCCGGAGTGGCAAATAGGCATTTTTATATTTCTAATGAGTTGGGTTTTGTTCGTGTTGATCAAGGACTAGGTGTTTCACAATGAGGGGGAGTGGGGGGAGACATGTATCTTTAAGGATGAATGACCACAGGCTATCTAAGGAACAAGTGGACACCATTCAACCAAGTCAAGCTTCACAAGTACATATTTTCTATCTCCTTTTAACTATCCGAGGCAAATTGCATCTATGGTCTAGTGGGGGCAGTGTATTCCACATTTACAAATGTTTATGTGAACAAACGTTTCCTGAGCTCCAGGAGTAACTTGTTTAGCTCTAATTTTAAGACCATATCCTCTTGTATGAGCAACATTGCAAAGCACTGATAGGATAGTAGTCAAACAGTAATGCACTGAAGTGGAAATGTATTAAATCTTTTCCTAAAGAAATTGGGTAGAGAAAGGGAAAAGAAAGAAAAGATTGTTCAGCCCCTTATGAGTAATGGGTTTAAAGAGATTAAAGTTCGGTATTGTGTCACGAGCTTAGTACTGACATCTTATTTTTCTAGTGATTCTAACTTCTACATCAGTTTTGTAATTCTAGTTTCTTCCAGCTGTGGATCCTGATAAGTCAAGGCCTCAGATATTAAAATAAATTGATCTGTAATCAAATTGCTGACGGGGGGGGGGGAGAACCATCTTGAATGAAGGAGAACTGTGGTGCATTTGATCCTGAGCTTTGAAAAGGATTATTGGAATTGTGATGGATGTAACTTGTACTTTAATAACCCGCTAAGCACATGCCATTGGAAGCAAGAAGGAGATCACATTTCATCCTCTGTTTGCGACTGCCCTCTCCTTACACTTTGATTCCCTTGCCACTTTCTGCTCTGTACCAAGCTGCCCCTGAGTGTGCTCGCTTGGCACTGCTTTCTTGTTCACTTTTTCTTAACTACTTCTTCTCCTATTCCTGCTGACTAGTTTTTTCACTCTGGGTTGCCTGTTTGTACCGCTTCTTGGTTCCCCCCTTCCATCACCATCAAGATGATGAGAATGAGTTATAATGAAAAACTTAAATGTTGTCGCCTTTCACCAGTGTCACCTTGTGACTGATTGTGCTGTTTATTTTAGACAGATGATTTTGCTGTTGGAATTGTACAGCCCCAAAGACGTGTATGACTCCCTGCGGCCCATTGCACTCAGTCTCTGCAGTGATAAAGTTTCTTCAGTCCGATGGATTGCCTACAAACTGGTAAGGAACTTTGGAAAGAGTGCCCTCTGGCTGCGGGTCTTCCTGCACCGTACAATTCCAGGAAGCTCCCACTTTTGATTTCAGGTCCTTGCTTGATGTGCTTATCTCATCTGATTAAGTGGTTGGTAACATTGATTGGCTTGAGTGCTCCTGACCCTACTTTTCTGACCTTACCGCTCCTGTACTTTATATGAGGACAGGATTGGGCTCCACTTCAGTGAGCGTCTTTCCTCCCTTACTCATTGCCCCGACCATGTCCGTTTGGTTCAGTTGGTAGCTCCACCTGAAGGGAGCTTCCCACTGGGTGTCCTGGACAATAATTACCCAGATTGGTCATTCACTCCATGCTTGTTTGGGAGAATATTGTTGTATGCAAATTGGCTACTGCATTCACCTTCAAGTATACAATCATTGCACTTGCCGAGGATTACCTATCAAGCTCTGACGTTTTGATGTTATTAGTGCTCTGTCAATTGCAAGGATTATTGTGGTGCATTATCTCCCAAATGCTCCATTCTGTGATTATCTTCAAAACGTGTGTTTGTGTGTAGAAACTGTCCTGATGTTTCCTCGTAGACAGTGCTAGTAATCTTGAGAGCGATGTAAAGACTGAATTTGTGTTCCTCTAGGTGGGTGAGATGATTAGAAAATGCTATGTGACGTCGACTCCAGGGTTGGCAGTGGACTTCATGAATGAGCTTGTCGATAAATTTTGCCATTGTGCTAAATGGTCAGGTCGTCAATCCTTTGTCTTTGTCTGTCAGGTAAGATTTTCCCAAAGTGATCTACTTTGGGATTCCAGTTCACCATAATAGAATTGGATACTGGTATCTTTTGCTGTTGCTCTGGGCTTTAAACCTGTGGAAATGCATAATATACAGTGAATTTGGCTGGGGGAACCCACCTTTCTGTATTACAACAACCACTTGCACATATCTAATGCCCTTCATGTTGGGCAGCATCTCAGAGTGCTGGAGTAGCTATAGAAACAACAGGAAGCTTCACACAAGCAAGGAAGCTTGTAGCTTATGTAAGAAGCAATTTAAAATTGTTAGGAAAAATGCATACCTTCCCAATGAGAATCAGAAGTGTTCCCCGACTTCAAGTTATACATTTTGACGTACACAGAGAGCCCTGGAATTGGCACTCTTGAACAGAGTGGTTTGTTTCCATTATTGGATTCTAGTACTAAAGACGTTTGACATTTTCTTAACTGAATTATAACCACTTGATGTTGTACTATTTTGCTTTTGTAATGTTATTACATTGTCCCTATCAATTTTTTATAACTAGCGCATGAAAGCAGTTTTCTCCTTGTGTTCATTCAACCCTTCAATGCAAAGGACACCAACTAACACTAGGACAAGCAGGTGACTTGCTTCTAGACATCTGCAAACCCCCCTAAGCTGGATACTTAGAAGGGCACATGTGGTTATTTTCACTTTCAACTCAAGGGGAAGCACGTGGTCTTTAAAATATAAGAGTAACTTTATCAAAGTTACTTCCAGTGCATCCAAGAGCTGTTGTAGAAGTTGAGTCTGGCAATGACAGTTGTGCACATTTCAATTTTTGGAATCACCATCAGTTCTGCGATCTTCACAAACCAGAGTTACGTCAATTGTAATTTCCGGCTTGCAGATATGTGATTTATGAGGTTATATAAATGTCAAATTGCAAATTCCAACTAATAAAAGGCCACAGAAGGCAACAAGAGAAACAGACATTTTTGGCGGCACTTTGACCTGCCCGGATCTTACAATTTTGGATTGGTAAACTTAAAGACACAGTTAGCACCTATCTGCTTCTAAAATTTTGACCTCTGTTAAATGGGCTGTAGATTGCTGTTTTTACCTGTTTTGAAATGTGAGTAAACAGTTTTGCCTTACAGAACTGGGTGGTTTGGGATATTATAAGAGCGTGGTGTTTAATCTGAGCACATGGTGCACATTAAAAATCAGATTTTCTACATTTTCTTTAAATGCAGGCTGTAATTGAAGATGATTGTATCCCTATAGACCAGTTTACAGAGCACCTGATGCCACACTTACTACAGTTGGTGTCAGATCCTGTTCCAAATGTCAGAGTGCTGCTAGCAAAAACTTTGAGACAAACGCTTTTGGAAAAAGGTGAGGCTCTTTTGCTGTCTCGTCCCACGCACTAAATATACAATGTTCATTATGAAAACCTAGTTGACATATCTGCTGGGTGTCCATCTCTCTCTCCCTCCCACAACCTTTCAAATAAACCAATGATTCTAAATTAATGGAAGATTAAAAAGAGACAAAATACACCTTTTATCTGTCCTTAAACTGTTTTGATATTTTTTCTCTGGATTGGCTGTTATCGAGGATGCCATGTGTTAAGTTTGATAAGTTGTAAATTAGTTCTAGTTTCTGTGAAGCACTTTGAGATGTTATGATGAGATGATGAGGCGTATCAAATACAAGGATGATTGTTGTTTTTATCTTTTCTTGCAGAATACTTTCTGAACTCGGCAAGCTCTCACCAAGAAGCCGTGGAGCAGATCACTGTAGCACTGCAGGCTGATCAAGACCGGGATGTTCGATATTTTGCCAGCATTTACCCCAACAGTACAAAGCTTGGTGACGATGCCATGAGCACTGCTTCTTCCACTTACTAAAAGTTCTTAGCACCATTACGAGTGCTTTTAATGTTGTGTAGCAGCTGGAATATCCTGGGTGAGTGCTCCAGAATACGGAGGGGATATCTGTTCTGTAGACTGAACAATCAGGTTTCGTGGATGTGGTGAAGTGCCCAGTGGTTCCTAATTACACTGAGCTTCAGTGAGTCGTGTGACAGTGACTTTTTCCCTACTTTGACCACAGAAAATTTCTCAGAGGATCTTACCACCGAAGCCTTAACTCCTGTATTCATTAAAAAAAACTCGAATGGCCGGAGCCTTCTTGATGGAGGAGGGATTATCCATTTTTAAACTAATCATTCCTTCCTGAAAGTTATAAGAAATGTTACCAACAATTCAAGTCTGTACAACAGTTACTACATTTGCAAAGAATAAGAACTAGTAAAGTTTAAAAAGTGTATTTATCTCAATGGTGTACAAGAAATTTTAATGTACTGATTCAGAAAAAAGAAATCTTCAACTATACTAGTTATACGAAAGGGTTTGATCTAAGTGAATTAGTTGTATCTTGTTAAGTTTGGACACAAGTTCTCAAAAACGCCCCTTTCATACTGGGAAGATTTCACAAGCCAGCAGCTGTGGGAGAATTGCTGCCGCTGTCCTAACTTGCCTTCCCTGCAGTAGTTCTCCTCGTACCCGCCTTGGTTACTGCACAAGAACTGGCCAAAGAGGAAAAGTATTAAGGGGGAAAGAGGAAAACTCCTGCATGTTCCCACACGTATTGTGCTTGCACGTGGTTTGTAGTTTATTTTTTTAAAAAAACTTTTCTTTAGTCAATCCCTTTGTAAAGAACCATGCATTTACTAGAAGGAAACCCTGTGTGGGGGGGAGGCAGCAGGATTTTTTCATAAGTGGAAAATCCATGTGCTTAGTCCACCTGTCATTTTTGTTCCACCCGGCCCAACTGGTATCTGTATCCACTGCAAAAGATATGTCTTGTCAAATTCAGGTGCATGATATTAGCAGTGGTTGATCTACAAAGGTGGGAGAGAACTGAAATTAGAAGACAAATCTGATGCATTTTGAAAATTAGACACGTTATTTTGTTTCTTGATTTGTTTAGCCTCTACGTGCATGAATGGTTGACTGGTGGATGTATGTTGGGAATAGGCAAGAGATATTGCCTTGAGACACTGTCCATTTGAGCTTTGTGCCATGTTGAGGCAAACTTCCAATACTGATCATCAAAGGATTGTTTTTTTTAGAACAAAGTTGTTTGCTATTCAGTACCTTTGCTACATGCAGCCTGTTCTATGCCTCTTTTAAGATAATTTTAACCTTTTGTGGAATTTTGCTTTCATTGATGCTGTTTTGCGCAAGCTGGTGTTCACTGAGACTTGCTTATTGACCTACCTGGTTTGGCTTGGTTCAGGACCTCAGTGATCCCAGTCTTACATTAAATGCTATGAATCTACTCAGTGACCACCACAGGTGAGCAGTGGTTTCTGGTTTTCACTGTAATCTGCCTCAAAGTTTTGTCTGCTCCATAATACAAGACTTCATTGAAGCCATTTTATTTGCTGGTGGACTTATCTGTGAGAGTTAACTGGGCAAAAGTTTCTCTTCAGTCCAGGGATTTGTTTTTCGCACGATAAGTCCTTGGTTAGCCTAGTTTCTGGAAGTAAGTAATCGAATATGTCCCGGGTGTGCTCCACACTGGCAGGAAGGCCAGAGCGCACCCTACTTGTGCAACAGCAACTTTGCAGTCCCAGAGCTCCCCCACCCACCCCCCAGCCACTCAAAACACCTCAGTTCCAAACTAGCCTAAGGGTTAGGGTGCTTTCCGAGATATACCCTTGAGATTTTCCACTGCTTTAGTATACTTTGGTTTGTATGTCGGGGGCTGGAAAAACAAAATAGAACGTGTATGTTATCTACTCAAGGTGTGGACTTTGTTCTTTAACAGAACTTCACCCTTCACATACTATTTTAATTTGTCCTCGGTGGTTTCACTTGGAGTTGCTGGTTTCCTATATGTGCGTTTATTTTATGGCTCATCATTTGTGCTGTCTTCAGCTATTGAACTGCGGGCCTTATATATTGAAGAGTCCATGGTCACCTAATCAAATGGCCGTAACAGCTTTATTTAAAGGGACATGCCATAGGTTAGTTTCTCTTCTTCCCCCACCCCCCTTGATGCTGATGATCTTGATGTATAGTTTGGACTTTTGAAATTGTGAGACCAAACATCCCGCAGATAAACGAACATGGTGCTGCAAGGCATTGATTAACATTTGGACTTCAAGTGTGAGTTTAAAATGTGTGCAGTGGGAACTCTCTTAAGGGCTCAGCAGTAACACTACAAAGCATCAAATGTTTCTGATAATGCAGCACATTTCCGTACCCACACACAGCAATTTGTGCTTGTCGGTTTCATGCTGGTCATGTCCTGCGCAGTATGTTTTGAATTGGATTAGCACATGTGCTTTACAAGTCTGAAAGTTTGGGGTATTTTAACTTTTTATCATGATCAGCTCAATGCTGCACTTTTTTTATATGTACATACCTGTGAGCACTCGAGTGCTAGTTGTTGATCATGTCATAAAAAGCAGTTGGTATAGAAGTTGTTCTGTACTTGTCCAAATAAAAATAAATATCCAACTACGTGTAATGTTTTAAATGTACAATTTCAGTTCTCTTCCAATTCTCTTGGTGTGAATGCATAAGCAGGTGGTGTGGTAGCTTCACCGCCCCAATAGAATTCAGTACCCATTGGCAAATGTGAGCACCAGCCACTGTCCAAATCAGGCCCAGGTCCGTAGAAACTGGTGCTGAGTTTGACTGGTACCTCTTGCAGTTGTGACATGATGACCGTAAGTTCATGTTTTGTGCAAATTCACATGTGTGATAGAGCTACATGCAACTATAGAAATTTACTACTATTTAATCCAGTTATCCTGTCTTATCTCCCCCATACTCTTTTATATTTCTCCTTTTCAGATATGCATTTAAATCCTTCTTACAAACATATATGAATTATACCTCAATCAAGGCATTCCATTCCACATTTTAAGATATTTGAACCTCTCCCTTTGCTACAGCAGGTAATTGTTTGTTCTAAATCATAGAGCACAAAAGGAGGCCGTTCGATCCATCATATCTGTGCCAGCTCTTTGAAAAGAGCTATTCAATCCCACTCCCCTCTCCCTGCAAAGTTGCTCTTAAGTCATGTTGCAGGTAATTGGGCAACTGTGATGTGGGAATTGTGAAAGTCTTGTTTTACATGGGAAGTACAGCCTGTGTAAATCTGTGCTGATGATACCTAACCCTGGTCAGATTAAGAAATTGTGATTATGGGGGAAAACTGCCATTAGTCTAGTCCTGTTACCCCAATGCCTTCCTTTGATTGTTTTCTAAATGTGCTACTCCAATGAGAATTTGAAGAGTAGTCTGTCTGCCTACCCTGAGAGATATCCCAGGCGCACGCACACCAAACTCGGTCTTGATTTTCACCTAATCTGTCTAAGCATATGCTATTGCTTTGAAGCTAAGTATCTCCATGTGGATATGTTGTGCGGTCCCTGGTGGATTTTTACATATAATGATGAGGAAGGCAACACAATGAAGCAGTTTGTAGAAAAAGGGTCTGCAATTGAAATTTAAAATAGAGTCCTATTGTAAATTCTGGGACAAATTAGATTGATTAGCCCACACCTGAATAAAACGCATACAGTGATGTGAACCTTGATGGTTTAACGCAATCATTGGCTGAGTGGCAACAATTTCCCATTACAGCACAAGCTGCTCACAGATGGTTGCAAATGATCAAAGGAAAGGATAAGGAGGCTGTCATTTGCTGGTCTGCTGTAACTGATATCAGACATTCTCAACAGGAAACAATGCAGCAATCAACATCCCACACTATGGGCTATGCTATCCAATTTTTTGTAACTGCTTACCAGTACAACACTAACCCTTTGTCCCCCATGCCAAACAATCAGAGTGTGTGCACATCTAACCACTTAAAACGCTAGTGTTAAGGCAAACATCAAGCTACAGAAGAGAATTAACACTTCCATCTTTGGTTAGGCACCAGTTTGGCTAATACCCACAGTATAAGCTGAGAACAAATAAAGGTGTTTTATTCAGCAGTTAAACTGAACCTATTACACAGGACTTAGGAAGGTAGATTGACAAGTTGAAATGCTCTTCAGTCACTATCATTAGTGGCAGCAAAATGGCACTTCAGAGACATTGAAAACCATAACTGCACCGTGAAACCGAGTGCTTCTGAGGACAAGCAGCTCTGGCCTGTTCCCGACAAAGGGCTTTGTGCATGCACACATCATGGGCATTTTCTTACTTTTATTTTAAATTATGGATCAGTGCAAACAACTGTACAAAAGCAGGAGTTATCAGAAGTCCAGGACAATCTAAATTTCAGGTTGGTATCATTGTAACATCTAAGCAAACAGCCAACCATTTAATTAATGATAAATACTGACAGTTTTAAAAAAAGACAGGTTACTGACAACCACACACACATTACCAACTCTGCTCATGGGTAACAATTCATAGTTAATCACTCATTTGTATTTAGTATTAAGTTTCTTAAAAGGCCTCGACCCTGAACATCCCTGGCACTGTCTGATCCTCAGCTAGAAATATATAGATTTTTTTATAGGGAAAATTCCATTTAAAATAAAGTACTTTCCACATGCATAATTGCAAAAGAAAAAAAAAGTGGCCTAGAGACTGTTCACAGTCCTTCATAAGGAGACAAAAACCCATATTTCCATTTAAAAAAAACTCAATATTTCTCTGTGCTTACCAACACCATTCACCTCATGGCTTTTATCTGTCATACTTCAGGTATTGTAACTTTATTCACCAAAAATTAAACTGTAGAAAAGGATAAGAATTGTTACAGTTCACTGCTTGTACAGCTTTCTGGTCAGAGTTAAGTGCGTCTGCAATGCATTTGTGCAAGTTGCACAGAGCTCTTTAGATTGCAGTCTCCTTACGATCTTTATTTGGAGAGGGCTTCAATGCTTCCTTCACAACCTTGGTCTCAGCCACATTGTCCCTGTGCTGCTGAGGAGCAGCATTGCCTTTTGCAAGTTCGTCTCCGTCTTCCTGAGTCTCTTGTTTCAGTCTTTGCATCTGTAACAGTCGAAGCTGCACTCGCAGTTCAATAATGGCCTCTCGTTCATCGTGGATCGCCTGGTTCAGGTGGTTGTTCTTTACCTGAGGAGAGGAACATAAGTCATTTTGGGGAACTTGTAGCTTGTTTACATACAGAAAGTTTAATGGTTGCATTATACATTTTCTGCAACATGCTGAGCACCAAGAGAATTTAATTTGCTGAATATCTTCAAACCATCTCCATTCTCACACAAGGATGGAAAATGGGATTCATGGTAGGGTCATATCCAGGTGTGCACAGTGGTGAGAGAGTTTACAGATGTATCTCCCCAATCCCTCTCCATGTACTGGTGGATAAAGGTACAGCATGATGCAGCAATCTCCCCTCCAATGTTTTGTAATGGGAACATAAACTTTATTAAAGATACTTTAATGAGAAAACTCTTAGAGTAACTGCATCAGAAGAGGATGAGGTTGGGAAAAAAAGTGAAAACAGCAAAGATGACAAAGAGAAATCTCAAGTTTATGACCTTCCACCACATCCCAAGAAATTAGCCCATTACATTGCATTGGTCCTTCATTTCTTCCAGCAGTGCTCACACTAATTTTTAGGGATGTGGTGAAATGCTGAATGCTTACTTCCAATTCTTCGTTCTGACGTTGAAGATCTTCCAAGATGAGCTGCAGCTCTTCTTCATCTTCACTCTCGCTCTCACTTTCTGAGGAGTATTCCTCAGTTTCGCTGCGACCATGCTGCTGCTGGCGACTGCGAGGCAAACCGAACAAAAACATCTCAAACATGTCAGGGAGCATAAGGAGACCAAGAATGTGCTCTGGTCTAAATCAATGCTCCGAAGATTATTGTGAAAATCTTGTTTTACAACTAACGGTCCACTAATTTAGTTCATTTTCATTTATTGAAGGTTTTTACTTTCTGTACATTGTATAAAACAATGAGAAGTCGCAGCAACAACAACAAGATTCCATTTATAGACCGCCTTTCACGTCAGGAGGACGTCCCAAGGTGCTGTACAGTTGGGTCAGGATCCGAGCATTGGGGGGAAACGGTGAGGGGAGGGAAGGGAGTGAGGAGGGGGTAGAGAGTTGAGAGGGGAGCTGAAGGCTCGGTCAAAGAGAAAGGTCTTGAGACCGGCCTTGAAGGAGTAAAGGGAGGAGGCGGCGAAGGCACTGGGGGATAGAGTTCCAGAGCCTAGGGGCTGAGAGGCTGAAGGCCCGGCCACCGATGGTAGGGCGGTTGGGGCGGGGGACCGGAGCCAGAGGAACAGAGGGTACGGGCAGGTAGGTAGAAGAGTTTGGAGTATGGATGGTGGGGTGGGGGGATGAAAAAGATACCACTAACTAAGGCCAAGTACCACTATTTGAGAGAGCTATGAAAGATCCAAAATGTTGGATTTGACTTTTTTCCACCCCCAGAGACAGAAACATTACTATGGGTACTAACATCAACTCAACAGAAAACAAGTAGGTTGAACCTAAAACCCATGGGATTTGCTCACTCTAACCTTTGCAATACTTGTTCATGCAAAAAAAAAGTTTGAGTAATGGTGTGCAAAAACATCTGGAAAAATGGCAGCTGGATTGGCCAGGACAAAGACTGTCAATTGACTCTATTCAGATATTTTATCAGATCGTGGCAAACTTTTTAAATACCCAAGTATAATGTAGGGAAACGTGAAGTCATCCACCTAGGTGGCAAAAACAGTAGAGCAGATTATTTTTTAGAAGGGGAGACTAGATAGTGTTAGCGTTCAGAGGGACTTGGGTGTCCTTGTACACCAGTCACAAAAAGTTAGTTTGCAGGTACAGCAAGTAATTAGGAAGGCTAACGGTATGTTGGCATTTGTTACAAAAGGGTTAGAATATAAGAGTAGGGAAGTCTTGCTGCACCCGAACAGGGCCCTGGTGAGACCGCACCTAGAGTATTGTGTACAGTTTTGGTCTCCTTATTCAAGAAAGGATGTACTTGCCTTGGACGGGGTACAACGTAGATTCACTAGGTTGGTACCTGGGATGAGTTATGAGGATGGGTTGAGCAATTTAGGCCTATATTCTCTAGAATATAGAAGAATGAGAGGTGATTCTTATAGAAACCTATAAGATTATAAAGGGGCACGACAGAATAGATAGTGGGAAACGTTTTCCCCTGGTTGGAGAAACTATAACCAGGGGTCACAGTTTTAAAATTAGGGTTAAGTTCTTTTGCACTGAGTTGAGGAAAAACGTCTTCACTCAGAGGGTAGTGAGTTTATGGAATTCTCTACCCCAAAGGGCTGTAGATGCTCAGTCCTTGAACATATTCAAGACTGAGATTGATAGATTTCTTGTGGATAAAGGGATTAAGGGATATGGGGATAAGGCAGGGAGGTGGAGTTAGAATAGATCAGCCATGATCTTATTGAATGGCGGGGCAGCCTCAAGGGGCCGAATGGCCTACTCTTAATTCTTATGTTCTTTTCTCCAGCCTTTAATGCCCTCACTTCCCAAGGATCACTCACCTCTGAATTTCTGCAATCTCAGCTCGCAGGCGTTCAATTTCCTCTTTTTCGGTAGCAATCTGTCGCCGCAGGTACTGCTCCATTGTCACCAGCTCCTCTTGTTCCGTCAGGATTTCATTCTCCTTTAACACAATATTGTCCAGTCACTACAGCAGCCGCAGATTTGGATGGCGTAGAAACAGTGAAATTGTGTAACACAGTCAATGTGTACTAATCCAAATTTAGATAGAAACTATTCAGTTTCCATATTGTTGCAGGATGAGTATCTATCATATTGCATTCTGCATAGATCAAACAGTACTTCAACACACCAAATCTGTCTTAGCTTTATTCCTCTCTCTCAGCGAGTGGCTCAGTCAGTGCATGTTGCAGGAATCTCAACATGACAATACTTTAATGTCGAGTAAATCTTCATACATGCTTTCATTACATCCAGGCTTGACTATGCAAACACATTACTTGTCAGCCTCCCCACCTCCTCCCTCCATAGGCTGCAGAGCATCCAGAACTCTGCAACCCGTGTCCTCTCCCGCACCAGGCTTCGCAATCCTATCAACCCCATCCTCACCCGTCTCCACTGGCTTCCCATCACACAGAGGATACAGTTCAAGTTCCTGGTCCTCACCTTCAAAGCGCTCCACGGTCTTGCTCCCGCCCCTGCCACTGTACACCCTTAACCCCCTACCATCCTGCACGCTCCCTCCGCTCAGCGGGCTCCAGCCTGCTTTACACCCCCCGCTTCGCTCGCCCCACTATGGGCGGGCGGGCCTTCTGCCACTCTGTCCCCACCTTCTGGAACTCCATCTTACAGTCCCTCCACCTCGCCCCCTCCATTGCCACCTTCAAGATTCATCTCAAGACCCTCCTCTTCGACCGTGCTTTCGGTCTCCCTGCTTCCCCCCCCCCCGCCCTCCCCGACGCCGAACCCCTGCTCGGATCCGAAACTCTGTCTGTCCAGCACCTTGCGACGTCCTCCCAATGTGAAAGGCACTTTACAAATGTAATTTTGTTGTTGTTTAAAGAGGAAACGTCGCAACACATGATTCTGAAAGTATAGTGTGTGTGTGTGAGTGAGTCTCTCTCTCATGCCAATCCCCACTCCCATCACTTTCCACATTGCACTGGTTACATCCCATCTCTGTAAAGCACTTGAGACATTCTTACTTGAAAGATGCTAATTGAGTGCAAGATATTCGCACTGTGTGTGTGTGTCTCTCTCTCTTTAACTGTTTGTGTGTCTTTCTACCTTCTTGTACTTGCTGGTTCCAGTACAATCACGATCTCGGCATATGTGTGTCATTAAAATAAATTATCAACATCATTAGTCAGGCACAAAAAAGGTAAAATACAAGAGGATTGTGGACTGAATACAGTTCAAACATTATTCTGCTGTTTAGCATACCTGAGCCAGTAGAATATTAATGACTTCTTCTTCATTCTCATTCATTTCTTCCTTAGACACGTCCTCCTTGGAAAGGCTAGCAATTTCTTGGGCTATCTTCGTTTCACATTCCTTTAATTGCACAAAAATAAAATGTAACATGTCCGTTAGTGAAGGGAGTTTTGCTCCAAAAACTGCTTGTTTTGTCTCTGTTTAGGCACATTCCCACTGATTTAATGAGCCAATGCCTGAACACAGAAGCAAATTGTCAGTGCGTTTCACTTGACAGCAAAGTGCAGCACAGATTAATTTGGATGATACCAAAACTGGAGTAAGGCATTGGCCCATCAAGCCTGTTCCTATTTGCTACTGAAAGCACAGGCCTAGCCCCAAAGTATGGTTTTAATTCATTAACTTCTGTTTCTCACTGCTAATAGTAATGATTAGCCATATTCACTGGAGAAGAGGTGGTTAACAGGGGCCGTAATCAAAGAGTTCAATATTATTAAAGCATTTCAGACGGTAAATCGTAAAGGATTATTTGTTGGCTAAATTGACCAGATCAGTAATTGGGCATAACCTCAAGATTATTACAAGAAACATAAGCGGAGTTAGCAGCCATTAATTTTTAAACAAACCGTTAGAAGGATGTGGAACAGGTTACCAACAGTGACTATTGAAGCCAAGTCAACTATAGTACATTAGTATTTATCCATAAATATTGGTCTTATAGTAATGTACATTATGAAACATGAACTAGAAGAGGTGGGACCAATATTGGCACATCTTCCTCTGCTGCTGTCTATCACAGGGCACACCAATCCGAGAGAAGGGAAATTCCACTAAACTCACCTGCCTTTTTGCTTCCCGGAACTTGCGTTTTAGTGCTGTTAAAATTCGCTGCACCTCCCACAGCCTCTCCTCTTTGGATAAGTCCTTTATGCCAGCCTGTAGGTCTCTGTGCAAGCAATTAAGCAGGAACTCCTGGAGGGACACAGTGATAGCTCAACCCAACAGATTCCAAATATATGAATAAAACTGTACCAGCTTGTTTGTCACTGCCTCCGTTGAAACATTCGAACTCTCTCCCAAAAACTGTTTTTCCCCTCATCTCTCTCTGCTTTCAAACCCTCTTAAAGATTACATTTCACTGTGTTCTACGCAAACAGTCTTAAATTCTCCCTCCCCTTCTGAAGCGCTTTAAGATGCTGATTTTACATGAAAGGCTCTGTGTAAGTGCAAGGTGTTATTTCCTCAATAGTTTAACACTGGGAACGTGGGGAATCAGGACAACGTACATTCTTATCGGCCCACAAAATACTCCTAAAGACATACCTGTCGTCGAATCTCTTCCTTGATGGTCTCCTGGGTCTCAGGCAAGGCCGGCATCGTTGCCACATTGGACCAACGAAGGGGTTTTATCACCGGCTTCAACTCCATGTCTCCAAACAGCTCTTTGACATGAGTGAAAAATATGTACAGCACACGATTACTGATCTGCAGAGGACAAGAGAGGAATTAGTGCAAGAACTCACAAGATGTGCAACACTTAATGTTATGTTACAAAGAGTTAAAGAAAGAGAAAAAAAAATTTCATTCCTAGACATCTGACCGACAGTCTTTACACTATGAACCCAAAAACCTCAAAGGCTTTTTTGAAGGGGACTGGGGGTGAAATGCTCTTGCTCGCGGAATATTTGGATAATCCCAGTGGCGGCCAGTTAAAATTATTCAAATGTACTGCTTCAATGAGCTGAAGTCAACCTCTTGACCTCTGTAAACAAACAGGATGTTCGACACAGGCAGAGGGTAGTAAAAAGAGAAACATGGGGCACAGAACGACATTTTAACAAAATGGAGATATTTGTTAGTTACACAGGATAAACCCAACAAAACATCAGGTCAAGTTCACCCACAGTAGCTAACCATAAACGATTTTAATATAAAGGGGCCACAATCAGTGCAACACTGAGAAAAAGAATGAACAACCATAAAATGGCAGTGTGAGCAGAGGCAGAATCCATGTTTTAATAATAATAAAACAGCTTTAATAGCTGTGTGAAGTGCTTTGAGATGTTCCTGAGATGTAAAAGATTCCATGTAAATTAAAATTGTTGTTGTTGTTGCAGTTAGATCAGCCATGATCGTATCGAATGGCGGGGCAGGCTCGAGGGGCCGAATGGCCTACTCCTGCTCCTAATTTTTATGTTCTTAAGGTCCCAAAAGCAGCCATGAAGTGAACAACCAATTTGCCAGTAGGTCTGGTGAACAGCACAGCTCCCATCTAGTTTCGAACAGCGTCATGGGATCTGTAACATCCACCTGAACCGGCTTGACCTTATATTGAAGTCAACATTTTTCTCATTTGGATGTTGCATTTGCTTAAAATAGTCACTACCTGTATCAGCCTGTGAAGAGTTTTGAGAATTTACAATATGTTAAGGCTCTAAAAATATATTCACAATTCAAATGAGGCTGTTCCAAATATTTCGCAAACGTGCTGAAATTCTAGTGCACACACTAAAATTATTTGAAGACTGTTTCATATTGTAACATTACAAGTTTCTCTCCAGAGGCAAGTCTGTTTCTAGAGGCAAAAAGGGGCTGTTTAACAGATGGACTGATAAATACTTAGAAAGGAAGGGTATCAAGGGGAACAGTGAAAAGGCAGGGAAAGGGGATTACAAGATCTGTGGTGATGGTTAATAAACTGACAGAACAGGGCTGACAGTCTGAATGCCCCCTTCCTTTTTCTAATTTTCTGGTAATGTACAGCATTTTGCTGGTTTTGCTGGATCTGCTTCACAGGGAGCTGTGGATCAGAGACATTCAAATGGATATGGTAAAGTTGCTGAGTAAGCAAATGGGCTTGGCAGTGTTCTGCACCTGCATCTTCAAATCGTTGCACTAAGTGCTGGGATGACCTCAAGCCGGTTGTGCATATGCAAACTTACCTTAAGATGTTTTTCTTTTGGATGCTTCCTTGCCAAATAATGGAAACTCAATCACAAAACAGTAGCAGACTTCTTCACGATTCCTTTACCATTATTGCACAAACAGAAATCACCCCGCCACCCCCACAAACAAAACCTTCTCATGCTGATCTATGTATGTGTAAATCTCTTGATGTAATTGCTATGATGAAGAGATATCTGCACAGGAGTGGAATGTCATTTGATCCAAGTTTCTGGAGACTATAGAAAACTGCCCCCTCCCCCCCCAAACAAAATGCAATATTAAAGCAGCATTTTAACTAAGGTAGCTCTGTTAAAGGTCGATCCAACCGTGACTCAGGTTGTTAATGTTGCACAGAAATTCAGCATTCAGCATGCGCAGTATTACTCAAGGTTATTTGATCCTCCAATAATTTACTCAATTAGTGTTATTAATTCACAGCGTTGCAACCGCAGTGAAACATGATGTGCTCACTGTAACATATCTACAGTAAAATGCACCAAGCTGAGTGTTATAGCCAAAATAAAATGCACTCTGCTCACTATGCTATACCCACAGTAAAATAAATGTGCTGGTTTACTGCACTAAACGTAGTGAAATGTGACTTGCTCATTTCGTAAAACACAGTGAAGTGTGATGCAATCGCTGCACTAAAACCATTGTGAAAGTAGAAGAGCTGAATCCCTTGAGGAGATACTCAAGTGGCGCCATGTTACCAATTGGCAAATAAAATACATTTCTCTCTCCCACACTTAACAGGGAAGAAATAGCGAGCAACCTGTATAAACATATAAAGATTTCAGCATTGACAATATTTGCTAAGAATGATAATACACAAGCTTACTCGATACTCAAAACCCTCAGTGGAGAGGGAGGCCATTGTGGCTGAGGCAAAGACCTACCTGAACAGTGGGGCTAAGAACAATGGAAATATTCTGGACGTTCATTTTCGTTTCACTCTCTTTAGCAATGACGTGATCCATGTGGATGATAAGCCAAGAAACAAGGAGGTAATTAGTCTTGGGCAGTTCTCTCACTAGCCGCTGGCACTCTTGCACTTTTTCACAGTCCGTGCCCTTCCCACAAGCATCCTCAAACCGTGTCAAGAGCTCCTTGGTGAGGACGTGTTCAGGCAGTTCACGGAGGTACTGTTTCAGTAGGCTGGCCACTGTGTTTGCGTCATAATCCTCCAGATTCGGAGACTCCTCTCGGTCATACACGATTTTCAATTCATCAACTTTTGATTTGGTACCTAGATTGTGGGGAGGAAAGGTGCGGAGGGAGGAGGGGCGAGAAAGGGAAGAGAGAAAGAAAATTCACTCACAAAATCTTTCTTTGAGACTCCAGACAATTAGAACTAGTAATTGAGATAATAAAAGTCTAATGCTGTCATAAACACCTCTTAATATTCTCTTACGTATTAGGTGTTTCGCCCACAAAATACAATCAATTCACTTTACTTCCATCAGTTCTGACAAAGGGCCGTGGACCCGAAACATTGACTCACTTTCCTTTCTCCATAAATGCTGCCTGATCTGCTGAGTGTTCCCAGCGACTTCTGTTTATGTTCCACTTTACTGTATATTCTGTCAAGGACTTCAGGGAAGTCCTCGGGATATCCCAGCGCCTTAGGACATCCTCCCGACGTGAAAGGCGCTTTGCAAACGTAATGTTTTTGTTGTCTCAATGCTGTGATAAGGTGCTATATGAAATGTAAAGATTATTATATATAGGTGGGGGTGGGGGTCGCGGGGGGGGGGGGGGGAGGAGGAGTACTTTCAATATAAATTACTGGAGGGCTACTCGAATCCCTCTGCACTCTTGTCCCACTCTGCAATCTCCTGCAGATCCTATTCCCCTTTCTTCACCCACTGGTCCGATGTTGGTCTGCTGCTAATTCCCCTCCATCCCATCATCAATGGCTCAACTTTCAACACCATGACAGTTCCAAAGTTCAGAATATTGTGGAATCTGGCCAAGCAGGTTAGCCGGACCAATGGTCTTCTACTGCCTGAATTAATCATGATGAAACTTTCTATGTTAAATCCTTTCAAGTGAGTTAATGTTGCAAGGCTGACAGGGCGGAGCTCCTCCTTCCCACACTTCAGACACCCGCAACACAATTCTCTACAGCTATAAAGGAACCCCCCCACAACACCCACAAAAAAAAGCAACAACTCCAGTCCCCAAAGAGCCCCACTGTCTTGGAAGGGGCTCTGAGATGCCATCCGGCGTTGAGGGTGCTACATAAATCCAAGTTGTTGTTGTTGTTGCCCTTCCCAGCCAAAGAACGTCAATGAGCGATAGCACCTGAAAATGCTGGATCCTCAATTTAGGGATCTGTATGAATTATGTAATCTAACAATACAAAGTCCAGAAGAGTGTACAACTTTTACATAAAAAACATTATCAGTATATTAAAAAAAAGTGTCCAGATAAGACTGGACACTTTGTTTTTTTGGATAAGACTTGCCAATGTCCATCTATAGTGAACAGGGAACAGTGTCACTTGCACTTTGAGTTGCTTGCTCCAGACATTTTGAAGCATTCGTTATACAAGATTCTCTAGCATTGTTATAGATTATGGAGATTTTTTGCCCACATGTAAACAAATGTGCATTATCGCAACACTTATGCATGCACCCAACTTCATTTAAAAACTCCTTGGACTGAGAAGTTTACAAAATAGTAGCTTTTGCATATTTTCTCCAATCCTCTGCGGAAGTAACTGACTTATAATAAGGCACAGAATCAAAGTCCAGTACCTTGCTGGTACCTTGGCCAAACAGCCACTTGTCACGTGGAAGCCAGGCAGTCAACATGGAGAGGCTATTCAACTGTGCTGAACATGATTTGATCCTTGCCTCCGATCAAACGCTGTTGGATTAGATCCAGTTTTGACATCACAATTTTCCTCTGCCTTATCCCAGGGATACAGAGGTCAGTTGTTATACCCACCACCACAGTCAGTATGGGTGAGGTCAGATGGTTTGGATTAGCTCAGGGCAGCCTAATAGTATGCCTGGTCTGGACAGCAGTGGATTTATACACTAACTCATTGGGAAGGTAAATGACTTTTAACCATAAAAAAAAAGTACTTTAAGGTCAGCTGGAAGCAAGAAAACCTCATTCCAACCACACCTCAAAATGACAAGCAATCAACCTAAATATAGTAGAGCCCAGTTATAATTTGGTAGTTGGGTCCATTAAATACCAAACTGCCCTGTAACTGGGCACAACTGCTGGGGAGCACTTCCATACTAATATAATAATAATCATCGCTGCATTTAGTATCGCGCCTCATGTCGTTGAGATGCCTCAAAACGCTTCACAGAATATATTGTAAAGTGAATTTACAGTATATTTTGTAGGAAAAAATATGTTCACTGTGTATACAGCAGAGCATCCCATGCTCCTTATTCTAAATAATTTTAAGATTGGCACCAATGTCACTTGACAACCCAATTACTGGGAAGTCAACAACTTGTTTTTAAGCACTTAGGGCCCCTGCCGGCATTTTACAGCTAACCAGGCAGCTTCTGCCTGTAGTCTGTACTTTTCTTGTAAGTAAACACCAGGGTACACACCCCAGTAAGGAAACTAGTGTGAGCGTTATTATTGAGTTCTAGTGATTAGATTATAGGTGTCGCGGTGCAACTTAAAATCACACAGTGTTATTCGTTTACAACATAGGAAAACACGGCTTTGAAACAGACTATTAAACATGTAACGACACAATTTTTAAACTACCGCACAGATGGGTTATAAAAACATGACTCTCAGCAGCAAAATACTAATTTTGTATTTAATAACTGAGGTAGAATATAATCTGTTCACTGCTTTATTGAGGCAAGCCTTTTGTTTTTCTCTTTCACTTTTCTCACCTTCCCCACCCACTACCCAAAGATATTTGACTCCTCTTTCGTTCTGCTGTGATCACAGCCTCACACCCAAGTGGACCATTATTTAAGGGTGACATTGGACACTGACTGCAACCAGCTATTCAACCAATGATGAACCTGATCCTGTCCCTACCTGGAATCCTCACAAATATCTCCAGTGGCAGTGACCACTGGTTAGAGATCAGAGCAGGAACCATGGCCCAATCTTAACCCAAGCACATCACGAGCAGCTGTACAGCCCAACTGCTCCCCTGCCTGGGATCAACTAGCCAGGATCATGTCAGGGCTCAAACATGGCACTTTTGGCTCTGTGTAGCTTAGTGCTACACCACTACCTTCACCTACTAAGCCATTGAGGGAACGTTGCTGAGCATTTGCAGTAATACAAATCAAGATTGTTTCTCCATATAAAATAAATTTCAAGGGTACTGAAAGGTTTGGATTAACTAAGAATAATGATGGGGGACCCATTGGAAGCACGGCTTCAAAGCAGACTCAGAGAAAAATTCAGATACGTGCCTCCAAGCCGTTGTGTGAAGTCAAAGTATCAGAGACAATGACTCAAAAGAAATTAAGAAAGACATTAAGACAGAAAAAAGTAGTGCTCAAGAAGATGTGTGTTTAAGCAAGGTTTCAGTTCCAGGATGTTTTGAACACCTGTTCAGAGTGGCTTCCCGTTTCAGGGTTCTATGTTCGCTCCTTGTCAAAGGTTTTGGGGTATTAGAAGTTCTAAGAGTGAGAATCTCCCAGCTTCCCAATAGCTACACAGATAGCAATGAAAAAGTAGAAACAAGGTGCAAATGTACCTGATACTCTATAAATCCCCTCGCACTTCATGCCAAAACGTTCAATGTAGTCAATGCACTCGCGAAAAACCGCTGGCAACTGGATCCCATCGTACAGCATAGTCCTCTCTATAGCCTCAGTTAGCGGGACTCCAAAGATGGGCCTGAGGGAAAAGGGAATTTCCACCTGCACAACTTCCAGCTCTACAGCAGGTTTCTTCTTTTTCTTTTTCTCTTTCCACTGCTTCACAACATCGGCCGCTGTCAAATCTTTGGACTTTTTCTCCTTGTGTTTGTCTTCTTTATGTTTCTCTTCTTTGTGCTTTTCTTCCTTTGGCTTCTCTTTGACTTTAAAGTCCTTTTCTTTCTTCTTGGAGAAACTCGGCTTTTTGAAGACATGAATGCCCTTTGGCCTCTTCATCTTTGACGGACTCTCTGCTTCGTCACCCGAGCTGTCCTCTTGGAAGGCCGCATATCCCTCGGCTATTGGAAAGAGAAGAGGATAAGGGTTAAGATCTATTTCATTTTTCCTGCTGAAAGCACAGTCCTCCTATAAATGTACTGCCACAACTGGATAATAGAGATGGACTGTTTTTTTTCTCCTTCTCACCCACCCATTTATTTCTTGAAAGACCAGGAATCCTTTCTGACGTATGGTTCTATGGGCGGCAGCCAGTATATTAGCTAAATGGCTATTCTTCACATCTGAGCCTCAAGAGAGAGGATGTCAGCAGGCTATTCTACAGTAGAGAACATCACAAACTAGTCTGTTTCAATCTTCATCAGGCAGCCACACACAAACACACACAGCTCCCACCACACAAAGCAAGCAGCAATGCTGGCTGATTTTCCACCCTTAAACCAAGTCTGTGGGGCCATCAACAGGGATTCTGCTAATTCACTTAGGCTTACTTTGATAACAGCAATACCACAGTCCAGGGAAAAGCAAATTAGTTGCTACTTACTCCGTTTTTCTTTCTTTTTAAATTTTCCTTTTTTCTTTCCGTGTTCCTTTTCGTCATCGGACACAATGTCAGCAGACTCGTGCAGCCCATCATGAGGCGGAGAGTTCTCACCGGTACGGTAGAGTCCAGGGAACTTTGTTGGACTGATCTCCTCGGAGCTGGGTGTCCGGGCCAGCCCACTGCCATGTTCAGCCCTGCGGTGTTCACTCGGACTGCTTGTTGGTGGCAGGAAGCATTCAGTCATTGTTGCTCTTGGGAATTGTTCTCGTTTACCTGTCCATAACACCTAGGAATTCAAGCAAAGGATTATTGAATGCACAAAACATTCCACGATACTATCAAGTGTGCTTTTAATAGAACACAGGCAGTTTTTGTGCTACAAGCATAAGGCTCTTTCTTCTCTCTATTCAGCCCTGCTCCATCTTGTAGCCCCACAGACATGGTATCGCTAATACCTCACAAGAGCCGTACATATTTAGCAATCTGGAAATGCAGAAGTGATGTTGCATTTCAGAGCTCCAGGTTCCTCTAGGTCATAGTTGCAAAGATTTCTTAAAGGAACGCAAGTGATTTTGCCTGTTCACATGAACACTGTTCACAGCAGCTTCTTCAGGCAGTCACCCGGGACAGCTGATCAAACTCCAAGTCAGGTCTTACCAGATCCGGAGTTGGGGAAAAAAGAACTTTTGGACATTAGTTACTTTCGCAGGAAAAATAACAACGTGAAAACAGTATAAATCACTAGGGCGAGTCTGGGTACTAATTCAGGATTACTGGGACACTTTCAGGAACATGTCTTTGATATTTTGCTGTTTTAAGATTAGCAATAGAACAAGTCAAGAGACAAAGTCTGGACAAAAAGCTTGTGTTATGAATCAACTTAAGAATTCATTGGTAAAATAAGTATTAAATAAATCCTTGTAAATGTGGAGATTGACATGCTTCAGCTAATCAGCGAAGATGTGAAGTTAAATAAAATTAACTTTAATGGTAAATATAGAACACAGGATCTTATGTTGAAAATCAAACTAAGCAGGTTTTGAGAGGGGATCCTCGTGAATTTATTAACAATATCTACTTACATTTTATATAGCATTTTATGTCAGGAGGACATGTCTCAAAGCTGCAGAGGGTACACTGTAAACCAGCGGTTTTCAATTTTTTTTGCCCTGTGCCCTACTTCGGACATTATTGTTCTATGCGCACCACTGTCTTTCTAGAACACAGCATGTTCGCATGCTTATCGGGAGTCACGCGCCCATCTCCACTTGGCTTTTTGCTGGTTAGCGACCGAAGGAACAGGACAAACCAGTATTTCTTTGTTCTTCCTCCGCTTTCTCTGAGGCCCAGCCTCTCCTCACACTTCTCTTCCCAACCCTTCACTTGGGAAAAATGACAGTAAGTAAAAATTCTTACCCAGTAACCTGTCTACGCTCACCAGTTTGAAACTCCTGATGTAAATTTTAGCAATTGTGCATTTTGTAGGCAAAAATAGCAGCCAATTTGCACACAGCAACAAACCATGCAACAAACAGCCATGAAATGAGTAACCAATTTTATTTGGGGGATTGTTGGCAAGGACACTGGAAGAAACTCCGTTCAGTTTTTGAATAGCGCCATGGATTTTTAACGTCCACCTGTGCAGGCACAGGCAGAAGCGCTATTTGACGTCTAATTCCCTCACCTCCGTAACATTGTCCGACTCCGCCATTACCTCACCCCTCAGGCCGCTGAAACTCTTGTTCATGCGTTCATCAGCTCCAGGCTCAACTATGCAAATGCCCTGCTTGTCAGCCTTCCCAATTCCTCCCTTCACGGGCTGCAGATAATCCAGAACTCTGCAGCCCGTGTCCTCTCCTGCACCAAACTTCGGACCCCATCTCCGTCATTCTCGCCCGACTCCATTGACTCTCTATCCTTCAGAGGATCCAGTTCAAGATCCTGGTCCTCACATACAAACCCCTCCATGGCCTCGACCCACCCTACCTCTGTGACAACCTAACCACCTACCAACCCGCCCGTTCCCTCCGCTCAGCCGGCTCTGGCCTGCTCCACGTCCCCCAACCCGCCCCACCATTGGTGGGAGAGCCTTCAACCACTCTGCCCCCAACTTCTCGAATTCCATCCCCCAGTCACTCCGCCTCGTCCCCTTCAAGTCCTGCCTCAAGACCCTCCTCATCAGCCAGCCTCCCCTCCCTTCCCCCCTCCCCCCCACCACCCCCGACCCCAGCTCGGGTCTGAAATGCTGTATGCTGTCCAGCGCCTTGGGACGTCCTCCTGACGTGAAAGGCGCTATACAAATGTAATCTTGTTGTTGTAGTACTCTATTCTTTCTCAAACATCCAGAATTATTTCCAAATTAGCAACCCTTGAACAGGAGGGCTGTTGATCCAAATAAGCCACAAGTTGCAAAAGTTTCCAACCAGTAAAATAACCTTAAGACAAGGATAATAAAATATAATAAAGCTTGCATTTGATATTGCATATTATCACGTCTTCAAAGCGCCTCAAAACGCTTCACAGAATAAACTGTAAGGTGAATGGACTGTGTATTTTGTGGACGAAATGCAGTAGCCCACAAGCAGTCATGGATTGAGTGACCAAATTATTATTATTATTTTTCAAGCGATTATTACCCATGGAAAAGCAATCGTCCATCGACTAACAACTGGGTTCCTACTTACTGCTAGGTAAAAAGAGGTGTGTGGAGTAAGGATACTTGCCCAACATTTCGCCCTGCCCAGGAATCAAACCCGGGTCCTCTCATTTGCGAAACGACTGCTCTAAGCGCTAAGCTACAGGATAATAAAAGTATGAGATTTTAAAGCAAATGATGTTGGTATGTATGAAAATACAAAGGGGTATCAAACACCCTGAGTAACGCGGTCAAAAGGGTTGAGGAGGAATGCCTGGCAAAAAGCACCAAAAATAACTGATTGAGACAGAATGGGTTGTCATTGATGAGATCTTTGAGTCTTTAGACATGTTTAGCCAAAGCCCTAATGGGTAGAGTTGGATAAGCAGCAAAATCAACATTTGATACAAAGTGATGGCAATGGTGTCACAGGATGCTATCCTGGATGGAGGATGCTGCTGTATATAAATGCAAATTGGTGCAAAAAGCATCAAAAGTCAAACCAAGCTACTGTCACACTCGCCTCCCGCTACCTATCTGAAGAAAGCACTAGCAGCAGACACTTAGGAAACCAGATGTTTGGTCCCATCTTGGACGGGGAATATGTTAACGCACTGGAAAGAACAGGATGGAAAGTAAAGTGCATCTCCACACGATTAATTTCATGAACAAAACATTCCTGAGAAGCTACTAAGATCGCAATAACACAATGCAGCAGATGTGAGGAAACAAAAGAGCTCTTTATAGTGGGACCAAGGAAATAAACTTGTTTAAAAAAACATGCGGATAAGGGTTGGGACAAACACTGTCTATATTACCCCATAAAGTGGTTGTACTACAATTACGAGAATTAAAGTATACGCATGAAATCTGCTCGAGATTGTTGCACTGAAACCGCTCAACTCAAAAACAAAAGGAAATCGGTAGGGCAAGACCAGACTGGCATGGACAGCTGTTGCAACGATGCAGAGGCGGCCACAGATTAGCCCTTTGCACGTGAAGGTTTAAAAAAAAACAACCAGCCTCTCTCTACCAGACCCATTTTACTTCTTAAAACCGAACAGTAAATTTTTTNAATAAAATTGTGAACGAATACACTGCACTATCTTAAAAACGGTGCCCCTGCAAGTCCCACAACTTCATAATCTGGCCACAGATTAATCCTAATACAGCACACGTGCTAAAAATGTGGAGTCCACTAGTTCAGTGTTAAGAGCGCTCGCCTGCTAGCGAGAGGACCCGGCCTCGATTCCCAGGCAGGGCGAAACCTTAGGCAGGTTTCCTTACTCCACACGCCCCGGTTCACCTAGCAGTAAGTAGGAACCCAGTTAGTCGATTGGCGAATCACTTTTCTGAGGGTAATAATCCTTTCAAAAAACAAGACATTTTTTTAAAAAAATAAAAAATGTGGTCACTCAATCCACTTCCGTTTGTGAGACACTGCTTTGTGCCGTTTTTCGCTCACAAAATGTAAGGTCAATTCACTTTACAGTATATTCTGTGTGGTGCTTTGAAACGCCTCAAAGATGTGATAAGGCACTATATGAAATATAGGGATTATTATAAGCTTTAGGAATATTACAGTTCAGATGTGAAAACTGAGGAAGCCAATGGCATTTGCCTTCGAATGTTTCAACTTTGGTTTCCTCATATAGCCCAAGTGATAAAGCCACCAACCAATGAGAAACAGCCACTTGCACCAGGAAGATCCTAGGTTCAATACATAATAATACTTGCATTTGATATAGTGCCTTATCACATCCTTATGTAAGACACCTTAAAGCAATTCACAGAATACACTGTAAATAATATTCCCACATTTAAACAGCGCCTTATCACGCCTTCGAAACTAATACTAATCCTTGCATTTGATATAGCGCTTTTCACGTCGGGAGGACGTCCCAAAGCGCTTCACAGAACACACTGTAAAGTGAATTGACTGTATATTTGTGGGCGAACGCGGCAGCCAATTGCGCACAGCAATGTCCCACAAACAGTCGTAGATTGAAAATGACCAATTTTATTATTGTTTTTGGTTTTTGGAGGGATTATTATTAGGCTCTGTGTGGAGTAAGGAAACTTGCCCAAGGTTTCGCCCTGACCTGGAATTGAACTCAGGTCTCTCACTTGCAAAGCGAGTGCTCTAACCACTGAGCTACAGGACTCCAAAACATCTCAGAGTTTCACAGAATATACTGTGAAGTGAATTGACTGCATATGTTGTGGACGAAATATGGCAGCCAATTGCACACAGCAGTGTCCCACTAACAGTCTTGGATTGAAGTGACCAATTTATGTTTATTATTTTTTTAAAGAAATTATTACCCTCGGAAAAGCGAATCGACTAACAAACGGTTTCCTACTTACTGCTAGGTAAACAGAGGCGTGTGGAGTAAGGAAACTTGCCCAACATTTCGCCCTGCCCGGGAATCGAACCCAGGACTACAGGACTCCAAAGTGAGTTGACTGTAAAGTGAATTGACGCAGAATACAGGTTCTGTGTTAATTGATTTCAGTCTATTGGCCAAGGAAGGATAAAACCAGCTACGGTTTCCAGTCTTCTGCACAATCTAGCTGTCGTGACCCTCCTCTCTACCAGAAAATATGTTGTCGAGATTATTCGGCTATGCCTCCCACTGTTGCTTAGTCAATCTATAGTGGGTACTTAAGATGAGGTATATAGAAGGGTCACTTGTGCCAGGTACAGAAAGGAAAACCGCACCCAAGGAACTGTACTCCACAGTAAAGTAAAATTAGTACTAATCACACAGACAAGCAGGCACAAGGTCTGAATCACGTCACGTGGCCCATTCACAAGAATCTGTCATGCATTGCATTTGAAACCGAGCTGCTTTGGCTGTCACGTTCTCTCATTCCAGTTTTGTAAATAACTTAGAAATAGAAGAGCAATTTGTACAAAGAAGCATTTAGAGATTTCAGTGCAGGCTGATCCTTTGAAGGCGTTAGTGTCTTGAAATATGTATGGCGCCTGACGTTTCTCTGTAGGAGGCAATGCAATAGAATAAGGGTGTTATAACACTCTAAATTCCAGACACGCTGGTGTGTAGGACAACTTGCAAGATGCAAGAATCTCCTGATGTTGGCATATTTGGATGGTGTTTAGCTGGCATGCTGCAATGCAGCATGAAATCAAAACGGTACTTGCCGGACACTCCAATGCAGTGCTGGGGATGCACTGCATTGCTGAAGGTGTCATCGTTCGGATGAGATGTCAAACTGAGGCCCTGTCAGGTAGACGCTAAAGATCTCAGGGCTCCATTCGAAAAGATAAGGGAGTTTCTCAGAGGATCCTGGCCAACAAAATAAAATTGGTCATTGGCTGATTGTGGGGCACTGCAGCATGCAAAATGGCTGCCTCATTTGTCTATAAAATATAGTCACTACTCTTTACAGTATATCATGTGAACTGCTTAAGAAACATCATCCTCACGTGAAAGGCATATTATCAAATGCAAAGATTATTAAAGCAATATCCACAGAATGCACAGCAAAGTACTGCACAGGATACTGTACTTTCAGTACTTGTTAGTCTACAGAGGTCTATTGCATTCTGTTTCTGACCTTTGCCATTCATTGCATACAAAGTACATCATACAGAAGCAAAAGCTTTATTTTTCAGCATCTCTATTTCTGACAGCCTTCAGTTCGACTGAGACTCCAATCCAATGCACAGAAAATCTAAGACAAAGTACAGACTGTGTTCTAAGTTAGAGGATATTAGCGAGACCATCAGAAACAAGTCAAAATTTTAAATTTATGTTCTAAACCTCAAACAGTTCTCACTACGTTCATTAAACAAATGATGTTAAATTACAGTCAACAGTAACATGGTCCAGAGAGATTCAAAGGTAGTGCATTTAAATTCTATTAATTGCATACTCAAGTTGACAGCAAAAATTATTCAATAAATCAACCTACCGTATTCATATAACCAGACTAAACATAAGTGGACTCAAGTCGCGCGGACTCTGACTGTACCGGAACCACAAACAATCTCCACCCACCAATCACACACTATCTAGCAATTTTGAAAAATCAAATTTATTTTCAAGTGTTTTTGTACATAAAAGCAGCAGCTATTTTGCACACAAAGTCTCACAAAAATCCGTGAGGTGAATGGACGAATGACCAATTGACCTGGAGGACCATTTGCCAGGAGAAACTCCCTTCTCTTTTCAAATACTGTTGTAGGATCCTTAACATCCACTTGAATAAGATGAGACCTCAGTTAAACATCTCACCTGAGGGATGGCACCTCTGTCAATGTTGCGCTTCAACAGTAAATCATAGGCTACAATGGAGGCAGAGCTAACTCATGATGCTCCTGAAGACTAAACATGTAATGCAAGTCAGGTTCAACTTGATGCGGGTGGGTTACCACATTTCTCAGCAAGGTTACCAGGGGTTTTCCCCTCACACTGAGCGCGATAGGTAAGCTCTGCCTCCAGAGATGGCCGGAGATAGTCACACGGATCCAATACTACACAAAATTAAAAAAGGAAACAAAGCAAGTAGAAGTAGACATTAGGAAAAAGAAAAGGACTGGCTTAATTAAGTGACACCACCTTATTAGGCAGCAACGCCTACCATTCGCTTCATCAAAACCCCAGCATCATTGCTCAACATGCGTTACTTCCTCAAAACACACAGACCCATCACTCTAGGCTCTTATATTTTTATCAGGAACAATTTTATCTCCAAACCACTAGTACAGAGGATAGTGACAAACAGGAAGCAAATCTCAAAATGAAGAATCTGATCATGTGAAGCTGAACAACAAATTGCATTTACATAAATAAGCCTTATACGTTGGAGAAATCTTTTCAACATCAAAAACTAAAGTTTGCGTAAAGAATTCTTTTTTAAAAAATCTACCTAAAAGTATTTAGCTTCAGAGGTGTGGCAAAGTACATTGAAGGAACTCCCTCCATACAGTAATAATGCTCTTTAAATGCCAAATCATAACTTCACACAATGCACTAACCCTAACCCATCACGTGTTTCCATTTTTCCTTAGATCAATTTGAGACATCAATAAAAATAAAATTCTCCTCAACTGCAGCTTACTCACATCACAGCAATTCCATTAATTAGCTTGGGCAAGGCTGACAACCGGTCTGATTATTAAAATATCAGCATGATGTTATGCACTTCTTCACTCTGCCAGCCTCCCCCACTGAGCTTTCCATTTGTGGGTGTTGCATCACCCTATTCCCACTCAAGGCTGGCAACCCTGCAACCAAGCTTCTGCCAATGATCCTCCAAAGCCTACCACCAGCAGGTGCATGACAAGTGACTAACTGTTGGGGAGTCCTGTAGCTCAGTGGTTAGAGCACTCGCCTTGCAAGCGCGAAACCTGGGTTCAATTCGTAGCAGGGTGAAATATTGGGCAAGTTTCCTTACTCCACACGCCTGATAATAATCCCTCAAGAAAAAAATAATAATTTGGTCACTCATCCACGACTGTTTGTGGGACAAACACCACTAAATATATGGACGATTCACTTTACAGTATATTCTGTGAAGCGCTTTTGAGACGTCTACAAGACGTGAAAAGTACCATTTCAAATGCAAGGATTATTATTATTATATTCCCTCCAGGTGGACGTGTGCAGCCTCCACTCACCTTGCAAGCGAGAAACCCACCTTACCCCACCCAAGATTCAGAAACATGGCCAAGGGCAGGCAGGACCCACTGGTGCAAGCCAAATATATATTGGGGTATACATTTAGATCCATCAACAAGCCTTGCAATACTTTGTCCAAGGTCAGAAACGAATCCAACAAACTACAGGTGCAAACGTGCGCCCCCGGCAATTTATAGCACAAATTGGGCCCAGCCCACTGTGCTGTGCAATAACACACTGAAAATGTTGTCAGATTAATGGATCTAGTTCAGATCATGTCTTCCAGTACTGGAGAAGGCCATTTGACCCACCTTGTCGTTGCTGGTGCGAGCTCTCTTATAAGTGTTGTATATACCCATTACATTACCCTGCTCTCTCTCTCTCTCTCTCCCACCGCCTCCAGTTAACAAGCATAACGACAACTTGAATTTGTATACAGGATACACATTTGCACCTTCAGGCGCAAGAACATCGAGGAGTGCTTTACGAGCGCGGGGTCGTTCGTGGGGGAGAGGTGGCAAGAATTGGCTCATTCCAATGGATAGCTTTTAAGACAGGACTTAAGACATACGTAGCACGGCAGCAGCAAAACACGCCAATGAAGTACTGGATCTGTAAGTGCCACAATCGCACAGTGTACACCCACACATACATCCACATTACCCCCCCCCCCTTTTTTGGGGGGGTGGGGGGAAGAGTCTTAGAAAGAGAGAGAGAGAAAAAAAGTCTTTACAGAACCAGAATAACCAGAACAAACTTCATCAAAACACAATAGCCCTCTAATGACATCAACAAGTCCGAACAGGAGCAGCTCCGGCCCAGGATCCACAACTGGAGTAACTTATCTGGACTGGACAGGAGTTGTAGTCCAGAGGAGGTTATAAAAATAACTTCCTCCGCCTCCCCACCCCCCCTCCGCCTCCCCACCCACACACCCCCACACCCACACACCCCCCCCACCCACACCCCCCACCACACACAGAGGCTGTGGCACACAGTGCAGGAAGGAGTCTGCACTCCAGGTGTGGGCAGCTGCTGTGTGTGTGTGGGGGGGAGACCCTGGGGCGAGTCAGGGCGCTGCTAACACCGCGCCATTCCGCTTCCCCGGGAGGGAGGGACGGAGGGAGGGAGGGAGGAAGCCCCGGAGGCTCGTGGACAGCCGAGACTGACTCCAAGGGACACGAGGCCTGGCCCCGGGGGAAGGGGCTGCGAACGGGACGGGGACGGGGAGGGAGGGGGGGGTGGCCGGGGTTTGGGAGAGGAAAAGGCGGGCGGGGAGGGGAGGCGGGGGTGGGGGTGACCGGAGGGAAGTCAGGGGAGAGGGCAGGGGGAGCGGGCAGAGCTGCGGGGTGAGGGGGTGCGGTGCGGGGGACCAGCCCTCCTGCCGGGCCGCGGCTGGTAAAGCGAGCCCCGGGGCTCGGGTTATCGACCGGCGAGAGAGAGAGAGAGAGAGGCCTGCAACCTCCGAAGCGAGACCCGCCCGGTCGCCAACCCTCCCGCGGGCCCGCAGGCCTACACCAGCGCCTTGACCCCCTCCTCCTCCCCTCAGTCCGTACCTCTCCTCAGAGCAGCCGCTCACGGTGCCCTCAGCTCGGGAGCCGCCACATACCGAGCGCCGCCGGGGGTTGGCTCTCTCTCTCTCCCTCTCCCTCTCTCTCTCGCTCGCTCGCTCCCTGTGAGCGGAGGAGGGGCGGCGGCCACTCACAGCGCAGGCGCCGGGCTGCCCCTGCCGTGCGTGCCCGACGTTGCCGTGTCGTCATCGCGTCCTCCTCCCACAGGCGCAGTGCGTGACCCTGTGTGCCGTCATCACGTCAATCACTAACCCCGCCCCCCCCTTCACTGAGGCCACGCCCCCGCCCTGGTCAACATTGGGAGCCAAGTGCCAACATTGGGTTTGAACCCTTTGGAAGTCCATCCCACATTCCCTTTGCCTCACTCCCTCCTTTGCCTCCTTCAAGACCCTCCGCCTCGACCGCACCTTCGTCACCCGCTCCTGATCCCAACCCACCCACCACCACCCGGCTCGGGTCCAAAATCCCCTGACCGTCCAGCGCCTCGGGACGTCCGCCCCATTTCGAGAGTCGGACTGGGGATGTGGGGAAATCAGGAAACTTCCTCTGCGGATGGTCCCCGCTGCTGACCACCTTGTGCGGCCTCGTTCAGAAGTTCCATTTAAGTCTGGACAAAAGTTTTTAAACTCTGCCACTCCCCCCTCCCCCCCCCCACCACCCCAATTGGTCCCCCATTTTACCTGATATAATAATAATAATCCTTGCATTTGATATAGCGCTTTTCACGTCGGGAGGACGTCCCAAAGCGCTTCACAGAACACACTGTAAAGTGAATTGACTGTATATTTGTGGGCGAACGCGGCAGCCAATTGCGCACAGCAATGTCCCACAAACAGTCGTGGATTGAAAATGACCAATTTATTATTGTTTTGTTTTTTTGGAGGGATTATTATTAGGCTCTGTGTGGAGTAAGGAAACTTGCTCAAGATTTCGCCCTCTGCCTTGAATTGAACTCAGGTCTCTCGCTTGCAAAGCGAGTGCTCTAACCACTGAGCTACAGGACTCCACGATAATCCTGAGCTTCTTCGGGGGATTCAATCTCTCACTACGATAGTCATCTTAAGATATCTACCAAAAATCTTAAGATATCTACCAAGAGAAGCAGAGGGGAGGTTAGAAGAATTTTTTTCACTCAGCGAGCTGTTCGAATTTGGAATGATTTGCCTGAAAGGGCAGTGAAGTCCGATTCGATAACAGCTTTTAAGAGAGAACTGGATAGGTATCTGGAGAAGACAGGTTTGCAGGGTTATGGGGAGAAAGCTGGTGATTGGGGTTAGTGAAAGTGACTTGCTCTGTCAAAGAGCCGCACAGACTCGATGGGCCGAATGGCCTCCTTCTGTGCCGTAACATTCTATGAAAAAAAACCTGTAGTCTCCCCACTAGTGAGATCAGCTATTTAACACAAACCACAGAACTTTGACTCCCGATTGCTCAGTGCAGTTTTCCAATGACCCATCACCCTCAACAGGCCACTTCCATAACCTGTGGGACTTCCGTGGTTTGCAGACATTTCTGGGATTCACCGACGTTTCTTCTGACTTCCCTATTTGATCTATTGGTGACTATTTTGTATCTATGGCCCCTGGTTTTGGTCTCGCCCACAACTGGAAACATCTTCTCTACATCTACTCCATCAAAACCTTTCATAATTTTAAAGACCTCAATCAGGTCTTTTCAAGAGAAAAGAGTCCAAGAGTGTTCAGCCTTTCCTGATTGGTGTAACCTTTCAGTTCTGGGATCATCTTTGTGAATCTCCTTTGCCCCCTCTCCAGTGCCTCTACATCTCTTCTATAATGTGGGGACCAGAACTGCACACTGTATTCCAAGTGTGGTCTAACCAAGGTTCGGTATACATTTGCCATAACCTCCCTGCTTTTCATTTCTATGCCTCTGGAAATGAACCCCAATGCCTGGTTTGGTTTTTTATGGCCTTATTAACCTGCATTGCTACTTTTAATGATTTGTGTACCCCTAGATCCCTTTGCTCCTCTACCCCTGTAGGTTTTTATATTCCAGGCAGTAAGTGACTTCTCAGTGGTCCCGGCTCCACTGGCTTCCCATCAGACAGAGGATACAGTTCAAGATCCTGGTCCTCAACTTCAAAGCCCTCCATGGTCTTGCTCCCCCCTACCATCCTGCCTGTTCCCTCAGCTCAGCGGGCTCTGGCCTGCTTCACATCCCCCGCCTCGTTTGCCATACTATTGGCGGGCAGGCCTTCTGCCACTCTGCCCCCACCCTCTGGAACTCCATCCCGCAGTCCCTCTGCCTTGCCCCCTCCCTTGTCATCTTCAAATCCCATCTCAAGACCCTCCTTTTCGACCGTGCTTTCGATCACCCTGCTTCCCCCCACTGCCCTCCACTCTCCCGACCCCCCAGCTCAGGTCCGAAACTCTATCCAGCGCCTTGGGACATCCTCCCGATGTGAAAGGTGCTATATAAATGTAATTTTGTTGTTGTTGTTGTCCCAATACCGATCCTTGTGGAACACCACTTCCAACCCCCTGCCAGTCTGCGTAGCTACCCTTTACCCCTACTCTCCGTTTTCTGTTTTGTAGCCAGCTTGCTATCCATTCTGTTATTTTCCCCCTGACTCCACATGCTCTGACCTAATTCATTAATTTATTATGCGGTACCTTATCGAACGCTTTTGGATATCCAAATATATTACATCTACCGCATTACCCTTGTCTACTCTTTCTGTTACCTCTTCAAAGAATTCAATGAGGGTTGGTCAAGCATGAAATCCGTGCTGACTATTTATTATATTTTTGGTTTCTAGATATTTTTCGATTACCTCTTTTAGTAAGGATTCCATTATTTTTCCCACCACCGATGTTAAGCTCTCTTGTGATAAGAAAGTTTTTATCACAAGAGAGTCTCAGGTGAAGTAGGCCCTTTATTTAATTTCATTCTAATCTTATTTTGGGGACATTTCTCTCACATGAACGATATAAAATAAATGTAAGTTGTTGTTACAGTTGCAGTCTGGGGCCTCCCCATTTACCTCCGCGACTTCTTTTTGCCATAACAGAACTTTGATGTAGACCAGAAACCGCTATTAAGGACTGGAGACTGCAAAGGGGAAAATTCTTTCTGCTGCTGCAGTTCCTGAGTAAAATCCTGCGACTCCTTAACTCTAGAGTTTGATTTTAATTTGGTTCAGCTGCTTTCTTTTTTCTTGTAAGTTTTATTCTTTTTCTCTTTATATAAGAGAAAGAAATTATTTGTGATTTATGGCAAAACTGATTTCCGTTTGCAAGGACAAACGGCTTTTAAGGCAGTTATTTCACAATGCATATGGTGTCACCCTGCCTCAGCATTCCCACCACTGAGTCAGAAGATTATGGGTTCATTCCCCCACTTTGGGACCTTGAGCTCACATAGTCTAGGCTGACACTCCAATGCAGTGCTGGGGGTGCATTGCATGGTTGGAGGTGCTGTCCTTCCGATGACACTTTAAACTAAGGTCCCATCTGTCTGGTCAGGTGGACGTTCCATGGCACTACTCGAAAAGAGAAAGGAGTTTCACCCGGTGTCCTGTCCAAGAATACCCCCAAATAAAATTGGTCATTCACTTCATGGCTGTTTGTGGGACTTTGCTATGCTGAAATTGGCTCCCATATTCCCCTACAAAAAAACACTCACTACACTTTAGATTAAGTTCTGTGAAGTGCTTTGAGACGTCCTTTTGATGTGAAAGGCACCAGTAACAAATGCAAGGATTATTGGTATTATTTTATTGTTTTCAACTCCATTTTCTGTCTCACCAGCTCTCTTTCTCCTTATCTCCTGGGTGGTACAGTCCTGACATGGTCCTGTACTGGGTTGGACCTTGAAGCAGTCGACCATCATTTGTGAGACTTCTTGTTGATCCGCCCATCTTAAGAACATATGAAAAGTCAGGAATGACATAAGACCATTTAGCCCTGGAAAGGTTAAACCTCTAGTACATCTCGTTCTGTGTTCTTATTGTTCCAGGAACATAGTGGGGAGGCCATTCAGCCCCATTGAGCCTGTTCTGCCATGTGGTTGATATGGCAACCGTGGTCTGAACCCATTGGAGATTATGGGTGGGGACAGGGATTTGTAAATGCAAGTATTATATGATTAACCCTGTTTGAGAGAGTCTCGCCTGTTTAAGATCAGAACAGCTATTTTTCAACACTTGAAAATGATCTCCCCTCAGCCAGAATCAAGGATGATATCTTCACAGAGCCTTTCAGACAGATAATAATCTGCGCATTTGATATACAATACAAAAACACATATATTCGCCCCCACGTCATTGAGACGCCTCAAAGTACTTCATAGAATATATTGTAAAGCGGATTGACTGCGTATTTTGTGGGTGAAACGCGGAAGCCAATTGCGCACAGCAGTGTCCCACAAACAGCCGTGGAGTTGAGCGTTTCCTTTTTTTTGGAGAGATTATTACCCCGCCTTAATAAGTCAGCGAGATGTCTCAAAGCGCTTCACAGGATATACTGTAAAATGGAGTATGTGTATTTTGTGAGCGAACCACGGTGGGGGGATGGTGAGCAGAGGGCTTATTTCAAACCACGCTTTAACTTTGCTCCATAAATAAAGAACGCAACTCTGACCCTTTGTCTTTTTGGTGAAGATCGCAAGTGTAGTGTATTGGTTACAGCACTCGACTCGTAAGTGAGAGGATTTGTGTTTGATTCCTTTGTGAAACCTAAAGCAAGTTTCCTTATTTCACACGGCTGTTTACCTAGTAGTAAGTAGGAACCAAATTGTTAGTTGATTGGCGGATCACTTTCTGGGGTAATAATCCCTCAAAAAGAAATGAATCACTCAATCCACGACTGTTTGTGGGACACTGCTGTGCACAATTGGCTTCCGGTTTCACCCACAAAATACAAAGTCAATCCACTTTACAATATATTCTGTGAAGCGCTTTGAGGCGTATCAATGACGTGATAAGGCGCTTCATTATATGAAGGATTATTGTTATTTTCAATACCGACATGCTTGGTTTGGGCTTTTCTAGCCTCCACCTGAAGTTCAGTGTCTGCCGGAGGCAAAGTCAGTGAACAAACGCACCAAATTGTTCCTTTGGTCAACATCCTTTCAAGCCTGGCTCCTCTCCTCTCTGCTTGGTCTCCATATCATCTCCGAGACATTTATAATATGTGAACAATGCTGTATTAAATTGATTACAACCTATGAATAATAATGCTTGCATCTGTTATAGTGCCTTATCATGTCTTCCAAACGTCTCAAAGTACTTCACAGAATATAAAGTGAACTGACTGTGAATTTTGTGGGAGAATACAGTCACTACATTTTACTGGAACACTCTGGAAAATCATGGAACACTCTTCCTCTAGCCCTCCGCCTTATCCCTTCCTTCCCCACCTTCAGGTCGCGCCTGCAGACCTTCCTCTTCAGCCGTGCCTATGGTCACCTCCTCCGGCTTGGCTCCTAGGTCTGGGACGGGACCCTGTGTGAGGGGCACTGTATAAATGCAAGTTGTTGTTTACAGTAAAATCCTGTAAAGCACTTTAAGATGTTTCAACGAAGTGATAAGGTGCAATATCAAATGCAAATAATAAGAATAATAAATATAAATTGCTGAGTTGCTGTAGCTTGCACCATCCTCCTCCTTTGTTTAAAAAAAAGCTACATTGTTCACAGGAAAACCTTTTAAGATCCGGGAGGAGAGAATGCTTGATTTCCAGTCAAGCGTTTCAGAAGAGGATTTTGTGATAACGATGAGCTTCGGTTTTTTTTAATTCCTGGATTCCCAGCGTTTTAATGCACCGTTTGGCAGCTTGCCACCACAATGTGAAATTACATGATGTTCAATGGTTCTCACAGGCTTCCTGTCAATGGAATCATTGTGAACTCTTCAGTGGTAGCAAAAGAAAGCTGCACAAAAAGCCTTTTGTTTCCACGAAGAGGGAGTGGGAAGTGGGGGTGGGTGGGGGGGGGGGGGGGGAGGCGGGTGGTGCGTGGGAGGGTTAGCGACACGTTTTGAAAGAGAGGGAAAGGGAAAAAAATAATCTTTGACATACAGTATTCAGTCATTCATTCCGAATTCTCCTTGGTACTGCAGGCACAGGAATGGGAGCAGGAAATTATTGACGTCGATAGCAAACTCGCTGGTGCTACCTGTACCGCAGTGACACCAACAAGCTCAAAGAGATTTTGGAACTTCCTCAGAACCACAAACCAAACAATACCTACCCCCCCCCACCCCCCCACCCCACAGCACCACCATAACAAATTACATTTGTATAGGGCCCTTCACGTTGGGAGGAAATTCCAAGGCACTGGGCCTTGGGACACATAATAATAATCCTTGTATTTGATATAGCGCCCTATCACGTCTTCGAGTCATCTCAAAGCGCTTCACAGAGTATACTGTGCAGAACTGACCGCATATTTGTGGGCAAAACACGGCAGCCAATTGCGCACAGCAGCGTCCCACAAACAGTCGTGGATTGAGTGACCAATTTTTGTTTAAGCAATTATTATCCCTGGAAAAGCGATCATCTGCCAATCGACTGACAACCAAGTTCCTACTTACTGCTCGGCAGAGTTCTTTCATTTCCACTTGCCAGCATCCAGTCAATGTCTCTGTCCAATCACATTGCCTTCGAGTTTGAGGCGCCAGCCACTCCCAGGGGCACCGATCAAACTCAACTATACTAGACTGCAGGACACCAGCAGTGGGTTTTGTCTTTGTGAATTCCACTGCTGAGATTAATAATGCTGTTGTTTTTCTGCAGGCCTCTTTGTGGAAGTAAAATGAAAAGATTATTCTTTGCCGCCTCTTCAGAATTCCGTTCAGAATGATAATAATCCTTGCATTTGATACACATCGGGAAGACGCCCCTCGAAGATCTTCGCAGGAGTTACTGTAACGCATATCGACTGTGTATTGTGTAGATGAACTCGGCGGCCAATTCGAGTGCAGCAATGTAGGTCATTCTCTTCCTTTTCAAAATGAATCGTGTTGTTGCCCGGTGGGTTTGCTAGGTGGCGTAGTGAGCAGGGTAGGCAAAAAACACTGTTTTATTCTCCATCTCACCCTCGCTCACTCTGGGTGGAGAAAGGAACTCACATAGCCCCAGCGAGAAATAGCAGGGTATCTCAAGAATCCAGTCCAGGTCTCCCAATCTCTGGCAGATGACATGTGTGTTCCTATGCGTACAATAGGCACCACAAAATGATATATTTAAAACCGAATGCGACTCCAGAATTAGGTAGGCAGGTTGCGTATTCCATTCCATTCCACGGGAAGGTGGGATTCATAGAGCTCAAGTTTGGTTTGGATAATCTTAAGCACAGTGATGGATGTCAGACATCTGACCCCCCCCCCACAACCAGCTCAAAAAAAAACCTGAACGTCACTTCTGGAAGAACTCAAGCTGAAATCCGAATCTGCGCTCAATGGTTTATCCGTTCTGGATCAAAAGAACTCAATGTGCTACACATTCCCCCGTCGTAACACAACAATTTATTCAGCACGAAAATGACTTTTGAGTAAGTAGCTGGTGGAGGAATACATCAGGAAAGCATCAATTTAATGACAGTAAATCTACATCATGTGAATATCTACATACCTCGGCACAATTTGTTTTTAAACGGGGCACATTTTTTTGTTTAAATTACAAAAGATCCGTTGTAGAAATACTCCTTTTTAATAAAAAAAAGTCCTGACAAGCGATTTTAGAAAGACTTGCATCTGCTTCAACTGCCTGACATCTGATCTACATATACATTCTTAAGCGTAAAAATGAAGGAAGTGCAGAGTTTTAGCCAGGGGGAGGAGGGGCGGGGAGAGAAACCTTTAAAAAAATATATTTTTTAAAAAGCACAAAACCTCATTTAACAAGAATTTCACCATCAATCTTTTCTTGCTCTGGAGCCGTTACACACAATTCAATCAGGTGTCCTCCCTGATTTTTTTCTTTCTTTCTTTCTCCCTCCCTCCCATCCTCTTTATTATTTCCCATTAAAAACAAGTCACGGAAAAAAAGATCTCCACGTCTAGCGAGGGCTGTGCGATACACTCCGTTGCAAGCATATTTTGCGCAGTTCCTGTCTTCAAAAGGTGCAGTTCATGCATTTGACCACCTTGCTGCCATAATCGATGCAGTCAGGACCCACACATTCGCAGCAGGCATTGTGAAACCACCTGTACTTTGATGCGCCCATGGACTCGCAGGAATTCTTGCACTGGTGGATGGACATGCAGTCATCGAAGTAGACCACTGTGCAGAGCGGCTCTGAAATGAAAACAAGCACACACACACAGGGCTACGTTAACAATAGTAAACAGTACTCAGATTTACACATGGAAGGTGAACACCTCTAAGGCTCTCCTACTCGGCTCCCATCAGCACCTTTTCACCACTGGAGCTGACAGTGTGCATCTCAATCGACATGGATGCACCTCCGAGAGCTAGTGCAGAACCTCAGTGACTTGTTCAACTCCCAGCCGTCCTTTAAACCTCACATTCATGATCCAACTTGCTCAGGTTTCCACCACCTCTGTACATTGCCCGCCTCAGCTGCAACCTCTCCCATCAGGCTGCCATGAAACTAATCCACATATTAATAATAATAATCCTTGCAATCATCATGTCCAGGCTAGATTTTGCCAACGGATTACCCGTATCTTCTCTTTCCAATATGCAAACTATCCAGAACTCGTGTCCTCTCCTGCACTAGTCTCCACGAGCCTACCTCCCCCATCCTTGCCCAGCCCCACTAGTTCCCACCCCCCAACGGATCGAGTTCAAGATCCTCAACCGCACCTTTAAATCTCCTCCCCACCACTGCCGCTTTCTCAAACTTTACATCTCACTGCTCTTTTGCACCACATTAGTTTAACACCCTTCCACACACGCCAGCGGCTTCAAATCTAGTTTGATACAAGTCTGAACATTGTCAGAGGTGCCAGTCTTCACATGAGATGTTAAACCAAGACCCCATCTGCCTATTGAAGTGGGTGTTAAAATTGGTTATTCGCTTCACGGCTGTTTGTGGGACAATTGTTGCTTGCAAATTGACTGCTGTGTTTGCCTACAAACATACAGTCAATAGAAACAGCAGTCACTGGGAACACTCAGCAGGTCAGGCAGCATCTACGGAGAAAGGAAGCGATATTGGGTGACCGATTTGCCCGACACCTCTGTTCTGTTCGCAAGCACAGCCTTGAACTTCCGGTTTCTTGCCACTTCAACTCTCCCTCCCACTCGCACTCTGACCTCTCCAACCACGGTCTCTTACGCTGTTCCAATGAACCACAGCACAAGCTCAAGGAACAGCACCTCATATATCTGCTAGGGACCTTACAGCCCTCTGGCCTCAATACTGCCTGACTTGCTGAGCGTTCCCAGCCACTTCTGCTTTTTGTTTCAGATTACCAGCACCTACAGTATTTTGTGTTTTGCATACAGTCAATAAGACTTTACGGTCAAATGCTGTGAAGCTCTTTGAGCCGTTTCGGCAAAGTGATAAGGCGCTTTATCGAATGCGAGGCTTATTATTATCATCATCATCATCATCATTATTACCATTTTGTAAAGCATTTAAAAATCTCATGTTATTTATTCCACATAATAAAAAGAAAGCTGCAATAATATTGCCTTGATGCCACATTCAATAATCAAACTTCACCACTAGATGGCTACCACATATTTGGGGGCAGGAAAGCCCCGAAGCAGCATTTAACCACAACTCCACAAGGAAAAGGAGCTGGTGTGTAAAGGGGGAGTAAATGTACACAGATCCGAGTAGGGGTCCATGGAAATCTTAGCGTTCGCTATTCTTGCTTTCTCTCTGTTAATTTTTCTCCTCCCCTCCTGAAGACATCAGATTCCTTTTGTCTGAATTGACGTAGAACACGAATGAACGTCACAATAACAACAATAATAATCCTTGCATTTGAGATAGCGCCTTATTACGTCTTCTAGACGCCTCAAAGCACTTCACAGAATATACTGTAAAGTGAATTGACTGCATATTTGTGGGCAAAACGTGGCAGCCAATTGCTCACAGCAGTGTCCCACAAACAGTTGTGGATTGAGTGACCAAATTATTATTGTTTGATTATTATTATTATTGATTATTATCAGGCATGTGGAGTAAGGCAACTCGCCCAAGGTTTCGCCCTGCCGGGCGCAAGTACAATATATCCTTATGTATGGTTCCAAGGTTGCCGATCTTGGTCCTTCACCTGAGTCGTTATTTATTTCAGGTGTGAGCCTTGACAGTGAGTGTGATACTGAGCCTCACAGTCAGGCCTGATCTTAGCACCTCACATACACACACCCATACATAAACACAAGCAACGGACACACACACACATACAAGCACATGCACAGACAGATACACACAATTACACGTACAGACACACACACAACGACACATGCAGACACACATAATCACGCGCACAGACACACACACAAGCACAAACACACAGGCATGTAGACACATGTACGCATGTAGACACATATAATCACACACACATGGACACACAAGGACGTGCGCAGACACACATAATCAAGCACACATACACACACATGAGCACACATGCAGATACACACAGGATATACTGTAAAATGGATGACTGTATTTTATGAGTTAGAACTGAGATCATGAAGCATTTCTTCATACAGAAGGTTGTGAAGATATCCCTGAGAGGTGAAATTAATAGGGATGTTTATAAGAAAGATAGACGAAAACTTGGGTAGCATAATGTAAAGGCGTATGGGGAAAGGGCAAGGCATTGGGAATAAAAGATCGGGCAAAATGTAATAAATTTGTAGAAGAGACTTGATAGGTTGAATGGCCTCCGCCTGTTCCTCGATGGTTTTCAATGTTCTTAACAGAATAAGCCACAGTTTGTCCTTTGGACAAACAGTTTATCCAAATCCAGTCCCAAAAATGTAATGCAAATGACTGTTCCTCTATGTGTGTGGGTGCTGCTGGCACAGATTGGCTGCTGTGCTTGCCAACGTAACAACATTGGACACCCCACACAAGTTTGGCTGTTTTCAGCAGAGACAGGATTTTGCAGACTAATCAGGAACGGCCCCATTATGGAAAATGAATCAGAGCACATAATTGGTTGCAGCACGGAACACAAATGGCCTACTGTGCTAAACAAAGTTTCTTCCAACAGGAGTTGTATTGTTACTGTAGTATCACACTGCTCCACACATTCTCACTTTCTATCACTCTCTCTCTCTCTCTCTCTGTGAATAACTTATTATCTCTATTACTTCCTCTATCTCTGTGTCTCACTCCGTCTCTGACTTTCTCTCTATCTGACTCTCTCCCAGTCTCTAACCCAAAACTGTACGTTGTAAATGGCTGAATAAGCACTAACGGTAGAGAGAGCCCATTAACCACACTAATTGGGACTGGCTGCTTCATGGAGAGGTAAATAGTGCAGAGACCAACTAGATTCTCCCAAACTTTATCCCTGGCAGTGTGGCAAGCCCATGTCTACCTTTGTATCAGATAACTGAGGCTCACCTGTATCTATGTGCGGCTAGGCTTTCAGCCACTACACCCCGAAAATGTGGAACTATCCCTCAATCCCTCTGCCTTGCCCCTCTTCCCCATTTTCAGATTACAGTTCAAGACCTTCCTCTTCGACTTAGCCTATGGTCACCTCCCCCCACCGGTTCGACGTCAGGCTCCACCTCTGTGAAGTGCTGCGAGAGGTTACCCTGTATGAATGGCGCTCTGCAAATGCAAGTTGTTACAGAATATATTGTAAAATGAATTGACTGTATTTTGTGAGCAAAACACATCGCAGTGTCGCACAAGCAGTCATGGATTCAGGGCCCCACACAAACAGACTGTTTCCTCCTGGTTTTCTTTGCTCACATTTCCTCTCTTAAAGTCACCGCAAACCTACGCGTCTCTCTGCTGTCTATAGGATGTCGCTGCCATGTTTGCGTCCCTAGAAGTGAAGCCATTATTTCAGTTTTATTTCTAATTAAATTTCATTCTGCAAAGCCCCTTGAGAGACGTTTCTTTCACCTGAAAAGCGCGGTATAAACACACGCTATTGTTCACAAACCCACTCTTAAGTGAGAACGTACACGTGCCATAAAACTTAAGCATTATGTTCTCCAAAAAGTTGCAAACTCCACAACTTGCAGGCCACTTGCATTTCAACATCTAAGGACATCCTCTATGATGTGAAAGGCGCTGTTTAAATATAAATTTGTACATAGCACCTTTCACATAGAGTAATCCCAGAGAGCATTACAGAAACTGTGCTAGACACCGAGAGCGGTGGGATGCAGGGGGAGTGGTGAGGAGAGGTACAGTTGAAGGTGGCTTTTAAAGACGGGTGAAATGGAGGGCAAGAGGGAGGGTTTGAGGGAGTTCCAGAGGGTAGGAGTAATGTGGCTGAAAGGGAGACAAAGGCAAGAAGAGAGGGAATCATAGAATTTTACAGCCCATCATACCTGTGCCGGCTCTTTGAAAGAGCTACCCAATTAGTCCGACTTCCCTGCTCTTTCCCCATATCCTTGAGTTTTTTTTCTTTTCAAATAAATACCAAACTTCCTTTTGAAAGTTATTATTGAAGCCCTTTCAGGCAGTGCATTCCAGATCATAACAACACTCTGTGTGCGTAAAAAAAAGTCTCCAAATCTTCCCTCTGGTTCTTTTGCCAATTATCTTGAATCTTTGTCCCCTGGTTACCAACACACCCGCCAATGGAAACAGTTTTTCCTTAGCTACTATATCAAAACACTTCATAATTTTAAATTAAATGAACTCTTCTTTTAAAATAGCTACCACCTATAAACAAAAAATAATAATACTCTAATTTGGTCATTCAATCTATGACTGTTTGTGGGACACTGCTGTGCGCTATTGGCTGCTGCGTTTCGCCCACAAAATATACAGTCAATTCACTTTACAGTTACAAGAAAAATACGCTTTTTGCAAAAGAGCAGAGACAACATTGTAACCTGATCAGCTGGCTGGCCTGTGTGGCCCCTGTAAATCTCCCAGCCTGAGCTCTAGAGTTTCAGCCCGTTAAAATGCAGCATCATTGAGCCCTCACCAGCCCCAAAGAGGCCCTCAAAACAAAACACTGAAAGCCTATAAAGGAATAAATAACTGGAAAGCGGAAGCAGGGGAGGGGGGTTGGGGAAGAATATTTCACAGATGAGACCGAAGTTCAACAAAAAAAACTATATTGGATCATAAACAACAACACTAACAAGAACTTTACATTGACGTACAGCGCCTTTTACGTCAGGAGGGCACCTCAAAATAAGTTGGATTGTTAATTCTATTTATTGTTTTTTATATAATCCATTTGCTCCTGACCTGCGTCTCTCTTTAGCCCTCCCTTCCCCTGGAAACTTACTGACGAAGTGTTGAATCCCCCACTCCTCCTGGAGTAAATAAAACTTAGTTCTAGCTTGAATCAGAACGATTAAGCAGTAGGCAGCTAACCTTTTTGGGGAGATCAAGCTGCTAGTGAACACTGGAACCAACCGGATGGGTTTGTGTAGTAGTAGCAGCAGCAGCCCAAGCAACAAGAGCTTTGGCTTGCAGGAGTAACAGGAGCTGAGTGGGATAATTCCCTGCCCCCAGTGACTGGACTGCCTTTCCAGATCCTGCCGATGAGCCAGGCCGCCTGTGCTGTCATCAGCCGTGCCCTGGAGTACTGCGGGCCACCTGGCTCAAGAACCGGACTAGAGACCACCACAGAGGGCTGGCTGGATGAGACTAATCCCGTTGACGACCACCTTAAAATCTACCTGGCTCAGCTGGTATCACTCTCGTCTCTGAGTCAGGAGGTTGGAGATTCAAGCCCCCATCGCAAGACTTTTAAGCTCATCTAACCTAAGCTGACACTCTAATGCTGACCGATAAAGCAGTAATGGATGTGCTGCAACATCGGAGGTGTCGTCTTTCTGATGAGGTGTCGCCCTCCTAAAGATCTCGTGGCATTATTTTCCAAAAGAAGGGAGCTTCTTTATCCTGGCTAGTGTCCTGGCCAACAATCCGCCAAATAAAATTTGTCACTCACTTCATTGGCAGATTGTGCGAAAATTGCTGTGTGCAAAACTGGCTGCCATATTTGCCCACAAAATACACAGTCACTGCATTTTACTACAGTATATACACAGTAATGTGCATCTCTTTGGATGTCTTCCTGATGTGAAAGCCACTGTACCAAATGGGAGGATTATGATCGTTACCCCTTCAACCTCGTCTGTAGTCACCTGCCCCTTCCTAATTGTAAACCCCCGGCCAACGCAAAGTGCCCCAAGACATTATCCTACATGAAGGGCTCTGTAGAAATACAAATGTTGTTGGAATAGATACTTTACCTTTCTCGCTTTCGAGCTGTGAATGAGGGTTGTTCTCCGGCAGTGATACGTTCTGTAGCTGAGCCAGGTCCAGGGTTTCCAGGAAGGAGACCAGGTTCTCGTGGTAGGAGAGCTCCTCGGAGACGGGGAAGGACACGATGTTCCAGTGAAGGTGCGAATCTCCCTCTGTCAGGGCGCGGAACAAGGAGGGGATGGGATCCTGCAGCTCCTCCACCGTGCTCTTGGAGGTCGGGGGAGTGTCGCTGTAGTTCCTGGGGTTGCACATCCCTGCAAAGAAATATGAATAACGATAATACACTCAAGAGGCCAGGCATGACATTCTTCTGCTTGTTTAAAAAATAAGTGTAAAAAATTACATTTTTGCAGCGCCTTTCAAACCAGCAGGAGGTCCCAAGGCACTGGACATGTCTGCTTTGGCACCCAAGCTGAGGGGTTTGGGAAGGGGAAGATGACTGAAGGCCCGGTCGAAGAGGAAGGTCTCGAGACTGATCTTATTTTCCAGGATGTAATTGTAATTCAGCTGTAAAGTGTGCTGTGTCTTTTTGGCTGGAATACAGAGAAATGTATGCTGTGTGAAGCACGTGTACACCCGAGCTCGGGAGTGCTTGAAAGCGACACTGAGCGCAAATAAAAAAGATGGAAAGATTAAATTCCCCCGTCTGCTGACATCCTTCACTTTGTAGCACAAGTCAAAGTGATTCAAGAGGAAACAGAGGGCCATTATTGCTCTTGGGCTTAGCTCCAGAAATGGCCTGCAGTCGCACTGGGCACCAGAGAGAGGGGAGGGTGGGGTGGGGGGAGCTCTGCAGTGCAAGTTTTGCAACAATTGCTATTGTCCCCCTCCCCTCCCCTCCTAAGATCTTCATCATGATGGTTTGCTCGGTCAGCTGAGCATTGGAATTGGGAACCAGAGGGTTATGGGTACCACTGAGCTTCTTCTGGCAACCGCCCCCACCTCACATCCAGACTTTTGAGTGTGTGAAATGAGTGCCATTTATACAATTAAATATCCCCCAAGGGATGGGTCCGGAAAGGGAGTGAGCGTAGTACAGTATTCCTGGGGTTGAATTGGATTTGAGGAAAAGACACGCCTGGCTGATGCCTGGCACATCTGTACTGATGTTTCATCGAGGAGGTTTGAGAGATATACAGTGTAAGAGAATCCACATTAACGTTTACACAGCGTCTTTCAACACAGGAGGACCTCTTAAAGCGCTTAACAATACTGGCTGAGTGCCTGAGCTGGCGGGGGTGGCCGGGTGGGGAAGGAGAGGGGAGGGGCTGCGGAGGAACATTGACCAAGAACACCATCAAAAAGCTTAGAGACAGATCTCGAACGATATAGTGTAAGTCAAGGTTAAAATAATAAAGGCAGTGCCGACATAGCTGGAGACATACTAGCGACTTCTCCCGAGAGCCTGTCAGGCTCACACAAGCTGTATTAAATTATATACAGTTGGATACTAACGAACTGGCTTGATGGAAGTGACTTTAAATGCGTACGAAGGAAACACAAAACTAAGCTTTTCCGGCTAATTGAAGCCACAGGGGAACGAACGCTCACATGACTGCAGCCGGTCCTGGCTAATTAGCCCTGGGAATTACAGCGGGAAGAAACACAGTAACCGATAACTATTTATAGATCAGAAGCAAAATCTCTTGTCTGGATCTTAACCTTTTCTGTTCAAACGTTGCAGGTGTAAAGACTGGTAACTTTTAACGAGAAGCGAGATGTTAAAAGGCGTGAAAGGTTCAATTGAGCGTGGTTAGAAAGATGCCTACATTTGTCTACATAATACCCAATCGCTACACCAATCCTGTGAAGTGCTTTGAGAAGTCCTCCCAACAGGAACGGCACAGGACCAAATGCGATGATTATCATTTACAATTATTACAGCTTCCGATGCCACCGTTTCCTCTGGAATTTCTTCCCTACCTTTTACATCCTCAGTGGTGCCCTGCACAGGCACCTTACCTTGGTCTCCGCATGACGTTGCCTCCCCCCCACCTCGTTTAACCGATCAATAAACTGCGCAGAAACAGAAGGCAACAGAAGAGAGAGAACTCACCTACGCAGTCACAGCACTCGTCCCACAAGGTGCCCAAACACAGCATGCATTCCTTACAGCAAGAGCAGTTCCCATCTATAGGCCGACACTGACACAGTTCCTATGGGAGACATGAAATCATTAATTCCAGAAATTGTATAAAATATATATTTTTAAACCTTCAGGAGAAATTTTCATAATAATAACAACAATCCTTACAATGAACTTGCACATCTCCAGTTGTTTCTCTGCTGCCAGCAGTGCACTGCAGGATAATAATAATCCTTGCATTTGATATAGCGCCTTATCACGTTTTCGAGATGTCTCAAAGTGCTGCACAGAATATACTGTAAAGTCAATTGGTTGTGTATTTTTCTGTGTATTATAAGAAGACTAATTGGCCATATGATTTCATCATCCCAGCATACCATCCCTATCGTATTTCCATCATGGCCCGCCTGGTTGTTGCTGTGAAGGCTATCTTGAGGTCAAAAAGTTGGCTGTATGTTCAACAAACTAGAATTAGCCACTGAATCGTACATCCCAGTTCTCTTCCAACAGTGGTCAGTTATAGAGGCTTTAGTTTTGACAACCAAGTCGACCCCTGAGTTCAGAGAGCTGATGACGCAAATCGCTGCAAACTGATTTCAGGCCTAAGAGATTATAATAATAATAATAGTCCTTGCATTTGATGTAGTGTCTTATCGTGTCATTGAGACATCTCAGATTATATTGTAAGTAAATTGACAAGTGTATTTTGTGGGCGGAACATGACAGCCAATTGCGCACATCAGTGTCCCACAGTCGTTGATTTAGTGATCACATTTTTTTGAGGATTATTGCCCCCAGAAAGCAATCCACCAATCGATTAACATCTGGCTTCCTACTTATTGCTAGGTAAACAGCGATGTGTGGAGTAAGGAAACTTGCTTTGTAATCTTTTCTAAGTGGCTTTGTGGGGAGACCATCTCAGACTGACAAGTATTACACTCTCTGAACTGGATCTGAAATGCTTTCCTACATGAACGCCCAATAAAATACCACGGGCTTTGTTTAGTGACTGCACTGTAATTGGATTACTTTGAAATATAACAAAGGTGCTAAATTTGCACAGCTGTCTACATGTTTATACGTGTAATATCCAGCCAGTCCCTTTCATCGTGAAGGGAAAACAATAATCAGTGAACACCTATTTAACGAGATCCGGTATTAAAAGGAATCAAACTCGTTTCGCAAAAAAAATTCAGGGAGGAAAACGTAATGAATAGTATACATGCAGACATATGCCAGTTTTACTAGTGTGTTCTCCTAAAGGCAGAATCATCATGCCTCAACCTGCCCAGAACAGGGGAAACTGCTCAGCCGGCTGCACTCTTACCTCTGGCTTAGATGGTTGTGGATTCAGGTTCCATAAACTTCCCAGTTGACTCTTTAAGCTCACGGTCGAGGCTGACAGTGCTGGGTATGCATTGCGCTATTGGAGGTGCTGTTCTTTGGGTGAGAAGTTGAACTGAGGTCCCGTCTGTCTGTTCAGGAGGATGTTACAGATTGCATGACACTATTCAAAAAAAAAGGGATTTCTCCTGGAGTCCAGGCCAACGATCCCCCAGATAAAATAGGCCACTGGATTAATGGATGATTGCGGGAGTTGTCTTGGCGCAAACTAACTGTTCTGTTTGTTTACACAGATGCAGTCATTAACACTTGTCATCAATTATCCATGAAGCACTTTGAAAAGTTTTGATGCTATTTTACCCAGTGCAAGGATGATTAATGCTATAATCATCGGAAGGATCATAGCAACTCCAATTAGGATGGGTGCACTTAGCAAATTTGCCCACAAAATATAGTCAATTCACTTTTCAGTATATTTTATCAGGCACTTTGAAACTACTTAACGATGTGATAAGGCGCTGTATCAAATGCATGTTGAGATGTCCTAATATGAAGGACGCTGTATAAATGTAAGTTGAATTAAATATTAGCCAATTTTTAAAAAATATGTTGTCTGAGGGACTGTTTGCCAGGACACCGGGAAAAATTCCCTTCTCTTTACGAACAGCACCACGGGAACTTCAACATCTACATGAACCTGTTTAACATCTCATCAGGAGGAGGACACCTCCAACAACTCAGCAGATCAGAGTTCTCCCAGAGTGTTGGCCCAGACTGCGAGCTGATAGTTCCTACGTGGGCCTTGAACCCACGCCCTTTGGACTCAGTGGTGCGAGTGAGAGCTGCCAACTGAGCCGGGCGGACACTTAAAGTGAAGAACAAAGGGACAGGAGGAAGCCATTCAGTTCAATGAGCCTGTTTCAAGATTGCCCCTTTAGCAATTATTCTCAACTGCAGCAGGCTGTGGAAAATAGTCCTGCACGATTTACAAGCAACACAAGTGATTTTAGACCTATCCCCTAACAGTTGAGTAATTCTGAGCAGAGCTGTACCATCACAGAGCATTGCGGTCCAGGGGGTAGGGGATGTGTTTTTAATTAACTTTGAATTCCCAAGGATTTCAGAATTTTTCATCGATCTTAAAGTGAAGGGAGTCTGGTCAATTTCACTCAGCTCTCCTACGGAGGAGTTAAAGAACTATCGACTGCATTTTACAGAGAAAGTTCTGCAGCTGCTGGAAGCCAGATGTGCACTGGCATGCCTCACTACAACAGGCTTGTGCTTATAATAATAATAATAATCCTTGTGTTATAAATCGCCCTGCACCCTAAAACCAGGCAAGGAGTCTACATGTGCTTTTGTCTGTGCCTTTGGGAATACAGCTGGAGAAGTAAAGAAACCTGATAATTACTGCAGGCTTTGCAGGAGAAACTTTACGAGCCAGAGCATTTATTAGGGTAAATCTGACAGCTGTACACAGACTCACTTAACATGAGTTTTGCTTTTAAAAACAGCACATAATTGGCTCAACACAAGAGTTTTTTTTAATCTACCCCACCCCACAAGTTGGTATATATTTACACCATGATTTGTACATATACACACATCACCAAATATTATGCCTTGCATTTATACAATTCCTTTCCCGTAACAGGACATCTCGAAAGCACTTTGCAAATGTAATGAATACAGTAGCAGGGAAATAAGAGATAAAAAAGTATTGACTGAAGGCATGGTCAATGATGTGTTCAGTCTGACTCGATCGGTAGCACACTCACTGCTGGGTCAGAAGGTTGTGGGTCCAAGCCCCACACTGGGACTCGAGCTGACAGTCAAGGATGACACTCCAGTGCAGCACTGGGAGTGCGATGCACAGGTGGGAGGATCTGTACTTTGCACGAGACTTTAAACTGAGGTCCCGTCTGCTTCTTCATCAAGATCCGATGACACAATTCAGAAAGACAAGTGTGTTTTTCCTGTTTTCCTGGCCAACAAGCCTCCAGGTAAATCAGTCATTCACGTACTTCATGGTTCTTTGTGGAACCTTGTGCACAAATTGGCTGCTGGGTTTACCCACAGTCACTGCACTTGATAGCTATTTAAACCTTATCCTTTGAATTTACTGGGAGGCAATGGAACTTGATGAAAGTGGGAGGAGGGGGAGAGAGGGGCTGTGCACAGCCTTATGTGGAACTGAACCCCAAGAGGCTTGAAATTCCAGATATTCTTAGCCTTTGTCTTAAATCCAAGTCTTTATTTAGAAAAATGGTTAAAAAGAAACCAGCTTCCAAATTTAACCTGAATTTAAGAGTTGTCCATAATTCTGCACCATCTTAATTCTTAAGAAGCCATTGTGTAGGATAGAGAAAAGGATAGGGTAGGAACAGGAGAAGAACGCAGAACAGAATGAAAAACATTAACTATACACACACCAAGCCCAGACACACAATACAATTCAAATTTACATAGCGCATTTCACATTAGGAGGACGTTGGACAATCTGGGGGTCGGGGCCGAGGAGGTAGTGGGTGGGTGGAGGTGGTTCAGGCGGACCTTGTAGGAGCGAACGACAACAAATTACATTTATATAGGCAAGGGAAGAGGTGCTGAAGGGACAAAGAAGCAACTAATGGATCATCAACACATTGGTCAATGCGAGGGAAGGGTGTTAAGAGGGTGATTGATACAAAGGTAATCGCAGACAATAGTCAATTATGGAGTGAGAAACAAAACAAAAGTGAGCGAGACAGCAGGAAGAAAAGCTAATGTTGCTCTGCAACTCTGTATAAATAACAAAACACCTGGAAACAAAACAGGAGACAGCTTGTGGCCTGTTCATTATTGATATTGTAAATATTGTGGGGTTCTGGAGTCCTGAAGGCCGGAGGGAGATGGTTTTATACCGTCTCTAGAAGCCACCAGCATCAGATGACACATGCCGTGATGTATAATTAACCACTTTGGAGGGGCATATTTGGAAGGGATTCTTCCCACACACGCACATGACACGCTTGCGCGCACACACAGCCCACGGAGGGACCAGAAGCAGGAATCCTGGCTGCTTCCCCTCTCCTCTCTAAGCCCAGGAAGTCCGGGGCCAATTGAGCCTCTCTACACATCCCGGGTTGAGACCAGGCAACTCAGCACAGATCGGGATTCGAACCAGCGAACTCCCAGGCCATAAACCGCAGGTCTATCCACTGCACCATCAGGGGCACAACCATGGCTTGAACGGTAAGCAGAGGAAGACGATTCCACAGAGTTTAAAACCACACCTTTAACTGAGATGAGCAGTTAATCTGTGGTAAGGAAAGAGAAGTAGACAACCCGCAAAAAGGAAAGCGAGAACAAAGAGATTACCACAACAACAAATTTAGGGGGAGGGGTGGGTCTGGAGCAGTCATACCTTGCCCTTGGACAGCAGGCCTGAGCAGGTAGAGATTTGAGTTCGGGACAGATGGAAATAGATCAAAGCCACATGTTCGCCACAGCAGGTTCCCATTAAAAACAACCACGATCACCAACAAGAAAACCTTTCCTAGCATTTCCTGCTCAGGAACAGTCTGCGTAATGTTAGCATTCAATCCCTATTGTCGGCTTGTTGAAATCAGAAGGACGTTGGGATGGGTGTGGGGGGTTGAGGAAGAAAAGTAAAATTGTTCAGTCCACGTGGACCAGCTGTACTGATGTTTGGAGAAGTAATGTACACCACAGACATTGCTTACA